TCTTTTATTTCCCAGAATCCTTCAGGACTTGCTCAGTCAGAGACTAGGACTGAACTTTGCACGGGATATAAAAGGAATGCGCGGCCTCCTTCTCCTGTTAATCATAAACCAGACAATATTCGTACACGTTGAGACTATTAAGGTCCCGGTGATGGATATCAAGAAGATAAGCCGATGCTGAACGAACCGTACGATTTGAAGGTTAAACTTGTATGTGCAGCACAACACAAGTGTGCATTGCACAAGGGCGTTGCTGTATTTGCACGGGGCTCACTTACAAAACGTATCACGGCACGTAAGACCCTCCCTATTTTTCAGGGACAGTCCTGGATTCACAGAAAAACCACCCTGGTTTCTGATTTGATCCTGGCACCTGCTTTTCCTTAGGGCAGGTACTATTTCTGGGTTAGCAGAGTCTGTAACCTGAAGCGTATGTAACCCGAGATACCACTCTACAGTGGACGCTCGTGTCGCGAATGTGATACGTGCGGGAGGCACGTTCACAACCCGCAGCGTTCACAACCCGCACCATGTCTGCGCATGCGCAGGTAGCAATCCGGCACTTCTGCGCATTTAGTGGCTCTGCGCATGCGTGAGTGCCAGAACCTGGAAGTAACCCATTCTGGGTTCAACGCGGTGCGCAACCCGAAAACGCACAACCTGAAGCATCTGTAATCCGAGGTATGACTGTATGCATAAAAACAGACATCAATTAATTAAAATACATCTTAAAATTAATTCAGACAAGTTAAAATCTGGGCAGGTGGCAATTACAGTGGTACTTCGGGTTACAGATGCTTCAGGTTACAGATGCTTCAGGTTTCAGACTCCGCTAACCCAGAAATAGTATCTTGGGTTAAGCACTTTGCTTCAGGATGAGAACAGAAATTGTGCTCCGGCGGCACAGCAGGAGGCCCCATTAGCTAAAGTGGTGCTTCAGGTTAAGAACAGTTTCAGGTTAAGAACAGACCTCCAGAATGAATTAAGTTCTTAACCCGAGGTACCACTGTATCAGGCTGGAGTTGAGAGTGGTTAATACTTGCCAGGACCAACTGTTTCCACTGAGCATACAAGGACCTGTGAGTGGGTTGGGGGCTTCCTTCGGGCTTGTTTTATACAAAGGAAAGTAAGTCAAACTGCATCCTGCCCAAAGGCCTGGCAGAACAGCTCCGTCTTGCAGGCCCTGCGGAAAGATGTCAGATCCTGCAGGGCCCTAGTCTCTTGTGGGAGAGCGTTCCACCAGGCCGGGGCCATGGCTGAAAAGGCCCTGGCTCTGGTCGAGGCCAGTTTAATTTCCCTGGGGCCCGGATCTTCAAGCTGTTGTTGTTAGCAGATCGTTAAGGTCCTCTGTGGGACATACCAGAAGGTCCTGTAGGTATGAGGGTTCTAGGCCAGGGGTCAGCAAACGTACCGCGCCTCGGGCCGGTTTCTCCAGCGCAGATTACACGGCAGGCCGGAGAGCGCATGCCCATACACGTGCACATGTGCTATTTCCGGCGCTCTTCCGGGTCAGAGGAGCACTGGAAATAGCTTGTGCGCATGTGCACGGGCCTCCTCCGACCTGGATGTGCACCGGGAATAGCATGTGCGCATGCGCAAATAACGCGTAAAGGTAAAGGTACCCCTGACCATTAGGTCTAGTCATGGCCGCCTCTGGGGTTGCGGAGCTCATCTCACTTTACTGGCCAAGTCAGCCAGTGTACAGCTTCCGGGTCGTGTGGCCAGCATGACTAAGCCGCTTCTGGCGAACCAGAGCAGCACACGGAAACGCCGTTTACCTTCCCGCCAGAGCAGTACCTATTTATCTAATTGCACTTTGACGTGCTTTCAAACTGCTAGGTTGACAGGAGCAGGGACCGAACAACGGGAGCTCACCCCATTGCGGGGATTCGAACTGCCGACCTTCTGATCGGCAAGCCCTAGGCTCAGGGGTTTAACCCACAGCGCCACCCGCGTCCCTAAATAACGCTTGCGCATGCGCAAATAATGCTTGCGCATGTGCACAAGCTATTTCTGGAGCTTCTCCGACCTGGAAGTGAGCAGCTTCGTGGTGCAGTGCAGCGCCAGTAAGAGCAGGTGGTGGCAGCGGGCGGCAGGGGTCACCGAGGGCCGGATAAACAAGTCCCTCAGGCCTCATCCGGCCCGCAGACCTTAGTTTGGGGACCCCTGGTTCTAGGCCGTATAGGGCTTTAAAAGCCCTCCTGAACAGCCGCCTTTTTAACGACAATGGTGGATCCCAAACAGCCCCAGAGTGGACTGACAGCAGGCTTTAATCTAGGCAGGCCCCTTTGCCCCCGTGCCAACTTGGCCGGCGATCTCGGAAACCGCGTTTGGCACCGTTTCGGGAACGAGCCGTCGGAAAGCCCAAACCAGGCTCTTTTCCCAGCTTGCTGACACAGCTCTGGCCCTGTGGCTTGGCAGGAGGTGCCTTTTTCCAATAGCTCACAGGCGCTTTTGGCTCACGGGCCCAACGCGCTCGGAAAGGGGAGGCCAGGAAGCAGCCTGAAGAGGTGCAGCCGAGCCGTTTGGGGACAGGCTGTTCCCTTGCGGTTTCCTCTGCAACCCGCGGCCAGAGACGGGTGTTGGTGGTGCAGAAGGGTGTGAGGTGGGTGGGTGGAGGAATGAGGCATTGCTGCAACCAGGGGGAAGGACCCAGGAGACGGCTGGCAGGCTAGACAATTTTGTCTCTTAGCAGCAAGAGGCTTTCCTTCTTGAAATATATATATATAGAGAGAAAGGATCATCCAGTTGTGATGAAACAGCTGCTTTTCCGGCCACAGCTCCTGGGACTGAACGTCCCCTTCTTGCTCTGCCTGCCTGCCTGGAAAAAAACTATTGCAAAACCTTCCTCCTGGGGAACTCGAAGATGGACTGGGTGGGGCAGTGAGAGCAGAGAACAGCAGAAAAGACTGCTGGAAGCTCAGCATCCTCGTTTTCCCACCAAGCAGTTGGTCCCTTACCTTTCCCGCCCCGACCTGGCCACAGTGATCCATGCGACGGTCACCTCCAGGCTTGACTACTGTAATTTGCTCTACGTGGGGCTGCCCTTGAAGCTGTCCCAGAAACTCCAGCGGGTGCAGAATGCCGTGGCGAGGCTCCTTACAGGGTCTCTGCCATGGGAGCATATTCACCCAGTGCTTTTCCAGCTGCACTGGCTCCCGGTGGAGTACAGGGTCAGGTTTAAGGTGCTGGTTTTGACCTTTAAAGCCCTTCACGGCCTAGGACCCTCGTACCTATGGGACCGCCTCTCCCAATATGCCCCACGGAGGACCTTAAGGTCCATAAATAGCAATGCCCTAGAGGTCCCAGGCCCTAAGGAAGTCAGATTAGCCTCAACCAGAGCCAGGGCCTTCTCAGTGATGGCTCCGGCCTGGTGGAACGCTCTGTCTCATGAGACCAGGGCCCTGCATGATCTGATTTCTTTCTGCAGGGCCTGTAAGACAGAGTTGTTCCACCTGGCCTTTGGCTTGGAATCAATTTGATTCCCTCCCCCTCTTTCCTTTTTCCTTTCTCTCCTCTGATGGAACTCCTGTTTGGGGACTTCCCTGGCTTTTTTCTGGCCCACGTAGGACCAGTCTGGAAAGTTAGCCTTGGTGAAGACCTGACGTTTTCATCCCCAAAAAAGGTTTTTGATTTGAGTTTCTACTGAAATGAGGCTGTATTTTAATGTTTTAATGTTGTATTTTAATCTTGTTTTTAAGTTGCATTTCAATCAATTTGTTTTTATATAGGGTGTTAGCCCTGAGCCCGGTCTTGGCTGGGGAGGGCGGGGTATAAATAAAATTTATTATTATTATTCTCCCCATGGCCAAATACCACTAAGAACTTACAAGTTCGGATAGACTGCCTCTGGACCTGGAGGTTCCATGAGAACCTAAAGAAGCTGAGGTTTGGGAACAGAAATGTGGACCTTGATGTGTAATAAGGGATGTGGAGCTTGGAATTCCCCTTCCCACCTCTCCCCCTGGTCAAATACCTCAAAGAACAGGCACAGGCAAACTCGGCCCTTCAGATGTTTTGGGACTACAACTCCCATCATCCCTGGCTAACAGGACCAGTGGTCAGGGATGATGGGAATTGTAGTCTCAAAAACATCTGGAGGGCCGAGTTTGCCTATGCCTGTCGAAGAACCTACAAGTTCAGATAGACTGCCTCTGGACCTGGAGGTTCCATAAGAGGAGTCTTGCTGCCAGATTAGGCCAGTGACCCATCTAAGGCCAGTGACCATGGCCAACTGGCTGGCCTGGGAAACCCGCAAGCAGGATTCGAACACAAGAGCCCTCTCCCCATCCTGCAGCTTCCAGCACCTGGCATTCAGATCCATTGCTGCCTCGGGCTGCGTAGACAGAGCACAGCTATTGTGGCTCGCAGCCATTGATAGACTTGACTCAGGTAGGTAGCCGTGTTCGTCTGATGCAGTCGAAATATATTTTAAAAATGTCCAATAGCACCTTAGAGACCAAAGAAGTTTGTTCTGGGTATAAGCTTTTGTGTGCATGCACACTTCTTCAGATACGAATATTTTTTTTTATTGATAGACTGAGTTAGTTGAGGTTTGGGAACAGAAATGTGGGGCTTGGAACTCCCTTTCTCACTTCTCTCTCTCTCTCTTCCTCCCTCCCTGCCTCTTTTTACTGCTACAGAAGAAAACATCGCACACAGCAGCTAAATGGAACCTCCTTGGACTGCAGCAGTCTACCAGATGGAAGCCATCACTGTCATTTGCTGCTTGTGAACTTCAGCGGTGGGTGGGTGTATCCCAGCCATTCGCTGCTGGAAACGTTAACACACAGAGGCAGCGATTGTCCCAGGGTCACAGCCACTGAGCTTCATGACCGAGTGGAGATTTGAACCCCGGTCTCCCAGGGCCTAGCCCAACACTCTAACCACTATGCCACGCTGGTTCTCATCGAAAAACTGGCTCTCAGCCTTGTCGAGAAATGCCCAGAGTTCCACGGGTTCCCCTGCTCTGATCTAAACGAAAGCAACCAAGCTGGGAATGAAGAGAAGCAAAATGAACACTTTTATTATTATTATTAGGAGCAAAATGGATTGGGGAAATAAATCACAAAGGAATCCTTTGCTGCTGCACAAAGTAACAGAACTGCCTTGGTCACCAAGACTGGCAGCGTAGAAGAGAACGAAGCTCTTTGAAAAGGTTAATGGGTTGGATCTGGACCTAGTCTTACTTAGAGTAGGCCCACTGAAATCAATGGAACGTAAGCTGGTTCCGTCAAGCTTACTCCTTTTCTGCCAGTGGGTCTTCAAAGCAGGACAGCTAGCACAGAAGAGTGAACTCAGAAGGAAGTCCCACCGAAACCAGCAGGACTTATGCCCAGGTAAACCTGTGGAGGACTGCAGCCTGATGTCTGGACCCAACTCCAATGCCTTTAACTTATCCTGATAATCATAAAAGGAAACACACTAGAAAACTAAAGACAGTAACTGAGAAAGTCTTCCACAACAGGGGACAGGCCAGGTCTTCTCTGCGGTGGCAAATTCTCCTTCTTGCATGAAAGCAGGGAGCAAAACCAACGAGAAATGGAAAAGGACACGCTCCCCCAGGGCAGAAAAAAATAAAATGGTGAGCAGAGAGAATGCAGCGATGAAAACCAGACAAGATTGCAGTCCCTCCCGGATTCATGGTGTGAGGTGTGTGAAGAGACTTGCTTGCAGGGTCTCTTCTCCTGCGAGAAATAACTTAATCCTGCCAGGGGCACCCAATTTATGGACGGCAGGGTAGAGACAGGTTGAACTAAGACTACTGGGTCAGATTTCCCCTTTTGTACTGGTTAGGAAAGGAAAATCCACAGTCGGGAGGCCTGCACAGGGTTCAGGAAGTCTCTTTTGCAGAATTATGCATTTGATCAATCTACAAACTTACACACACATTCGCACAGGCCCGTCTTCCAGAAAAAAGTCAAGGTGCGAGATTTAAAGGAGGGAGTCAAAAGGGAACCGCAGATCCTTTCCAGGAGGGAGGTTTCTGTGTGGAGAGGACACCGCAATGGCAGGCGGAAAGGTTTGGCTAAGGAACCTGCAGAACTGGGGTGGGGGGGTAGGCTTGCAGATTTGCTCCTTACGGGTGGTCCTCAAGCATCTCTCTCCCGAAAGGAAGGAAAAAGAGCAAAAATATTGACTGGCCAGCTCCAAAAAAAGACCCGCAGATTGCGAGGCCCCGTAGATCAGGAGAATTTTAATTTGTCGTACTTCCACAGCATCCTTCTCTGACAAGTGAACTGTTTGTAAGCGAAAAGGTTTCTGTGCGTCTGAGTTGAGCTCCTGGCGTTTCGGTTAGAAGTTGTGGAAGATGTGAAACCAATGCGGACCCAGATGGAGACAAGTCCTGTCGGGAACCTGAACAGAGGACTCAACGTGAAGACCTGGGCAGACTGGGAGGACTTTGCAAAGGAAGGAAGGAAGCAGAAGAGGTAGGAGGAGGCTCCCTGCTCCTTGTCTCTCTGTGTTGACAGGACTGCCTCCTTCTGGTCATGCCGGGAACTGACTCTGGCCCAGCGGTCCAAACCAAAACGTCCGGCAGGAACAGTTTGCAGGCGGCCCTAAAGGACGCCCTGGGAGGGGGCCTTTCCCGTGATCTTGTTGGAGCACTCCAGGAGGGCGTTGTGGATGTCTTTGGCGCAAGAGATCTGGGACTTGATCATGCTGAGGTACTGGGTGTAGGGCAGGCTCTCCGCCTGGACCGCGTCCGGCTTGGTGGCTGTCGGCACGAGGGTCGGGGAGTGCTTGGCGCTGTCAAAGCTCTGGGAAAGGCACTCGTAGGCCAGGCGCTGAGGAAGGGGAGGCGGATCGGAAGGAGAGAGAGTTAGGAACTTGGCCTCGCCGGGTTGGGCTGGGTATTCCAGCATCCTTTCTCCCCGAAACGGTGACCCAAGGAGTAAGGCAGAGCAAGGCGCTTCCCCTTGATGCTAGTCCCTGGCGCCTGCTACCCAGGGGTAGACTGCCTCTGTTTATGGAGGACCCATTTAGTACTCAAGGGTAATAGCAGCTGAGCAGTCTCTCTGTCTAACTAGGCACCCGGGGGCTTCATTTAGACTGTGAGAAGAAGGTCTGGGGAAAAGCTGGGCTTTCAAGTTTTCAAAAAATGGATAAGAGCATCGCACTCCTGGGCAGCTATCTCAGATGGTGTCAAATACCCCACAGGAATATGGGTGTGGCTGCAGGAGCAGGGAGACATTTCCCCACTTATGGTGGGAATGCCCCCCCCCCCGGCGTTTTGGAAGAAATATATACAGTCATACCTCGGGCTACAGACGCTTCAGGTTGCGTTTTTTTGGGGTTACGGACGTGCCGAAACCCGGAAGTACCGGAACGGGCTACTTCCGGGTTTCGGCGGTCGCACTTTGCGCAGAAGCACCGAATCGCATGGATCACGTTCGCAACCTGAGCGTCCACTGTAAACACATTCCCCATTCAAGCCTCCCCACAACTTTCCCTTTTGAATCAGGGAGTTTTAGCGTTAGGAGGACCCCCAAATGCCATCTAGTCCAACCCCCTGGAATGCAATTAAATTTGCGGGGCAATCAAACAGCAGCTTTCCAACCTAAGAAACTTCTTAACGTGGCTACAACGAGTACCTTTTTGGCCCAGAAATGGAAAGCACTACAGGACTTAAAACCTTGCGTTGTGGTACAAGAATATGTAGACTCTGCCTGCTGCAGAGAAAACAACTTGCACATCGTGCGTTTCTAAGGGTATGGAGATCCCAGAACGCTCTTACGTCGCTTATGGGATCTTATTTCCTATGTGCCCAATGCAGATATGCAAAACTCTCCTGGGCCATCATAACGTTTCCTGCTCCTCTTATTTTTGCTCCTTTTATCTGCTCTCTGTTTATTTGAAGAACACAACCTCTGTATGGCTCCTCTGTTTTGTGACCTCAATTGTGGGGTTTATTTGTGCTTCTGAATTTACATCAATACAGAACTGCACAAAATAAATAAACCCAAGTCACAACCTGCAGCACGAAGCAAGGATGGATTCTGTCTGCATTCTTCCATCTCAGAGCCAAATCCAGACTTCAGGGCTGCAACACCAAAGCCGGATTTTTGCTGCTTCTTTGCCTGACGAAAGAGATCTGGAGGACTTGGAAAGCCTGCTCACTATTTTCCGGCATTGGGGTTGCTCCTAATGACGACGCTGCCCAGCTGTGAATTTGGGATTTAATTTCTTACTGCCTGACCTTTGCTTTGTACGTGCCTGTTTATTTGTCTTTCAGTGCTCCCGAGCGAATGAACTTGCGGCGGTGAATCTCGCCAATTAATGATATGCCGCGCAAAAGAAAAAGGAGGGAGCGTTTCATAAGGCCTGATCCTGCTGCCAATATGGGACATTCTTGGGACACTCACCAGGCACAACTCCAGCTGGTCACACAAGGCGTAGAATTCCTCAAGGCTCTTGTCCACTCTCTGCACGGGGCCGTCGTTGCTTTTCCTGGAAGGAGAGGAAAGCCGATCATTGATTTGCATTTAGGGGAGAGGGTGGGGAGGGGAGGGGAGGAAGAAGCAGGGCAAGGGGGTAGGGGCAAAAACTCACTGTCCGCTGTCGATATTGGTGTTCTGGATGAAGTTCTGGGCAGCCACTTTCATCAAACTCTGCAAACGGAAGAGGCAGAGAGTACAGTATATCAGATTTCAAATTGGGGGCGATAGACAGCTGTGGCAGGAAGAGGGCACATCTACCAAAGACCCACACGCACACCCCTCTGGAGCCTGGCCAGGTTTGCAAATATCATCGTACCATATGAAGTTTTGGTTTTAGCATGAAGCAAACAAGCACGTTTTCGAGACAAAACACCTGATCTGGGCTCGAAAGGGCAGTTTGCCCGGCATCTTCTCAGTGGCTTTGTGACACTGGGAATCAAGACGGTTAGATAACCAAACCGTTAATTGGGAATGAATTAAGGCTGTGGGCCTAGCCACCTGCTCAGTGGCTCTGTGACAGCAGCCTGAGAGGGTGCTTATTGGAACAAAGAGTGGCTATTTTGGCTGGACCCCCAACACCCAGCGTGGCCAATGGCATGGGTGGATGGGAGCAACATCTGGAGGGCCACAGGTTCTCAGCAGCACCACTGGACTCCCGGGTAGAGTCTGACAAGAGCAGAACAGAGCAGTGTGTTGACTTTATTATTATTTAATCTGTATACTGCCCTTCATCCACAGAGCTCAGGGCAGTTCACAACTTTAAAATACAACAAGACACCCATTAATCTGGACACTAGACTTCTGCTGATGCAGCCTAGAATTGCATTTCCTTTTTATCGTTGCTGCATCACAGAGTTGGTTCATGCTAAGCGTGCAATCTACTAAGACTACCCCGCTGCCCAATCCTTTTGGCAAGCCCTGCTGCCAAGCCAGTTCTCCCCAATCTTTTCATTTGGGCACCTGCTTATTCCTTTTGGATACCTTCTTATTATAGGTGTGCAACAGCAGCAGCATGGATGCTACAAGCCCAGAGAGGAATGGCAAACCAAGCTGTTAGACTATGCGGAAATGGCAAAACTGACCGGAAAGCTCAGGGACCGAGAAGACAAAAACTTCCAAGAAAGAATGGGAAGATTCATAATTTATTTAGGAGACCACTGTAAGCAGATGAAAACGTGAGCAGGATTTTAATCTCGCTTGTAATGTAACAAATACTGTGGACAATATGGATAGATATAAAATATAGATTACGAAATAATATGCAGTTGAAAATGTTGACGCTAGGACCCATGGAGGGGATGGGGGGAAGTATCGAGATTGCACTCTGAATCTTCAGGTTACAGACGCTTCAGTTTACAGACTCCGCTAACCCAGAAATAGTACCTCAGGTTAAGAACTTTGCCTCAGGATGAGAACAGAAATTGTGTGGCCCCATTAGCTAAAGTGGTGCTTCAGAACAGTTTCAGGTTAAGAACGGACCTCCGGAACGAATTAAGTTCTTAACCCGAGGTGCCACTGTACTCTCTTTATATGAATGTGTATTTGGTATGGTTATAAATTTATATTTGTAAAACCAAATAAAAAAAATATATGTTTTTAAAAGGAAATATTTTTATTATTACGCAGCTTCCGATTATGTTCCACAGAAACCGAGCCCCAGGGCACATTAAATTCTACCCCAAGGCCACAGCGAGTCAGAAATAGCTGGCTGGGAGCAAGCAGCGATTCTGAGAGCTGCGGTTTCGTTTCCAGGACCTTGCAAGGTCAGGAAACGAGAGGGCAAGCTCAAAGGTATCAAAACAAAACACACAAAAAACCACCCAAACCTGGAAACCTGCCTGCCGACGCCTCCGGGTCCAAGCCGAAGCCTGTTCCGTTTCTCGTTCTAGGGATATTGACACAGGGATAAAGGTGCCCTCACCCCATGCCCGGGGGCTCATCCTGCCATGCTGATTCATTTACCAGAAGCCTTGGACACGAGCCCTGGGGGGCGGTGAAGCATCCATTCCCCACCACGGGACTCTGGCTCTCTTCGCCCCCGCGCCACACAGACCAAAGGAGGGGAGGGAAAAAAGTTACCGCTTCAGCAGTTCATATATTTGGGCCAAGGACTGACGCTTCATTCTTTTGGAAAGAGTCAAGAGCCGTTTCAAAATGCGGGGATAAAAATAAAAAAGTCTGACTCGGCAAAGGGCTTTCTGGGAAAAACAAAGCAAAAAACGAAACCACACGTTTGCGAAACAGAAAGGGAAGGGAGGGCTGTGGAAGAGAGAGCAGAGCAGGGGAGGCAGGAGGAGCTTGCCTCAGTTCCCAAGAGAGGAGCGATGCCTAGGGGTTAGAGCTGCAGTTTCTCAAAGGTGGGCAGCTAGCTGCTCTGCAGCTTAGGTTTGGCAGAGCACATGTAGGAAGTTGGCTTTTGGGAGGGAGAATTGAAGGGCCTCGCTGGGCTATCAGCTCACAACAGCTTCCAAAAGGGCCACTGCATTTCACACTGCCCTACTTGCCCCACATTTGAAGAACCAGTGTGGTGTGATGGACTCAAATCCACACTAAGCAATGAAGATGACCAGGCATGACCTTGGGCCAGTCACTGCCCCTCTCAGGCTAGCCTAAGATTCCACCAATGGTATCTCCGAAAAATCCGACACATCACTTGGGAAGACAGGCAAACTAATACCAGTGTACAGTGGTACCTCGGGTTACATACGCTTCAGGTTACATAGGCTTCAGGTTACAGACTCTGCTAACCCAGAAATAGTGCTTCAGGTTAAGAACTTTGCTTCAGGATGAGAAAGGAAATCTTGCTCCAGCAGCGTGGCAGCAGCGGGAGGCCCCATTAGCTAAAGTGGTGCTTCAGGTTAAGAACAGTTTCAGGTTAAGTACAGACCTCCGGAACGAATTAAGTACTTAACCTAAGGTACCACTGTACAATAGTCTGTTAAACATTAAAAGCTTCCCTAAACAGGGCTGCCTTCAGATGTCTTCTAAAAGTCTGGTAGTTGTTTTTCTCTTTGACATCTGGTGGGAGGGAGTTCCACAGGCCGGGCACCACTACAGTGGTACCTCGGGTTACATACGCTTCAGGTTACAGACTCCGCTAACCCAGAAATAGTACCTCTGGTTAAGAACTTTCCTTCAGGATGAGAACAGAAATCACGCGGCGGCAGCAGGAGGCCCCATTAGCTAAAGTGGTGCTTCAGGTTAAGAACAGTTTCAGGTTAAGAACGGACCTCCGTAACGAATTAAGTACTTAACGTAAGGTATCACTGTACTGGAAGAAGCAAAGATCACGAGTGTTGGAGCAATGATTCTTCAACACCAACTTCGTTGGACTGGTCATGTTGGGCGGATGCCTGATGATCGTCTTCCAAAGCAACTACTCTATTCCGAACTTAAAAATGGAAAGCATGATGCTGGTGGTCAACAAAAGAGGTTTAAAGACGCTCTGAAGGCAAATCTAAAAAAATGTAGATTATATACACCAACAAAATAAAAGAAATACATTTAAAAAAAAATGTTCCCGCTCTTAGGGACTAGAAACCCACCTAAGTAAACGCACAGCGCTTAGGCTCCGCCCACCCGCTTTGCCCCGCCCCTTCCCCGAACTCCGTCTCCAGGGAAACGGTCCAGCAGCCCCGCCCCTTTCTCCTGGCCCCGCCCCTCACCTGCAGGCTCTCCTTGAGCTGCGGCAGCAGGAGGCGAAAGCGCTGCACCGGGTCGAAGTCCTGCGCCTGCGCGGGAGGCTGGAGCCCGCCGGGAGCCTGGCCGACCGTTAGAGAAGCCGCTCCGGCCGCGGCCTGCGCCGAGCCGGGGTGCCCGCCTCCCGCCGCCGCGCCGCCGCCCGAGGGAGGCCCCACCTGCGCCTGCAGGAGCGTCAGCTGCGCCGGCTGCGCTTGAGGCGGCTGCTGAGGCGCCGCCATCTTGCCTCCGCCTCAGCCTGCGCGGCTCCGTAGTTCCTCTCGACTACCTCTCCCGGCATGCAGCGCGGGGCGCAGGCGCGGGCGGGCTGGATCCCGGCATGCATTGCGCACGAGAACTCGCCTGATTGGCGGCGGCGGGAGCTATATCCCCCACAGTGCATTGCGGCCAGGACTCCATTTCCCGACATGCCTTTCGGGACGGCTTCTTTCTGTGCGAGGGAAGGCGGCTATATCGCGCTATGGCAGTTCCCCTCACACCTGTAGGTGCCGAACAATGGATTTCCCGCGCGCATAAGCAGCCTGCGACGTTTTCCCCTCTTCCCGGAAGTGGCTTGACGTAGCAGCCCGAACTACATTTCCCAGCGGGCTTCGCGGCGGAAAAGGGGGGGTGATTAAGCCCCGCCCCCCGTTGACTGGCGTAGCCTGTTGCTCCTGAGGGGGGTTCGCGATGGCGCCAACTATCCAGACTCAGGCGCAGCGGGAAGAGCCCGGGCACAGGTAGGGGTGACGTCACTCCCCTCTCCCGGACGCCTGGGTCCCCTGTGGAAGAAGGAAGTGGGGAGGGGTCTCCTGCTCCCTCCCCCCCCCGCCCAGCAGTTCTCCCCAAAGGGTCCTAAGAGGGGGAGGGGCTGAGCCCGGACACCTGGGTCCCTCTGCCAGGCGCCTTGTTCTTAAGTCCCTTTGAGTCGTTTCCGTTAAAAACTGAGAAATAAAGTGAGGAATAAAGCAGTAAACAGAAAGTAATAGTACTTATTGTTTTAACTCGTCTTAAAAACTGCTTTTAATGCTGTGTTTTGATGCTGAAAACTGCCTTGGGACCTTAGGAGTGAGAGACAGGTAAGGAACAATGCCACTCATAATATGGACAAGCTGGAAGGTGGGCAGAGAGGGGCGACCAAGACGATCAAGGAAACCAAGCCTGATGAGGAGCGGTCGAAGGAGCTGGGTAGGTTTAGCTTAGAAAAGAGGAGACTGAGGGGAGATATTATGGCCATCTTCAAATACTCGAAAAATTAGAATATCATGGAAAAGTTCATTGATTTCATCAGCTGTATGCCATAATCATCACAATTATAACATATAAAGGCTTGACATATCTCGCTTTGCATGTCATGAGTCCATCTCATATATTAGTTTCACCTTTTAAGTTGAATTCCTGAAATAAATGAACTTTTCCACAATATTCCAATTTTTTGAGTTTCGCCTGTATCTTCAGGGCCGACACCTGGAAGGTGGTGCAAACTTGCTTTCTCCTGCTCCGGGGTGTGTGTGTGTGTGTGTGTGTGTGTGTGTGCCTGAACCAATGAATTCAAAAGGAGATTCTGACTAAACCGTTCCACCAAGTCTCATTTCTTATGCGCCGGCATCTCTGTGCTAAAGTATCAGTAACCCCATCTCTCTATCTCTTTTTCCTCAGGCCCAACTCCCACCGGACGCTTCCTGAGAGGTAAAGATCACCCCCTTGCCATCCCTCACCTCTTGCTTGGAGCGTGGCAAGTGGTCTCACCTCCCTTTCTCACATTTCCCTTTGCAGGTCGGGGGTAGTGTGTCGTGTCAAGTATTGCAACAGTCTCCCCGATATCCCCTTTGACCCCAAGTTCATCACATACCCATTTGACCAGAACAGGTGAGCAATGAGAGGCTCAGATGTGAGGCTGTCATTTTCTGCACATTAGCACATCCACAGTGGATCCTCCGGGGTCTTAAACAGACTGACTTTTCTGTAGCGCATGGCGAGTTAATTCTGAAGTTAAATCTGCAGGTTATCAGGCTGCAAAGTGCCGAATGGATATGACCTCTTAAGTCTGCATGTAAAAATAGATCATAGAAGATGTGCAATGCTTATGTGAAAAGTTACACAGAGGAAACAAAAGTGAATGGGCAGTCATTGGTTGCTAAAATAGTTTTTTTATTTTACAAAAAGTTGGCGCTGTTTTATCTGCTCACATTTTTATATTGCCATGTTTTATTCTTCCTTCTGTTAGTTTACTGTTAGCTGCTTTAGGCATCATTTAGGGAAAGGCAGGATCCATTCAGCATTTTTGAAAGGTGTCTCCAATCAATTGGGTTGCAGAATTAAAGACTGATTATTTTTGTGGAAACCGCATATTGCCGGTTCATAGTCTCTCCTGTGCCAGAGAGAAAGGTGAATGCCCCCACTATTCTCTTTCAGCTTCTGCCTTCTGGAAGAAGGTCCAGGGTTATAAAGACTAGGACTAGCTGCCTGAGAAACAGTTTCTATCCAAATACGATTTTGATTTTAAACGCAGTGTAAGGTAGTCCCTATGGGAGTATATTGAATTTAATTAAGGGGTGTCAGAGTTTTTAGGGGGTCAACCAGGCTGGGATAGCTGGGATGGCAGGCTTGTTGGTTTTTGAATGTCTGATGTAGATTTTTCAATTTCGTTGTTCTGTATGGGACAATGACAGTAAAGATTATCGTATTGTAAATTAGTGTTCAGAGGCACATTTTTTGCAGATTAAAACTCATAATTAGAACTGCCCTTTAGCTGGAGAACAGTGCAAGCATTTTTTTATGACATACCCATGCAAAAGTGGAAAATGCTTGTCCTTGTATATTTTGAAATAATTATCATCCTTTGAAATTCTGCTTATGCTTTTTCTGCTGCTTGACCTGCCTCTTGCTGTTGTCACCTTCCAGGTTTGTACAGTACAAAGCCACCTCTCTGGAGAAGCAGCACAAACATGACCTCCTGACTGAACCCGACCTGGGGGTCACCATAGATCTAATCAACCCCGATACATATCGCATCGACCCCAACGGTGAGAGGAGTTGCGGGACCGGGAAATCTTAATAACCGTGCGGGACCTGGGTGGCACTGTAGTCTAAACCACACAGCCTCTTGGGGTTGCTGATCAGAAGGTCGGCGGTTCGAATCCCCGTGACGGGGTGAGCTCCCGTTGCTCGGTCCCTGCTCTTGCCAACCTAGCAGTTTGAAAGCTCACCAGTGCAAGTAGATAAATAGGTACCGCTCTGGCGGGAAGATAAACGGCATTTCCATGCGCTTTGGTTTCCGTAACAGTTGCGCCAGAAGCGGTTTAGTCATGCTGGCCACATGACCCGGAAAGCTGTCTGCGGACAAACGCCGGCTCCCTCTGAAAGTGAGACGATCACCGCAACCCAATAGTCGCCTTTGACTGGGCTTAACCATCCAGGGGTCCTTTACCTTTTTAATAACCGTGCACAGCAGTTGTGGGTTCCGATTGTGGAGATGTGACTGATACATTTTGGATTCCCATTGCGCAACCTGCTTGATGTCACACACAAATATGTTGTGTATTAGGATGCCAATTTTTAAATGTGGTTGCCCATCCGTCTGTTTCGGGAGGCAATAGAGGAGTGAAGTCAAACCGAAGTTCAAGAGTTACCTACAGCACCTACTTTGGCTGCAGAGACCGATATGGGAGAGACATGTTTTGTTGCAGCTGGGGCTGACAAAGGCATCAGTCACTGCGGTTGTCTGCAAGGAATTCCCCACAAGGCCTGGGTTGATGTCCATGGCAAAAAAAGCCCACTTTAATTGTCTGCGATTGGTACATCTTAATGTGACTGTATCAGGCTGTCATGGATGTGCTGAAGACAATCAGAACTCCAGGAAGACTGGCCAGAGGCGGATTCCCAGGATTTGGCTGAAATAGCTAGACCAGGCTAGGTGTGTAAATAAGGGGTAACAGCCTTCGGCCTCTAACCACTGCTACACCTTCTTTGGCTTCTTGCAGTTCTTCTAGATCCCGCCGACGAGAAGTTGCTGGAGGAAGAGATCCAAGCGCCAACCAGTTCCAAGAGGTAATGGTTTTCACCTGGGCCGGGATTCTAAACCCCAAAGCACTCCTCCGACTGCAGACGCCTGCGAGAAAACCCTTTTCTGCTCTCCGTTGTGTCCCTTATCTCGCTTCCGATCACTTGCCCATCAGCGGCTTTGTTTCAACACCCACTTCCCTCTTTCAAAAAAAAAAAAGCATGATCTGCTTTTCTCCCCTGGGCAATTTGGCTCCAGGGACCACGCATTTGCTCCATAAGACGCACAGACATTTCCCCTTACTTTTTAGGAAGAAAAAAGTGTGTCTTATGGAGCGAAAAATACGGTATATGTTAGGTGGGAAAAATACTCTTAGAATCATAGAATTCTAGAGTTGGAAGGGACCTCTGAGGGTCATCTGGCTCAACCCCCTGCAATGCAGGAATTCTGGCTGCAGGCATCCCTGGGTGGGCTTCAACCACCAACCTTCTGGTTAGCAGCCAGTTGCACTGACCCGTTGCAGAGCAGGAGGGCTCTTCACTGCCAATAATATTATAATAGTAATAATAATAATAAATTTTATTTATACCCCGCCCTCCCCGGCCAGAGCCAGGCTCAGTGTGGCTAACACCAGTAAAATTACAGTAAAAACGTAATAGGAAAAAACCCCAATTTAAAATACAGGTTAAAATACAATTTAAAATGCAGCCTCATTTTAAAAGTAGCCCATAGATCAAGACCATAAGGGGAGGGAAACGTAAGGGTCCGACTGAGCCCAAAGCAAAGGCCAGGTGGAACAGCTCTGTCTTGCAGGCCCTGCGGAAAGATGTCAAGTCCTGCAGGACCCTAGTCTCTTGTGACAGAGCGTTCCACCAAGTCGGGGCCAGTACTGAAAAAGTCCTATGAAATAGCTCAGTGATTGAAATGAAGCAACTTGTACGTTTCTGTTGCCAGTAGGAGTGGCCATGGACAACCCAGCAGCTTTTCCTTCCTAGGTCTTTCTCACAGGTGTTGCAGACCATCTGGAGGGCTAGGAACGTGGCTGTGGGAATTGGGAGGATTGCAGTACTCAGAAATGCCTCTGGAGGGAGACAAGAGACCCATGTGAATTCTTCCTAAAAAAATAAAATCTCTCTTTGCAGATCCCAGCAGCATGCCAAGGTGGTGCCATGGATGAGGAAGACCGAATACATCTCCACAGAGTTCAACCGCTACGGCGTCTCCAACGAGAAGCCGGAGGTTAAGTGAGTAGAAATTAAACATATTTTTAAAAGCTGCTGTTTCAACATAAAAAAACAATAGTGATGAACGTGATAAATCTTTGAGTTTCTGGACCAGGCCTTCAAAGCGTCCAGAGAGATCTGTTTCAGCCAGTTTCCCAAAGTTCCTCCAGAGGACCGCTGTGGTCTTCTTTTACCTGGGTAAACGACTCCTTTCTGATACATATTTCGTTCCTGGTTCTCAATCAGGATTGGCGTGTCTGTCAAGCAACAGTTCACAGAGGAAGAGATCTACAAGGACAGAGATAGCCAGATTGCGGCCATTGAGAAGACCTTTGAGGATGCTCAGAAGTCGGTGAGCTGTCCGGGGTGGTTCCTTTTTTTGGGAAATGAAACCGCTGTCCTCTCACTGTTGCACTTTTGTAAAGGGGATGATGATGATGATTGACAGATTGATGGACTCACCCTGAGGTTCCAGGGCGGGTTAAGTATTAAAACACAATAGGTAAAGGTAAAGGGACCCCTGACCATTAGGTCCAGTTGTGGCCGACTCTGGGGTTGCGGTGCTCATCTCGCTTTATTGGCCGAGGGAGCCGGCGTACAGCTTCCAGGTCATGTGGCCAGCATGACTAAGCCGCTTCTGGAGAACCAGAGCAGCGCACGGAAACGCCGTTTACCTTCCCGCCGGAGCGGTACCTATTTATCTACTTGCACTTGACATGCTTTCGAACTGCTAGGTGGACAGGAGCAGGGACCGAGCAACGGGAGCTCACCCCATCGTGGGGATTCGAACCGCCGACCTTCTGATCGGCAAGCCCAAGAGGCTCTGTGGTTTAACCCACAGCGGCACTCGAATCCCTTTAATTAAAACACAATACTCAGAGCTTGAAGCTGCCCACCTGGCCAGGAAATGCAGGGGTGGACGGCAGCATAAATATGTTTGCTGTGCCCCTTTGGGAGGACAATGCTTTTCGGGGATTTGGGGGCGCAGTTCTGAGAAGCTTATTGGTGTCCTTGCCTCCGCTGGCCTCACCCACATTTCTCACTTCCAAATTCTTCCTCCAGATCGCTCAGCACTACAGCAAGCCTCGGGTCACGCCGGTGGAGGTCATGCCTGTCTTCCCTGACTTCAAGGTGAGATCGAAAGAAGGGACAGTTGGATTATTTTATTTTATTTTATTTTATTTTATTTTGATTATTATTATTCTTTATAATCACTCTTTCCTCCAGGGACATCGAATAACTTACAAAAAAATCATCAAAAATCTAACTATAACATACATCAAAATCATCCTCCTATTAGTTATGCATAACAGTATATTCTTTTGTCCCTATTCATTTATCCTAATTTTTCCCCTCCCTTCCTCCCTCCCTTTTACCCCTCCCCCCCCAAAACTTGTTCTCTCTTCAAATCTTTAACCATGTGCACAGATTAATCATTCTAATTTGAATGCTTGGGTTGGTTCCCCCCGTGCTATCCAATTCCTATAACTTGTCCATTGATTCAAAATCTTTTGACATTTGTTTTCCCATGTATCTTCCGTCATTGCCTTTTCAAATACATCAGATTGTATATGTTCAAAAACATAGTCATTCCATTTTTCCATTGTCCATTTATCCTTTTCTTTCCATCCTGATGCAATAACAAGCATACCAGCTAAGATCATAATTTTATACCAATATTGCTCTTTTCTTTCTACAGTGGTGCCTCGCAAGACGAAATTAATCCGTTCCGCGAGTGTCTTCGTCTAGCGGTTTTTTCGTCTTGCGAAGCAACCCTATTAGCGGCTTAGCGGTTTAGCGGCTATTAAAGGCTTATCGGCTTAGCGGATTAGCTGCTAAAAGGCTATTAAAGGCTTAGCGGCTTAGAAAAAGGGGGGGAAAGCAGAAAAAAAATCTCAAGACTCGCAAGACATTTTCGTCTTGCGAAGCAAGCCCATAGGGAAATTCGTCCTGCGAAGCAACTCAGAAACGGAAAACCCTTTCGTCTAGCGGGTTTTCCGTCTTGCGAGGCATTCGTCTTGCGGGGCACCACTGTATTTTACTATTCCCCAGTATTCCTGAGATAAACATCTCTCTATATATGTGCATATACTCCTAACTCTTGACCCCTAACTCTATGTATGGGGGCAGTTGGATCTAAGATGTTTGGGGCTTTGTATACAGCAGCCCTGCTCTCGCCACTAGGCCTCTCTCCACCTGCTTGGTTCCTATGGTTTTTCGACTGCGAAAATTCCTTTCCTGTTTATTTGCGAAGGGTCCGTAGGCAGGGAGAGCGAGATTAGAGAGGTGCTGGGCTCTTGGCAAAGGTGGATGAACCACTGAGCGAAACAAGCGCTTGCTTAGGGCATCAAGGGAAGGGGGGAAGCCACAGAAATTTTCCATGGCCGGATTTTTAACATTTAGTGGTCACAAATTGCTCAGCTTGGCGTTCCTTTTCTCAGCCGAAGTATATTAAAAACCCCAACAGAACAACAATTCAACAAGGCATGCGGAATGCTTATCTCCTTTAAGTATAGAAGCAGATGGTTTTGAGGATCTGATCAAAGACTTGTGCAGTTGGAAAAAGTAGGAGAAAACTTTCCGAATACAAATAAAGCGGAAGTACACGTGTACCTTGGTTATCACGCAGAATGCGTCCCGGGAGTCTTGTTCGACTTCCGGAACTGTTCGAAAACCAAGACATGGCTTCTTGCATCCTACAGCCGATCAGAAGCCACGCCAGACGTTCGGCTTCTGAAAATCATTCGAAAACCGGAACGCTCACTTCCGGTTTTCGATCATTCGGGAGCTGAAATGTACGAGTTCCAAGGCGTCCGGCAACCGAGGTACAACTGTATACAAAAACATTACTTTCCATGTTACTGTAGGTTTTGTCTCGTTTCGAAAAATAAAATTTTATCTTGTGGTTTATAATTGCGTATATTTTAGATTAGAGATATATGGGGGCACCAAAATATTTTAAGTGCTCAGGGCCTCTAAAGGTCTTAATCCGTGCCTCTCTGCCTAAGAGGAGAGTAAGACTCAGGGGGTGGAGTAGTAGTCGCCCTGGTCTCGCACCCATTCCCTGTTTTTGCACGCAGAAGCCCCTCCTTTATTCTCCTCGGACTGCACAGTCAGGCCCATTTGGGGCGAATCCTGGAGCATAGCTGTCGACTTTTCCCTTTTTTTGCGAGGAATCCTATTCGGAATAAGGGAAGTTCCCTTAAAAAATGGGAAGTGTTGACAGCTATGTCCTGGAGGGGTGGGGCTGAGGCACTTCTAAGGAGGCCCTGCCAGCTGTGTGCCATTTCTGGAGGGTTCTTGCCATGCCGTAAGCTGTTCTTCTTCCGCCCTCTGCCAGATGTGGATCAACCCCTGCGCCCAGGTCATCTTCGACTCCGACCCAGCGCCCAAGGACACCAGTGGGTCAGCCGCCCTCGAGATGATGTCCCAGGCCATGATTAGGTACGGAAATGCAGTTCTCTTCGTGGGAAACGGGAATTCTTCCAAGCCTCACTTTGAGAAGCTGTGCTGGGGTTGACCCTGAGGCCTTCTGCATGCTGGGCAGGTCTCCTGCCACCAAACCATAGCTGTCAACCGTCCCTTATTTGGCGGGAAAGTCCCTTATCCCAGCGCTGTGTCCCGCTGCTGTCCCTTATTGATGATGTCCCTTAAATTTCCCGGGTTTCAAAGGAAGCAGCTCCTCTCCCTCCCTCCCTCCCTGCCGGCCAGGGAGGAGGGAGGCTCCAACTGTGTTGCTTGGCTGCGTTGCTCACCCAATAAGGAGTCTAAGAACGACTCGGGGGTGGAGCTTGCATGCCTTGTTCTGATCAAATTGGCCGCGTTGCCTGGGGACTCGCCTTTGCTCAGCGCTTCCCAGCGGAGAGGTGACGGTGGTTTTCCTTGCTGCATCCCCTTTGCCGGGTTGCTGCGCTGTGGGAACCACCGCTTGAGGCTTCGTTTGGCTGCTGGCTGGGCTTTCTGCCTTTGGCTCGGAGGGGCTCAGAAGTTGAACATACCTGTGTTCGGAAAATCCCTTATTTTGGCTGCTGATCCCTTATTTTCGAGGCTGCTGGTCCCTTATTTTTAAATCTGGAAGTTGACAGCTATGCACCAAACTCCAGTCTCTCCATGACAAACTGGTTTGCTAATGGATTCCATGCAAGAGATAACTTTCCTCTTTCTCTCTCTCTCTCTCTCCCCCCCCCCCCAAATTCCAGGGGCATGATGGACGAAGAAGGGAACCAGTTTGTGGCCTACTTCCTCCCTGTGGACGACACAATGCGCAAACGCAAACGGGACCAAGACGAAGAGATGGACTACGCTCCCGAGGATGTGTACGTGTGCCAACCGAGAGGGCGCGCGGGTTGTCTGGTTAAGAAAGCAGAACTTTACGGGGAGACCTTTTATTTTAAAAAATCCCCGCACTTGGAAAACCAACACGTCAGGCGTGTTTCCTGCCCAAGCCGTCTCCCTGACACACTACCTTTCTGCACGCGGGGACTTGTTTTCTCCTGCTCCAAAGGGCAGGGCTCAAACCCAGTGGCTTCAAGTTTAAGAAAGGAAATCCCAAATAAACATTTGGGGAGGACTTTCTTTCTTTTTTTTTGCGATTTTAATCCAAGTCCTTTATTATGAAAATTAACACAGCTTGCTCAAAATTCAGCTTAAAAAGAGATAAGCCTGTTTACATATTATAAGGGAGAGGGAAGATCAGTTATTATTTCATCCAAAGTGGCCAGGAAGTCTAGAGTGGACTGCAGGGTATCATAGCTCCATGAAATGGAAGGCTCTTTTGCAGGTACAGAGATTGTGCTTGCAAATCTGTCAGAGGCATTTTCAAATACCATCAGAGGAACTCCAGTCAGGGGCGTGTGGCTCAGCCTGTGATCTTCGGGAACTTCAAAACTCTCAAAAGTCTAAAGGATCATAGGAAAAGAGGTTCTCCTTTTCTGGATAGTCTTCAGGAACCATGCCGCTGCTTTCAACTCTGTTTGCAGTTTCAGTAGCCTTTTTCGTAGAAGACTTTTTTCCTTTTGGGAAGTTGCTCTTTGTTGTTGTTAAAGGCCCACTCAAATTTCCTAGAACCTCCCTGACAGACTGGAATGCTGCTGGATTTATGTCAGCTGTCCTTCCGACAAGTGGAGTCTTGGGGCAAGACCTTTCAGCAAAACTCTTTGATGGTGCAGATACCAATTGCACCCGACCCTTAGAAGAAGCAACCGTGCCAATTTCATCATTCTCTTTTTCTATGTACCATATTTTTCTCTCTATACCAGACCATAAGACGCACCTAGTTTTTGGAGGAGGAAAACAAGAAAAGAAAATATTCTGAATCTCGGAAGCCAGAACAACAAGAGGGATCGCTGCGCAGCGAAAGCAGCGATCCCTCTTGCTGTTCTGGCTTCTGGGATAGCTGCGCAGCCTGCATTCGCTCCATAAGACGCACACACATTTCCCCTTACTTTTTAGGAGGGAAAAAGTGAGTCTTATAGAGCAAAAAGTACGGTAAATTTGTGCTGCCATCACTTTGACACCCAAGGATTGCTGCCTAAAGGAATCAAAGAACACTAAAAGCGATAACACCACCAACCTTGGGGAGGACCTTCTGACAGCAAGGGCTGTTCAGCAGAAGAACGGCCTCCGATTCTCCTTCTTGGAGGTTTTTAAACTGAAGTTGGATGGCCATCTGTCAGGGATTCAGTTGTGATTCCTGCATTGGACCAGATGACAGTTCTGTGCTTATATTTTGAAGGAGCCTGGGTAGAACGGTTTGCCCTCTCAGCCGATGGGATTATTGGAAGGGGGCGGGAGAACACCTCGGAATGAATATGGGGGTGCTGCAAATCCCTCACCCATTTCTTTCTATCCCTTTCCTCCAGGTACGAGTACAAGATCGCCCGGGAATACAACTGGAACGTCAAGAACAAAGCCAGCAAGGGCTACGAGGAAAACTACTTCTTCATCTTCCGGGAGGGCGACGGGGTCTATTACAACGAACTGGAGACCAGGTGAGGTAGAGGGAGTAACTGAAGCCTTTTGGGGGGGGGAGTGTTCTGGTGGCCAGGGGGGCCTCCAGGTAAAAGGGTCTGGGGCTATTGGGGGGGGCACGGTGTTGGTGGTGGTGCCAGGGCCGGCTGGAGCTGCCCAGCCCTTTTCCTTTCTCCGCTGAGCACATGGTTAACCTGTGGAACTCCCTGCCACAGGAGTCAGGGATGGCCACCAACGAAGACGGCTTTAAAAGAGGATTAGTCACTCTTATTTACGTATTTCTTGTTTCTTGTTTGCTCTCTTTATATACTGCCTTTCATCCGAAGATGAAAGTTTGCGGCGTAAAAATGCAAAACGGAAGCACAAAATAGATAACGAAAACGAGGACAAAAGCAATACAAAAACAAATTATGAAGGAAGAGAAAAATATCGGTGGCTACTTGCCATGATAGCTATAATAATAATAAATCATTTATATCCCGCCCTCCCCAGCCGAAGCCGGGCTCAGAGCGGTTAACAACAATAAAAGTAACACAGCATTCTAAAATCAATTCATTCTAAAATCAATTCAAAATCAAATTGATGGCAACCATTGGGCTAGACTTCTATGAGGATCACCAAAGGAGGGGGTCAGACTGCGCCTTGGCCAAAGGCCTGGTGGAACAGCTCCGTCTTGCAGGCCCTGCGGAAAGATGTCAAGTCCCTCAGGGCCCTAGTCTCTTGTGACAGAGCGTTCCACCAGATCGGGGCCACGGCCAAAAAAGCCCTGGCCCTGGCCCTGGTTGAGGCCAGCCTAACCTCCCTGTGGCCCGGGACCTCCAAGATGTTTTTATTTGAAGACTATAAGGTATTTTGTGGGACATACCAGGAGAGGCGGTCCTGTAGGTACGAGGGTCCTAACCCATATAGGGCCTCCCTGGTCAGATAAATGCTTCTGAACGCCAGTTTCTGGAGACGGCAGGAGGGGAGAGTTGCTCCTGTCCTCAAATCCTCCTTGCGGGTTTCCCACAATGGGCATGTTAGGATCTCATGGAACCTCCAGGTCCAGAGGCAGTCTATCTAGACTCCTATTTTGGGGGGGTATTTGGCCACCGTGAGACTAGCTGGGCCTGATCCAGCAGCCTCTTCTTCTTAGTCCTTTCCCCCCGGCACATGTTGCATCCGAGCTGCGGGTCCTGCGTGGCAGGGGGTGGGCTGGATGACCTTTGGGGGTACCTTCCAATACTTTGAATTTATGAAATAAGGGCCTCCCCAGAGATATCCCATTGTGTTCCCTCTGCTGGTCACCACCGTGACCCCGCTAAGTGGCACAGGTGGTTCTGGCATGCAACCAGCCCCTTGCCGCCCCCAATTTTGTGCAACACGCCACCAGCACTCGAGGGCTGTATCCTGCTGCCAGGGCATGTGTGTATGCGCAGAGTCGGGCCCCTGCTCCCTCCTTAACCTCTCCCTCCCCGTCACAGAGTGCGGCTGAGCAAGCGGCGAGCCAAGGCCGGGGTGCAGTCGGGAACCAATGCTGTTCTGGTGGTGAAGCACCGAGATATGAACGAGAAGGAGCTGGAAGCACAGGTAAGGCTGGCGTGGGGGAACCCAGGGGAACCAGGAATCCGGGCTCTGAGCTTCAACCCCATCTCTTTTTTCTTATTTTTTCAATAATTTTTTAATTAGCTTTTCAACATATCATTTTCAACAATAATTGCACGTACTTTTGCATTTTTTTTTACTTCAATCACATCTGAAAATTTTCCAATCTATTCATTTAATTTACATTTCTTATTTTCACTATTACATTTAAGTCTCATATCTAATATCTCTTTTCTTTCTCTTCTTTGTAACACTTCGTATATTTCCCCTTACAAAGCTTCTTGTAGTCCTGCTAGCGTAATTTGTTGGATTACAGTTGCTCTTCAAATAATTTGTATATTTCTTCCAATCTTCTGCAAATCTCTGGTCCCGCAGGTTTTGAATCCTTCCTGTCATTTTATCCAATTCTGCGTTAATTTTGTCTGCCATTCTTTTTTTGTTTTCTTCTTGCTTCCATTTCTGGGCTAACAATACTCTTGTTGCGTATAAAAACAATTTTACATCCTGTCTACAGTGGTGCCTCGCAAGACGAAATTAATCCGTTCCGCGAGTGTCTTCGTCTAGCGGTTTTTTCGTCTTGCGAAGCAACCCTATTAGCGGCTTAGCGGATTAGCGCTATTAGCGGTTTAGCGGCTATTAAAGGCTTAGCGGATTAGCTGCTAAAAGGCTATTAAAGGCTTAGCGGCTTAGAAAAAGGGGGGGGGAGCGAAAAAAAAATCTCAAGACTCGCAAGACATTTTCGTCTTGCGAAGCAAGCCCATAGGGAAATTCGTCCTGCGAAGCAACTCAAAAACGGAAAACCCTTTCGTCTAGCGGGTTTTCCGTCTTGCGGGGCACCACTGTATTAATATCCTTACTTATAACGCCAAGTAGAAATGCTTCTGGATTTTTTAGAAATGTATATTCCAACATCTTTTTAAACTCGTTATATATCATTTCCCAAAAGTTTTTTACTTTCTTACATTCCCACCACGTATGATAAAATGTTCCTTCGAGTTTCTACCCCATCTCACTGCCCCGCTCTGGCCATTGGAGCTGGCCGGATGCTTAATGGAAGCGAGGATCATTGACGGAATTAGAACCAATTCCTAGAGAGAGGAGAGGCAAACCACTGGCTATCGGCCACCATTTGTTGTTGTGTAGTCGTTTAGTCGTGTCCGAGTCTTCGTGACCCCATGAACCAGAGCACGCCAGGCCCTCCTGTCTTCCACTGCCTCCCGCAGTTTGGTCAGACTCATGCTGGTAGCTTCGAGAACACTGTCCCACCATCTCGTCCTCCGTCGTCCCCTTCTCCTTGGGCCCTCCATCTTTCCCAACATCAGGGTCTTTTCCAGGGAGTCTTCTCTTCTCATGAGATGGCCAAAGTATTGGAGCCTCAGCTTCAGGACCTGTCCTTCCAGTGAGCACTCAGGGCTGATTTCCTTCAGAATGGAGAGGTTGGATCTTCTTGCAGTCCATGGGACTCTCAAGAGTCTCCTCCAGCACCATAATTCAAAAGCATCCATTCTTTGGCGATCAGCCTTCTTTATGGTCCAGCTCTCACTTCCATACATCACTACTGGGAAAACCATAGCTTGAACTATACATAGCTTTAACCATAGCTTTAACTATATCAGCCACCACTAGAGATACGGAAATCCAGTTCGGTCCTTGGCATCTGGGGCCTGGTGCACCTCAATCTCTGAAGGCCAGGCCTTCTCTTCCGGTCGAAATTCTCTGGAAAGGAGGACTTGGGGTGGGAGACGGAAGACAAAAGTCTGCCCCCTGGGAAGGAAGGTGCCTCTGCTCACTGGTACCTTTGGGGTTCCTAAGTTCCTAGAACAATTTTGGCCATGGCAGTTCCGTCGAGCCTCCATGTTCCGAAGCAGTCTATACCTTGTGGGGGGGGGGGGGAGTCAGGAGAGAACAAGGTTTTTCCCACCGTGCTTGATAGATAGGTTCTCAGGGGCATCCCATCAGCCGCTTTTGAGGGGGCAGAGGGCTCGACCCTTCAGCTGGTCTTGGCCGGGTTAGGCTAAGTCAGGGGTTGGCAAGGTTTAAATTGCCTGGGCCGGTTCACTCCAGCGTCGATCCCTCTGGGCTGGATTGCGTGTGCGCGTGAGCGCGCACGCGATTTCCAAAGTCTGCGCAGATGCGATTTCCAGCGTCTTCGTCTGCACAGATGCAATTTCTGGTGTATGCGCAGACGCAATTTTTGCTGACACAAGTCCCTCCGCCATGTTGTGCCGGTTTGGTGCAGTGCGCAGGGACTCGCCGAGTGGGTGGCTTGGTTTGGGGGCGGCTCGTGGGCCAGTTAAACGACCCCCATGGGCCTTAGGTTGCTGACCCCTGGGCTAAGTGAACCCAGAACCTGGGGAAATGTCATAATAGTAATAAAACCATAATTTATTATTTATACCCCGCTCATCTGGCTGGGTTTCCCCAGCCAATCTGGGCGGCTCCCAACAGACTATTAAAAATAGAATCAAACATTAAAAACTTCCTAAAGAGGGCTGCCTTCAGATGTCTTCTAAAAGTTTGGTACTTATTTTTCTCTTTGACATCAGGTGGGAGGGCGTTCCACAGGCGGGTGCCACCACCGAGAAGGCCCTCTGCCTGGTTCCCTGTAACCTCACTTCTCGCAGGGAGGGAACTGCCAGAAGGCCCTCAGAGCTGGACCTCAGTGTCTGGGCAGAACGATGGGGGTGGAGACTGACTGGATGACAAGGAGTGGTGGGAGGCACCGGCCGGGGAACCCCCAAGGGAGGTCCCAGAGGCTCTGAACCCCAGGGGTTGACGGAGCGGTCAGAGGGAGATTGGAAGGGGATGCTGGATACAGATGGGACAACAGGGTTTAGTGAGCAGGAGGAACCTGTGACAGGGAGCAGCTCAGACTCTGAGGCTGAAGCAGAGGAAGGGGGTCAAAAATGCTGAATTATCCAGGGTATCTCCCTCTCCTGTTGCAACAAGTTCCTCTTTCCTCTGATCTCCAAGCACATCAAGATAATGAGGGCAGAACAGAAGCCAGAGGTGTGCAGGTGCAACTTGAGACTGCTTGGGAAACATCTGGGAGAGGAGAAGACTTAGGTGGAAGGCCCTGCCTCTTTGTTCTGACCTGACTCCAGCCCTGGCAGGAATGCCAGTGGAGTTGCTGGAAGTCAGCTGGGGGCAGTTTCTCCTTCCCCAAATGCCCCCTAACTCGCAGCTCTGTCCCCTGCAGGAAGCCCGCAAAGCCCAGCTGGAGAACCACGAGCCAGAAGAGGAGGAGGAGGAGGAGATGGACCTGGGCAAAGAGGCCCAAGGCTCAGGTAGGTGCCGGCTTGGCAAAATCTCTCCCTGGTGCCCCCTCTGCTCGCTGCTGAAGATCCCTGTGTGGCCAGGCGGCCACATTGCGGAATTTGCAGCCTCTGCTTTAAAGAACTCCCCCTGCATTTTGGCCCCTGGTGGAACACTCCAAAGCAGCTCCATCGCTGTTGCCTCATTGGCTGGCGCAGCGGCATCCATGTTTCTTAAAGGGGGAGGTCCTGCCTTCCATCGTGACCCTCTTCGTTTAAAGGGATGGGAACCGTATACAGTCATACCTTGAGTTACAGATGCTTCAGGGTGCGTTTATTGGGGGGTTACGGACCACCAAAACCCAGAAGTGCCGGAACCGTTTACTTCCAGGTTTCGGCGGTCGCGCATGTGCAGAAGTGCTAAATCGCACTTTGCGCATGCGCAGAAGCACCACATTGCACTTCGTACATGTGCAGAGGCGCCAAATCACAACGCGCGTGCGCAGACGCGCCGCTGCGGGTTGCGAACGTGCATCCTGCACGGATCACGTTCGCAACCTGAGCATCGGCTGTATGTTGTGTTTACAGAAATATTGTGAAGAAGTGGACTTACTAGCAGGGTTTGAGTAAACACTTAACAATTAAGAAAACGAGCCTGAAAGTCAAGATGTAATAATAAAGGGCAAGGTGTAATATGGAAAAGTATGGTACAAAAGTGATAAGATTGTAACAATATCAAATTAAGAGATTATAAAATTAAGCTAGAATAAAACAGGCAGGAGAAGTAAATAAGGAACCAGAAGAGGAAGTTGAGGGAAGTCATGGGTGAGGGGGATAGGGATTTATATATACTTTTTGTGATAAAAAGGATTGCGTTGAATATAAAACTGTACAACTTAATAAAAAACTATTAAAAAAATAATAAACGGATGTTCCTGGCCCGTCCTCCCGCTTTAGGGTCCCCAGATGTTGTTGGACTACAACTCCCATCATCCCTGAGCTCTGGCCTTGCTAGCTAGGGGTGATGGGAGTTGTAGTTCAACAACATCTGGGGACCCACAGGTTGAGAAAGGCTGAGCTAGAGCATTGGGTGAGGAGAGAGCAGGGTTCAAATCCTCCCAGTTGGCTATGAAGCTTACCCTGTGGCCCCCACGGGGGGGGGAGAGTAGCCACTGCTTCTCTCAGCCCTTACCCTACCTCAAAGGGTTGTTGTTGTGGGATTAAATGAGGGGGAAGAGTCACGTACTGCCACCTTGATCTCCTTCGGAAGAAACGCAATCGGTCCCCCTGAAAAGCCAAGCTTTCCCCCGTTTTCCCCCTGTCCGTGTGCTCACCTCTCTCCTTTTCCCGCTCGCCCTAGACGAGGAGCCGGAGAAAGGCAGCGAGAGCGAGAAGGAGGCCAGCGAGGCGGAGGAGGGCGAGGAGGAGGAGGAAGGGCGCTCGGCCAGCGAGAGCGAGCGGGAGGCCAGCGAAGGCGAGGGGGCTCCGGCCGAGGAGAGCGAGGAGGACGAGCGGGCAGCCCGAGACAAGGAGGAGATCTTCGGCAGCGACGACGACGAGGACGAGGACTCGGAGCAGGAGGGAGGCCAGCGCGACGAAGGCGAGAGCGGCAGCGAGGAGGACGACGACGACGAGGAGGACGAGGAAGGGGGAGACCGGCGCCAGCAGCGCCGTGCCAGCAGCCAGAGCCCCCTCCACAGCGGCAGCGAGGACCGCTCCAACCACGAGGAGGAGGAGGAAGAGGAAGGGGAGGCCAGCGCCAGCGAGGCCCCGTCCGAGTCCAGCGAGGAGGGCAGCGACAGCGACTGAGCAGGCCCTTTTGGAAGTCGCCTTCACCCCTCTCCTGCAGGGGCCACACCTGGGAATGGACGGTACTTACCTTGGCTGGCTGGCTGGCTGCTTTGTCCCAGTTAAGCCCAGAGGATTCTGGGAATTTTCTTTCCTCCCGGCGAACGAGGCGGATCGGAGGGCTGCCTCCCCGCCACCCGTTTCTGCCGATCTTCCACCTCCGCCAGCGAACTCTTTGCTGCGAACCTTCTGCAGAAACGACTGGGGTTTGGGGTGTGCGGTGGGACACAGACTCACACGACTTTGGTTCTTCGGCTCCCCTTCTTGTGTTTTTCTCTGCCCCCCGCTGTACATAATGCGCCACATGGCAGTTCTCTCTCTCTCACCCACCCCAAAATAAAGTTTTTTGCTTCTTGAATCTCCACTCTCTTGTTAATCAGGGCCACTTGCAACACCGTTGCAGCAAGTGTACTTATTTATAGCCATGCCTCATGTTACGTTTGCTTCGGGTTGAGCGTTTTCAGGTTGCATCCTGCGGCGACCCGGAAGTACCGGAAAGGGTTACTTCCGGGTTTCGCCGCTCGCGCAAAATGGCGCCACGCACGTGCGCAGAAGCGGCGAATCATGACCCGTGCACGCGCAGATGCGGACTGCGTTCTGTTCAGGTTGCGAACGGGCCTCCGGAACGGATCCCGTTCGCAACCAGAGGTACCACACTATTTCGGAAAATAATTGCCTACCGCTTTTTCGTAAAAATTCATCAAATTGGGATACAGCAATAAAACCATCCTCTAAAGCAGGCATCCCCAACCTGCGGCCCTCCAGACGTTTTGGGACTACAACTCCCATGATCCCTAGCTAACAGGACCAGTGGTCAGGGATGATGGGAGTTGTAGTCCCAAAACATCTGGAGGGCCGAAGGTTGGGGATGCCTGCTCTAAAGTCATAAAAAGTTAAATGCAGACAATCAGAAAACCATCGTGGAAGGATGTTCTCCTGAATTGCCTGCATAGGCCTGGTGGAATAGAAAGGAATTCATCAGGTGTTTTAACAGTTGGCGCTGAAGGCAACTGCTGAATCTCCAGTGGCAGGGAGTTCCACAGGACTGGGCCAACAGCACCAAAGGGTTTCTTCTTGTTGTCAAGTGACTCTCGCGAACTTGGGGAATGCAAACAACACTCCTGTGGATCTCTGATTGAGATGGGATCTATAAGGGTTTGGGCGATCCCTGAGCACCCTGGGCCTAGGTTGCTCAGGGCTTTGTAAACTTGGATGAAGGAGGGGAGGGTTGGTTGTCAAGCTTGCCCGATGGCACTGATCGGAGAGGGAGAGCTGGTAAGACTCGGGAACAGCATTCAAGATGCTTTGGGCAGGATTGGAGAACCCAGAACAAAACTTGTGGCTTCAGCTGAAATCGGTGTGAAGTTCTGCATTTGCGCCGGAAGAGTCAGGCTAGCAAGTGTTTAGTAGCAGCACTTGTGGAAATGATCTAGGACAGGGGATCTCAAAGGGTGGGGCAGGAGAGGATGGCAATGGGCCAGGAAGATTCAAGGATAATCAAGGAAACATTTAGACATTTCCATGTTATATAGTATAAAAAAAATGTTTCCCTTTGCAGAATATGAATAGGTACCTTTTCAAAATGAAAACAAGTGCAGGAAGTGATACTGAGAACAACCCTAGATGAGTTTTCCAATGTATTTATTTTCCATTAAAAAAAAATCTGGTGCAAATTTTTATTCTGAAAGTTTGGCCCAGAGGGAGGAAAAGTTTGAGGAACACTGATCTAGGGCTTGTTTTTTTAGGAGAGCACAATCTGAACAGAAGGAAGCAGTGTAATGCAACTAATTTCTTTGCTCTGCAAGGCCCGTATTGCATATTTTGCAAATGGCTGGAGATGTTTTGGGAACAGCTGAAGAATATTCAGAACCTGGCATTTTGGGGAAGACTTTCGGAAAGGGGCAAGGAGAGCCAGATGGTGTTCTGGCTCTATCCAGGTTCAAGTAAATATGGCTGTGTTCCTTTGACGGTGAAGACAGTCCTAGCTTTTAAGAAATTTGGTTGATTCACCTATTTACACCTTCCGTCTGCATGGAAGAAGTCCTGACGTTGCAGCCTGGTCGTTTCAAGAGCTGCTTGCCCCGCAGCAGGGCAACCCTGGAGTCCGAGGCATCTCTCCCAATTTTCCCTATGGACGATTTTGCCCGTCTTCTTTGTAAACCGCTTTGAGGGCTTTTGAATTCTATGAAATAAAAGTAAAAAATAAATCCCGCATGGGCGTGGTCTCATTTCCAGTTTTACCCTCTCCCGCCCTCTTTGAGTCTCTGCCCCGCTCTGCCATCGCAAAGAACCCCAAGGCCATGGCGCGTCGGCCTTTTGCGCTTCATGGAAAGAAAAGGTGGCGCGCGTTAGGAAGGAAGGAAGGAATTTTAAAAGGTGGTGGGTGGGGAGTAAACTGGGGATCGGGTCTACCCCCCCCCTCGGACGGGCACGCGCCTTGGAGAGAGCCCTCGCCCCCCCTCGCCCCGCCCAGGCAGCCCAGAAGGACCCAGGAGTCCGGGCTGGCGGGGGACCCTTTTGGAACGCAGAGCGGCTGGACCAGTTCTTGCGCCATCATCTTGGAAAGGCAGTCAGAGAAAGCGGGCTTTCCGTAGCCCAAGATGATGGCGCAAGAATTGGTCCAGCCGCTCTGCGTTCCAAAAGGGTCCCCCGCCAGCCCGGACTCCTGGGTCCTTCTGGGCTGTCTGGGCGGGGCGAGGGCGCTCTCCGAGGCGCGTGCCCGCCCGAGGTTTCTCCTGCCGTCTCCTCCGGCGGCAGGTGGCGGCGCTGCGCCAGGCAGGCAGGCAGGCAGGCGGCGCGCTCTCGCTGCCTTCGCGTCTCTCGTCGCTTCCCGGACGCCACCCAGGAAGCGGTCTCGATCGGGGCAGGGCGAGCGCGCCTGGACGCGCGGGGCTTCCGGGGAGCCGGAGATCCAGCGGCCTGGGGAGGCGGAGAGGTTCCGGGCCTCTCCGTGCGCCTCCAGAATCTCGGAAAGGAAGGTGGTCTCCGGGGTCGCCGGCCGGTAAGAGGCGCGCAGCAGAGCGCACGGTGCGCTCGGGCGCCTTGGAGAGGCCTGGGAGGTGGATGGAGGCGCGGGGGTTCCCTTTTGGGTGCGCGAGCGAGCGGGCTCTGAGCATGTGCAGAGTGCCTCCCGCGGGCGAGGCCCTTGGGTGGATGGAGCGGTGAGGCGGAGATGAGGAATGCGGGGTGTGAGCAGGAAGGTGCGGCGGGTTTCGGGGTGCGCCTCTGGGGAGCCCTGCGCCAAGCTCCGCTGCTGCATTTGAAACGCCGATCCCAGCTGCGGAAAGGCGGAGAGGGTCCGGCGCTCTGCACACGCCCAGAGGCCCACAGGTGAGCTGATTCCCCCAGCCTCACTCGGGTACCCTAAAGAAAGGAGTTAGAGCCTCTGCGGCGTGGAGGTTAAAGTTTCGGGTTAGGACGTCGGAGCAACCAGGGTTCAAATCTCCCACTTGGCCCTGAAGCTCCCTGGAAGATTTTGAGTGCCAGTCGCCGCCTCGCAACCTCACAGGGTCTTTGCGGGGATAAAATGAGTGGGAGAACCGTGTTGGCTGCCTTGCGGTCCTTGGAAGAAGAGGCGTCAAATAATTGTCTTTCTCCTCTTCTGATGATATCTAAGGCAGCACCTGAGTTCGTTTAGCCTACCTGTGTTCTTTGCCTTTCCTAGCAGACCTAGAAAGCAACCTCTTGTGAAGGCAAAAGGGGGCGAAAATCTAAGAAATGTGGCAGGAAGGTGGTCTATAAATGGAGTATCGAGGAGGTGGGGCCACTTCCACCTGTTGCTGTTTCTTTGTTCCCAAACTGCGGTCTTCTTTCTGTCCTGCTCAGGTGCTCCGTGCGAGGAAGGAGAGAGACGCCTTTACCTGCTTCCAACACCTGGTTAATGGATGAGCCGAACAGGACAAGGAACTTCATTTGCAACCGTAAGCTCACCCCAAGTTGGGATGGTATGATGGGGAGTAGGGGGCTGCGATGGGCAGCAGAGGGATTTCGTCTCTGTTGCATTTATACCCTACCTTTCCTACGAGGTATCGTATGTGGTTCTCCCCTTCCTTCCTTTAATCCCACGACGACGACCCTGTGAGGTAGGTGAGGTTGAGAAGCAGCGGCTGGCCCCCAAAGTCACACCCAGTGAGTTTCATGGCTCTCCCAGGCCCTAGACCGATACTCTAAAGGTAAAGGTAAAGGTAAAGGGACCCCTGACTGTTAGGTCCAGTCATGGCCGATTCTGGGATTGCGGCGCTCATCTCGCTTTATCGGCCGAAGGAGCTTCCAGGTCATGTGGCCAGCATGACTAAGCCACTTCTGGTGAACCAGAGCAGCGCACGGAAATGCTGTTTACCTTCCCGCCGGAGCGGTACCTATTTATCTACTTGCACTTTGACGTGCTTTCAAACTGCTAGGTTGGCAGGAGCAGGGACCGAGCAACGGGAGCTCACCCTGTCGCAGGGATTCGAACCGCCGACCTTCTGATCGGCAAGTCCTAGGCTCTGTGGTTTAACCCACAGCGCCATCTGCATCCCTAGTCCGATACTCTAGTTCCATCAAAATAAATAAATTGTCCAGTAGCACCTTAGAGACCAACTATGTTTGTTCTGGGTATAAGGTTTCATGTGCACACACACTTCTTCAAATACTCTAGCCCAGGCATTCGCAAACTCCGGCCCTCCAGATGTTGCGAGACTACAATTCCCATCATCCCTGTCCTGTTAGCTAGAGATGATGGGAATTGTAGTTCCAAAACATCTGGAGGGCCGGAGTTTGCCTATGCCTGCTCTAGCCCCGTGTTTCTCAAACGTGGTTCCCCAGCTGGTCTTGGACTACAGCTCCCATCATCCCTAGCTGGCAGGACCAGCGGTCAGGGATGATGGGCATTGTAGTCCAACAGCATTTGAAAACCCACACCCACTATACAATGCTGACTCTTTGGTGCAGGGAGCGGGCAGTGTTGAAATAAGCTTGAGCCGGAGAAGTTGGCGGAGGGGGAACGAAATGTGGGGCAGAAGAGAGAGAGACAGGTGAGCTTGTAGTTTGCATGTGTGAAGGGAAGCTGGACTCCAGCTGTGGGCTAAGTTGGTTGGCATGCTAGCTTTGGGTCCCGATGGGACCTGGACTCCCAACGTTGTAACAAGAGCCCTGCAGGATCCAGCCCGTGGCTCATTTAGTCCAGCATCCTGTTTTCACAGTAGCAGTGCTGAATTAAACCCTGTGGACCAGAGATTTACAGAAGATTGGAAGAAGTATATGAACTATTTGAAGAGCAATTGCAACCAACAAATTACGCTAGTAGGACTACAAGAAGCTTTGTAAGGAGGAATATACAAAGCGTTACCAAGAAGAAAAAGGATAGAGATATTGGTTATGAGTTTTAAATGTAATAGGGAAAGTACCGTATTTTTCGCCCTATACGATGCACTTTCCCCCCTCCAAAAATGAAGGGGAAATGTGTGTGCGTCCTATGGGGCGAATGCAGGCTTTCGCTGAAGCCTGGAGAGTGAGAGGGGTCGGTGCGCACGGAACCCTCTCGCTCTCCAGGATTCAGGAAGCTATCCGCAAGCCTTGGGAGCTCCGCGGGAGTTCCCGTCGGGCTCCCAAGGCTTGGGGATAGCAGCCTACATTCCGAAACCTGGGGCGCGCTGCGCAGATATCGGGCAGCCCCACAAGCTCAGGGGACAGCGGGGAGGTGGAGCACCGCCATCCCGCTATTCCCCGACCTGGTTTGCGGAGTTGCCTGCATCCCAAAGAGAGATGCCTGCATCCCGTCGGGCTCCCTAGGCTTGCGGATAGCAGCCTGTTCTGGGGGCTGGGGTCGGGGGAAGCTCGGGGGGGGGGGGGGGATAATTTTTTCCCCTTTATTCCCCCCCCCCAAAAAACTAGGTGCGCCCTACGGGCCGGTGCGCCCTATGGGGTGAAAAATACGGTAAGAAATGCATACTAAGAGATTAGATTGCCTTAGTTTGGCCTTAGTTTGCCTACCCGTGTCTTAAATCATTCATAACGCAGCAGTTTTAATGTACTCCAAGACCTTATGGTGGAGGTCAGTCAATCAAATCTATCAATCAGTAGGGGTCCTAGCTGATTTAGTGTGGCACCGATGACCTTACGACCTCTCCAGCGTCCGAAATTCCCCAGGCGCGTATCACTACTGGCACAGGTTCAGTAGTTACAACTACGTGGAGGTTTCTCTGCAATTACAAAACCTCTGCCTTAGTCTGTAGTTAATGCCATTTCCAGTTCCACTGTGTGCTTCTCCTTCTTGCTTCTCCTTCTTATCGGGAGAGTGAGCGACAGTCGAGCAATGCAGTTGAGAGCACAACATCACAGAATCGTAGTGTCGGAAGGTATCCTGGGGGTCATCTAGTCCAACCCCCTGGCGAATAGACATTTGTGGTGTTGTGGCAACCGTAACCTAGGTTTAAGGTTACAGGGAACCAGGCAGAGGGCCTTCTCAGTAGTGGCACCTGCGCTGTGGAACGCCCTCCCACCAGATGTCAAAGAGAACAACTACCTGACATTTAGAAGACATCTGAAGGCAGCCCTGTTCAGGGAAGCTTTTAATGTTTGACGCATTACGGTATTTTAATATTTTGTTGGAAGCCGCCCAGAGTGGCTGGGGAAGCCCAGCCAGATGGGCGGGGTATAAATAATAAATTATTATTATTATTATTATTATTAGTTGCCTAGCTTATATTACCCGAGTTTCTAACACGGGCTCTCTCTTCCCTTGCCCAGGTCCCGCTTCCCACGCCGACGCCACCACCATGTGCTTCCCTCGGCGCATCCGTGTCCACATCTCTGTGCGCCTGCAAGATGCTCCTTCCCTCTAGCTCCTCCCCCCGTGGGGCCATGTCGCAGGAGGGGGGCGCCCGGCCAAAAGCCAAGCAAGATGCGGCTCCCGGCGCCCGTCCTGCTGGCCGCTGGAGAGCCCGAGCGAGCCGATCCCTGGAGAGGCAGAGCCTTTCGCCGCCAGAAGCGGAAACAGATGGAGGAGGCTCCTCGGGGTCGCCGGAGCCCGCCAGCAAAGCGGTGGGCCGCTCCTTGCGCCAGAAGCTGCAGGCGGCAGTGGGGCAGTGCTTCCCTCTCAAGAGCGCCTCCCGCTCGCCGGACCTCTCGGCGCAGCGCAAGATCCACCTGCGGGAGCTGATGCTCGACACCTGCCCCTTCCCTCCCGGCTCGGAGCTTGCGCGCACCTGGAACCTCATCAAGCAGCACACGGCACCCGTCTCCGAGCAAGAGGCCCTGGCGGCACCGGCGCCGCGCTCCGACGACGAGGACGACCGCCTGCGGGAGCGGCGGCGCATCAGCATCGAGCAAGGGGTCGAGCCGCCGCCGGACGCCCTGATCCACACCTTTGAGGTGACAGCGCAGGTCAACAACCCCCTCTACAAACTGGGGCCCAAGCTGGCGCATGGCATGAGCGAGCTGGCTGGTGCCGGGTGGGCGGCGCTGGCGGCGGCGGACGAGGAGGACGAGGAGGAGGAGGAAGAGGAGGTGGCCGCGGGCTCCTCTTCCTGCGCCGTGGGGCTGCCGCCCGACGTGCGCATCCACACCCAGATCGACTACATTCACTGCCTCGTTCCTGACTTGCTGCAGCTGACGCAGCTGCCCTGCTACTGGGGCGTGATGGACCGCTACGAAGCGGAGGCTCTGCTGGACGGTAAACCCGAAGGCACGTTCCTTCTGCGCGACTCGGCGCAGGAGGACTACCTGTTCTCGGTGAGCTTCCGCCGCTACGGCCGCTCCCTGCATGCCCGCATTGAGCAGTGGAACCACAACTTCAGCTTTGACGTGCACGACCCCAGCGTCTTCCACGCACCCACCGTGACCGGGCTCCTGGAGCACTACAAGGACCCCAGCGTCTGCATGTTCTTCGAGCCGCTGCTCTCCGTCCCGGTCAACCGGACCTTCCCCTTTGGGCTGCAACACCTCTGCCGCGCCGTCGTCACCTGCTGCACCACCTACGACGGCATCGGCCGCCTGCCCATCCCCAGCACCCTCAAGGCGTATCTCAAGGAGTACCACTACAAACAGAGGGTGCGCGTCCGGAGGCTGGACGCCTGGTGGAGCTGACCGGGGAGCCCGTGGCTCCCATTTCCAGCTGGTTAGCTCTCTCTCTCTCCCTCCCACCACTGCCCGTTTGACTCTGATACTTCTGTCCCCAGCAGACATTTTAATCCATCCTGCTCCAGCGTTGCGAGCGTGGGCGCTTTCCTCCGCGAACCGGGTTTCGTTCCCGCGGCCAAATTGCGTGGCTCGCTCTCGAGAGATCTGGGAACCTACGGGGAGGGCATCTGCAGAAGAGTGGAGAAGCCGGACTTTGGTGGCACCGCTGCCAGCAGCTAGGAAGGGACCTTGGAAGCAGCCTTATAGAGTCTACACTGATGGCAGCAGTGGCCGGCCAAGGTTTTGGGCAGGGGATGCTCTGAGCTGGACATAAAGGTGCCGCTTGGGATCGAACCTTCTGCAGGCAAAGCGGGTGTTCTGGCAGCTGGAGGACTCCTGCCTCCCCCCCCCCCCAGCCTGTTCTGGCCCAAGCACCCACCCACCCTTCCCCCCAGTTTGGGTGCTGCTTTGGCGCTGGCCAGAGGTCAGTCCTTTTGCCGTTTCCTACTCCACCAAGTGTTTGTGTGTCTGTCAAGTGCATTAACCGGGTTCTGGGTGCGAACTTTGCCTTTCAAGAAACTTCCAGTCAAACACCTCCTCTTTCCCCGGGAAGCTGCGGTTCCTGCATCGCTGCGGGTTGGGCTAGATGACCCTCGGGTGTCCCTTCCAGATCTACGGTTCTGTGACCCAGTTGTCTTACGCACATTCTTCTTCCCGAGCTCACACCACTGCCGAATGGGAACCAGGTGGGGTGGGGTGGGTTTGAGTCAGCGACCGACCGTTGTGGGTGGCAGGGGATAAATAAAAAAAGCACAAAACTTGAAACACGAGTTGCTTCTTCCAAGACAGGCTTTCGAACAAATTCCACGCAGGACGGGAGTGGACCGAGACTCTTTTATTTGGCACGAGTCCTCCTCAAGACTTGTCTTTAATCCATCCCCACAAGCTCGAATCCTGGGCTGCTGCCTTTGCCCCCAATGCGAGGGGGGCAGAGGGGCTGAGGAATTTGGAGGTGCTGCTCTCAGGTCTTCTTTGCAGGGCCAGGGAGCAGCTTTTGGCAAATCCAGCCAATTTGCCAGCGGATGTTTCCTCCTGCCAATGTGGATCAGCTGAGTGGCGATGCTTTTAGAAGAATGGACTGCCCAGGTGGTATTTTTTGGGTGGAGGGGCAGGTTGAGTGAAATCTAGGTCTTGCACTCCCCTCTACTGCCAGAAAAGGACTGCTGCTACTGTCTATCTGACTGTGTGTGTGTGTCTTATTAAACAGCTTTTTTTGTCTACACCTGCTTGCAACTGACTCTTCCCTAGCATTACATCCTGGGGACGGTGTAGGGAGGGAAATGTGGGTGACTCAGATCCCTGGATCTTGAGGAGGCGTATGCACTCGGAAAACACAGAGCCGGTGCTTGTTAATGCACAATGTAAGAAGCTGCCGGATCAGCTCAAAGGCCCATCCGACCTCTCTTTCAAATCAGAACCAGTGAAGGTCCTGTGCGAGTGTCTGGAGGCAGTTGGGGGATGGATGGCGGCTAAGAGATTGAGGTTGAATCCTGACAAGACAGAAGTACTGTTCTTGGGAGACAGGGGGCGGGTGGGTGTGAAGGACTCCCTGGTCCAGAATGGGGTAACTGTGCCCCTGAAGCACCAGGCGCGCAGCCTGGGAGTCATTTTGGACTCACAACTGTCCATGGAGGTGCAGGTCCATTCTGTGTCCAGGGCAGCTGCCTGCCAGCTCCATCTGGTACGCAGGATGAGACCCTACCTGGCCACAGACTGTCTGGCCAGAGTGGTGCATGCTCTGGTTATCTCCCGCTTGGACTACTGCAATGCGCTCTACGTGGGGCTACCTTTGAAGGTGACCCGGAAAGTGCAACTCATCCAGAATGCGGCAGCTAGACTGGTGACGGCCGCCGAGACCCCATAACACCGGTCCTGAAAGACCTACATTGGCTCCCAGTACGTTTCCAAGCACAATTCAAAGCGTTGGTGTTGACCTTTAAAGCCCTAAATGGCCTCAAAGGCCCAGTATACCTGAAGGAGCATCTCCACCCCCATCGTTCAGCCCGGACACTGAGTTCCAGCGCTGAGGGCCTTCTAGCGGTTCCCTCACAGTGAGAAGCCAAGTTACAGGGAACCAGGCAGAGGGCCTTCTCGGTAGTGGCACCCGCCCTGTGGAACGCCCTCCCACCAGATGTCAAAGAGAACGACGAACTGACATTTAGAAGACATCTGAAGGCAGCCCTGTTCAGGGAAGTTTGTAATGTGTGACATTTCGATGCATTTTTAATCTTTGTTGGAAGCCGCCCAGAGTGGCTGGGGAGACGCAGCCAGATGGGCGGGGTACAAATAATAAAATTATTATTATTATCCAGCTGGGCATCCTGTTCCCATGGCGGGCAACCAGATGTTGCTTCTGGGAAACCTGCGAGCAGGATCCGAGCACAAGGGAGATTCTCCCCTTCTGTGGTTTCCAGTGACTGGTACTCGGACGCATTGCCACCTCAGACAGCGTAGGCAAGGCAGAGCCATCCTGGCTAGCAGGCCGTGATGGCCCTCTCCATGAATTTGTCCAATTCTCATTTAAAGTCGTTCCGGTTGGTCCCTATCACTGTGGGAGGGAGTTCCATAGACTGTGCCAAAGCTGGGACACAGCACCCTGCAGGGAAAAGGCACTTGAAATGGATGCTGGAACCAACACACGCCCTGCTCTGCAGCTGTTTTAGACCCGAAGAGACCAGCTGCAGTCCTAAACATCTGGGTGGGGGGCAGCGGCTGGCAAAGGGACATGGAAGGGAATTGGTTGAGGGACTTACAAAGGGGTGCTGGGGTGGAGAACAGGGGAGCATGCCAGACGGCACAGTGGCTGCCTTTGGAGCAATGGCAGGAGATGGAGAGAGCAGGCTTGGTGCGCAGAGTTTGGCGCATGGGCTCTTGCGCTTTACTGAGTCAGAGCATTGGCCGGGTCAGTGCCGCCTACGCTGATTGGCAGTAGGATTTCAAGCCGGGAGTCCCTTGTCGACTCTTAATGGGAGGCGCTGTCGTGGACTGAATCCTTCTGCAAGCTGGTCCGATGCTCCGGCGCTGAGCTGTGGCCCTCCTGCCCCATGCATCTGTGCCAGGCTATGAAAAGACCTCGCCGGGCAAGCAAGCGTTTGAGGGCCCCGTGAAGTCGCAGGGGGCAGGATGAGAAGAGATGGGTTACCGTGGGGCTCTGAAGCAGCACCCGGTCCGGAGGAAGCCCAGAAGCTGCCAGGCTCATGGCCGTCACAGGTGAATCAAAGGCGCACCCAAGAACTCTTTGCCCGAGTGTTGCGGGCGAGCCTGGAGAAGGCGGAGCGCGGATGTGAGAGCCACCTCCAAACAGCTGAAGGGTTGCCGCATGCAGCAAGCTTAGGATAGAATCAGGGTTGGGAGGGACCACGAGGGTCATCCAGTCCAACCCCTGCAAAGCAGGAATCTGGGGCTTAAACCCAAAACCCAGAGATTACGATTCTCACGCTCTACTGACAGAGCTGTTTTGTTCTCTTCTGCTCCAGAGGGGAGGACCCGAACCAGCGGATTCAAGTGGCAAGGAAGGAGATTCCGACTAGCCCAATGGTTGCCATTGAATTGATTTTTAGAATGAATTGATTTTAGAGTGTATTTCAATTAATTGTGATTTTATGTAAACTGTGTTACTTTTACTGTTGTTAGCTGCTCTTCAGCTGGGGAGGGTGGGATATAAATAAAATTTTATTTTATTATTAACAGTGGAGCGCACTTCACGGAAGGTGAACTCTCCTCCTTTGGAGGTTTTCAAAGCAGAGACTGAATTATTTGATTCCTGCATTGCAGCGGGTGGACTGGATGACTCTAGGGGCCCCTTCGATCTCTGCAATTCTGTGACTGGTGTTTTGTTCCTGATCCCACCAAGATACCTGCTGGGTTTGAGGACGCTTCGCCCCCCCACCCCCAAGAACCAAACGAGAAGGTTCATTGCAACAGCATTTGCTGCTCAAACCAAGAGAAATTCTGGAGTGCGGAAGGAAACGCCGATAGTCCCTTTGACTGGGTTTTGCCCCCTTGTGAGGAGACACGGCTGCCGAGAACCAAGGGGGGAAACTCGGCCAGTTCACTCAAGTCCGTCTTCCTTCTAGAGCAGCGGTTCTCAACCTGTGGGTCCTCAGATGTTGTTGGACTACAACTCCCATCATCCCTGAGATCTGGCCTTGCTAGCTAGGGGTGATGGGAGTTGTAGTCCAACAACATCTGGGGACCCACAGGTTGAGAACCGCTGTCTAGAGCATGGGTAGGCAAACTAAGGCCCGGGGGCCAGATCCAGCCCAATCCCCTTCTAAATCCGGCCCGCGGATGGTCCGGGAATCAGTGTGTGTTTACATGAGTAGAATGTGTCCTTTTATTGAAAATGATTCTCTGGATTATTTGTGGGGCCTGCCTGGTTGTTTTTACATGAGTAGAATGTGTGCTTTTATTTAAAATGAACCTCTGGGTTATTTGTGGGGCCTGCCTGGTGTTTTTACATGAGGAGAATGTGTGCTTTTATTGAAAATGCACCTCTGGGTTATTTGTGGGGCATAGGAATTAATTTATTACTATTATTTTTTCAAAATATAGACCGGCCCTTCACAAGGTCTGAGGGACAGTGGGCCGGCCCCCTGCTGAAAAAGTTTGCTGACCCCTGTTCTAGAGGGTGTGCAACCCAGCAGGAAGACCTCCCAATTTACAGGGGGTTGGAAGTCCCATCCAATGCTCCGATTCCCACGAGGTCCGTTGACTATGAACGAATAGGAGTTGTGCGGATCAGGGCTGCAAGCCTTCAAGAGAGTTGCCTCTGGCCGTAAGTTCTCCCAAGGGGTGAGCCCAGCACACACCCCCTACCCTGGCCATGGGTGCAAAATGGTGCTTGGGTCCCCCCCCCCCCGACATAAACTCAACTGCAAAGGTTTTAACCCTTCACCCCCCGGTCAGTGAAAAAGGCTTTGATAGTCCTGCTACCCATAAGAAGGAATTCGAGTGCCCACGCCCCCTTCCCATGTCAACCTGTCAACCCGCCACCCTCCCCACAAAAAAAAACCCCAAACCAAAATAAAAATAAAAAACCCAAACGTTTTAAAAGAAATTAATACAAAATAAGCACAGCTTTATCATAGAGGTTAATAAAAAAAGGGCTAATACTTAAATTCTGTATGCCTTTTACAAAGCAAAAAACTGGAAGAAGGGAAAAAAGCGGTAAAGGAGTCCAACAAAGCAATCTAAAGTCAGAATTTGGATATTTTTTTTTTGTAAAACATTTTGTGGTTTTTTTTTTTTAAATAACGTATTCATGGTTACCAGCCATAGTCATAACAAAAGTTATTCATAATAAAATGTATCTAAAATAACATTTCTATCTGAAACAGGAACCTTGTCTCTCTAATTTTTTTGTTGTTTTTTTTAAAGAAATAGTTCTCTCAGGTCTGCTCTTCTGGGTTTTTCTGTATGCTACTGTTCGGTATACTTTTTTGGGGGTGGGGAGGAAGGGAAAGGCCTTTTCTTCTCAATATTTAAAACAGTTCTCGGAGGGCGAGAGAGGGGAGAGGAAGAGGAGAACGATGGAAAGGTCCTCTGTACCTAAGAGCCTGCCAAGGTCAGCTTTTGGAGAACGGGGAAAGGGGTTGGGGTTGGGGTTTTTTTTGCCCATCATGCGAAAAACAGTGGCTTTAGGGGAGAAAGGCACACTCACACACCCAACTCGCATGCACACTCACAAACAAAGTCGGGGCGCAAGGGAAACTAGCAAGGCGACCCTCCCGCAGAAACGCCCCCCCCCCATTGACAAGCTGCCTTGGACATCCAGCACCGTGGAAGAGCCCACCCCCCCCGCGCGCCAAGCGTGGGTGGGGGCTCTTGAAAACACTTAGGACGTCTGTTTCACCCTCCGCCTGCACAGAAAGGCCTCCCATTAGTCGTTTTCTTATTTTAAAAAAAAGAACAGCCCCTCTGAAGGCGGTAAAAATCACGCCCCCTGTTCCACAGCCGTTTCGATGCAGAACGCTGACCCCAAAGGGCTGGTGGTGGGAGGTTTGGAGGTCCAGAGGGTCCCGACACAGCCGTTTGCCCACCTGTAGTGTTTGTGTAAATGCCAGCACAGAGAAACCGTCCAGCCGCCTGGATTTAAAAAGGAGAAGCCTTCTGGTCCCGTTGGGATTGCTGCCCAGGAGGTCTTTCTGCTCCCCAACCCTGTTGGAAAGGGTGGCGGTGGGGACCTCTCAGATCCCTCAGCCGCCAATTGCCTCCCGGGTCAGCGGGGGCGAGGATCTCGGCTTGGCTCCTGCAAATTCATCAGCACCGTGAACCCAACCGCCTCCACCCAGGAGTGCCACCAATCACTCGTAAGCACCAGAAAACCGGCGCAGAACCTGGGGCGGTGGTCCCGCCCCCCAGTGGTCAGGGACCCACCATGGCTTTTGCTGTGACCCACTCAATCTTTCCACCCCGCCCCCCACATAAACCCGTCTCAGGGAAGACAGACAAGACCACTGTGCACCCCCAAAATGTTAGGAAAATGAACGGCCGAGCTTTCGAGACCCGCCAACAGAACTGCTCCTCCTTGTCCTCCTCTTCCACCAGCCTTCTGACATTCCCCCCCCGCCTTGCAATTATGGGAGGGAGAAGAGAAAATTCACCTTGCGCCGGACACAAGGAACCCATAGCAGCTGAACCCAGAAAAGAACTTTGATCCTAAACCACGAAACTGCCGGCTGACCCCCCAAACCCATTTGAACTGCTTCAACGTAACTAGGTCCGGCTCCCCAACCAACGCTCTGCACACCCGAGAGGCGGCCGAAGGGGTCCAAAACCCCAGCGCCCAAAGGGCCACGGCACTCTCAATCTAGGGGTGGCGGTGGGGCAGCCCATACGTCTCTCCTCAACTGGCACCTGCTACTCTCCTGCCCAGTTCCCCAAAGACCGTCGTCTCCAACCAAGTGCCCTCTCTCGACCCGATGCGAGTTGCCGTCCGAAACGGGTCGAGAGAGGGCACTTGGGTCCGGGGAAGGCCGCCCTAAGAGGTAGCATATGGACATCGTTTCAATTATATATCTATATATATATTTATATGTATGTATGTATAAAAAGAACCAGGGACAAGCCTGCAAAGCTGAGCACTCCGGTGTGGGGCTGCGCCGCCCCCCGCTGCATCCTGCCCTTCTCCACCTGCTCTCGGGAAAGGGGTGGGGGGAGTATTAGAGGCACTTAAAAAAACTGTGTCAGTCACCTGCAGCACCAATGCCTTCCTTCCCTCCCCACTAAGACTCTTCCTCCTCCTCCTCCTCCAATGCCAGGTACGGAAAGCTTTCAGCTGGGTTAGCTCAGACGGAAACCAGCTCGCCCAGGTAACCCCACGATGCCCCTCCCGTGTCCTGGCCGCTGATGGGGCAGGCATCAAAAACATCCCAAATCAAGGTAGCAGGAGAGGACCAGTCTCATCACCTTGGCTGGTCTGTTTCAAGAGGAGGAGAGGAAGGAGGAGGAGGAGGAAGAAGAAGGCGAGGCGGTCGGAGGGGGGCGAGGGAGATGAGGGAAAGAGAAAACGAGAAAAACCCCAAAGGGGAAGGGGGCGACATGACCCAAATTCCGCCTCCTCCGCCCTCCTGCCAGTTAAACTTCTAGGAGCCTCCTGCCCACCTGCTCCCTTGTGCACGTCGACGTATTAAAAACCAATAGCTGAAGTTATAATAATAATAAAAAGTAGGGGGGAAAAATATTAGAACACAGTAAGACGGTGAGATTGTAGTGACAGCTTTTTCTCCCCCTCCGTCTCCCTTCCGGCGGCTGGGAACTGCTGGAGGTGGTTTCGTGGGGGAAGGGGTTCGCCCCCCCCCCACAGCAAACACACCCCTGGGAGATGAGGGGCTTATAACAAAAAACAAAAACAAGGGGTGGGGAAGGGGGGAAAAAATAAACAGCCACCCTAAAGCTTCTCAGGAACATCAGCAGATGCAGCTTCTTTCAAATGGTGGAAGTCTTGTCGGTGCCATCTGCAGAGAGAGAGAGAAAGAGAGCGCAGAATTATAGCAGGCGGAGGAATAGATGGGAAAGTACGTTGGTTCCCAGTTTCTGAGCACAATTCAAAGTGTTGGTGCTGACCTAGAAAGCCGTAAATGGCCTCAAATGCCCAGTATACCTGAAGGAGCGTCTCCACCCCCATCGTTCTGCCCGGACACTGAGATCCAGCTCCAAGGGCCTTCTGGTGGTTCCCTTGCTGCAAGAAGTGAAATTACAGGGAACCAGGCAGAGGGCCTTCTTGGTGGTGGCGCCGTCCCTGTGCAACGCCCTCCCATCAGATGTCAAGGAAATAAACAACGATCTGACTTTTAGAAGACATCTGGAGGGAGCCCTGTTTAGGGAAGATTTTTAATGTTTGAGGTTCTATTGTGCTTTTTTTTTTTTGCAATGCAACAAGCTTTATTAATAGATTTTATTGTGCTTTTAGTATTTCTAAAATATTTTAATATTAACTCTCTCAAACTATGTAAAAGGAAAGGTGAGAATCTGGATGTAACAAAAACAGGACCTGGTGTGGTGCAGTGGTTAGAGTATTGGACCAAAGCCTGGGAGACCAGTGTTCGAATCCTGCCCCCCTTGGCCATGAAGCCAGTCGCTGCCTCTCAGCCTAGCCTTCCCCACAGGGTTGCTGTGGGGATTCAATGAGGTGTAAGCTGCCTTGAACTCACTGGAGAAAAAATTTGGGCTAGAAATGCAATGAATAAATGAAAGAATAAATAAAAGAAGCCCCTCACCGCCCAGTGCGTGCTCCGTCATGCTGAGACACAGGGACTCCAGCGTAGGGTTGATCTCCAGGTCTGTTCCAGGGAGCTGGCAATCTGGAGGGGGGAAACGCAATCGCAGGCGGTCACTGCCCATTCTGACCCAGGCTCACAGAATCAAAGAGACGTAGAGCTGGAAGGGACCACGAGGGTCATCTAGCCCAACCCCCGGAAACGCAGGGCTCTTTTGCCCAACGCGGGGCTTGAACCCACAACCCTGTGATTAAGAGTCTCACGCTCGACCCCGACTCAGGTATCCAGTCTTGTATGCTTGGTCAGTGGGAAAGTCAGTGGGCAAGGGCAGTGCTCCCCCTTGCCTCCACAAAGGTTTAAGTCAGGGGTCAGCAAACTTTTTCAGCAGGGGGCCGGACTTTATTTTGAAAAAGAAAATGAACGAATTCCTGCCCCATAAATAACCCACAGATGCATTTTAAAGAAAAGCACACATTCTACTCATGTCAAAACACCAGGCAGGCCCCACAAATAACCCAGAGATGCATTTTAAATAAAAGCACACATTCTACTCATGTAAAAACACGCTGATTCCCAGACCGTCTGCAGGCTGGATTCAGAAGGCGATTGGGCTGGATCTGGCCCCCAGGCCTTAGTTTAACCTACCCATAGTTTAAGTCCTGCAGTGAGATCTTGCAGCAGCTGCTCTATGAGCCGCCAGTAGTTACCCAGAAGCAAGGAAAAAGCAGTCTGCATGTGCCCAGTGGCACTCATTGCCTGCGTTCCAGCGCTGCGCCTGTTTTGTTTGTGGCTAAATTTTTCTGAGAAGAACCAAATGGCCAAGCAAATGCCCCTTTCCTGACCCTGAAGGCAAGAATCTGGCTGACTCACCCTGTGGGAACATGAGGATGGCCTGGGGGGATGTGTGGACGGGGAGCGAATGGGTCCGCTGGACAGAACTGCGACTCTGGCCCGGCATGCTGTTGCTGCCCCCGGGGTTGGCAAACCACAGGTTCTTGGAGGGGAAAAGAGAATTTGATTTAAACAGGGGGGCAAACCGGAGAAACAAAGCACACACACACAAACACCAAAAACCACCCCTCCCAGTAGGTGAGTTACTGCCATGGAGCCGAGGGAGAGGGGGGAAGTCTGGCATGTCCCAAATAAGTCTCGCCTGCAGGTTTCTGTTTGGGGCACCTGCCTGGTCACTGCGAGACCCGGCTGGGCACTTCTTCTGATCTGGCCACAGTGATCCACGCGACGGTCACCTCCAGGCTTGACTACTGTAACTCACTCTACGCGGGGCTGCCCTTGAAGCTGACCCAGAAACTCCAGCGGGTGCAGAATGCCGTGGCGAGGTTCCTTACAGGGTCCTCGCCACGGGATCTCATTCACCCAGTGCTTTACCAACTGCACTGTCTCCCGGTGGAGTACAGGGTCAGGTTCAAGGTGCTGGTTTTAACCTTTAAAGCCCTATGCGGCCTAGGACCCATGTACCTAAGGGACCGCCTCTCCTGGTATGCCCCGTGGAGGACCTTAAGGTACACAAATGACAGTATTTTGGATGTCCCAAGTTGCAAGGTGGTTAGATCGGTCTCAACTAGGGCCACGGCCTTTTCAGTACTGGCCCCAACTTGGTGGAACGCTCTGTCGCAAGAGACCAGGGCCCTGCGGGACTTGACATCTTTCCGCAGGGCCTGCGAGACAGAGCTGTTCCGCCTGGCCTTTGGTTTGGACTCAGTCTGACCCTTATGTTTCCCTCCCCTTAGGGTTTTGATCTATGGGCTACTTTTAAAATGAGGCTGCATTTTAAATTGTATTTTTAACCTGTACTTTAATGTTTTTTTGTCCCCCCCCCCCCCCAATTATGTTTTCATTGTAATTTTACTGGTGTTAGCCGCCCTGAGAGCAGGGGAGGGCAGCGTATAAATAAAATTTTTTATTATTATTATTATTATTATTATTATTATTATTATTACTACTACTACTACTATTAGAAACTGCCATCTGCATGGAATATGCAGTGATGCTAATACGGGGGCTGCTCCATCTCCCTCGTCTCTAAAACGCAGCCTGGTGCCCTCTACGTGTCTGGGGCTACAGCTGCCGCCTGCGGGGCCACAGACAGGAAGGAGGCGAGTTGTAGTCCAAAATACCTGGAGGCCACTTGGCTGGCTACCCCTGCGACAGGCTGTCAGCCAAGCCCCTGGGGTTGCACCGGAGTACAACACACTCGAGACCTTCCTTCCACAAATATCTTTTTCGCAAGCTGCTGTCAGCAAAAGGCAACTCCACGCGTTTTGCTCACGGCTTATGTCCCTGTAAGATTATTTCCACAACAGAGCATGTTGCATGTCTCTGGTAAGAAATCCCCCGATTTCAAAACACACCAAGCAGCACAAGTAAGGTGGCTTAGAATGCCCCCTTCTGAAGGAGCCCTCTTGGGTTAACGGAGAGGTGGCCAGGCTGCCTTTCAGAGACATCCTGTTACCTTAAAGATAAAGGGACCCCTGACCATTAGGTCCAGTCATGACTGACTCTGGGGTTGCGGCGCTCATCTCGCTTTATTGGCCGAGGGAGCCGGCGTACAGCTTCCGGGTCATGTGGCCAGCATGATGAAGCCGCTTCTGGCAAACCAGAGCAGCGCACGGAAATGCCGGTTACCTTCCTGCCGGAGCGGTACCTAATTATCTGCTTGCACTTTGATGTGCTTTCAAACTGCTAGGTTAGCAGGATAAAGGACTGAGCAACGGGAGCTCACCCCATCACGGGGATTTGAACCGCCGACCTTCTGATCGGCAAGTCCTAGGCTCTGTGGTTTAACCCACAGCGCCACCCGCGTCCCTTCCTGTTACCTTAGTGCGGAGCTATAAAGGGAACCCTCCCTCTCTCCCATCCCTTTCTTACCTGCCGCCCTTGGCTCCCAAGGTTCGGGCTGGTGAGGGCATGCCGCGGGGAGACTCCTCCGATCCCCACAGGGCTCAGGATCCCCAGGCGGCTGGGAGGAATGGCGCGGGGGGGCATCTGGAACTGCCGCTGTCCTCGGCGGGCCACCCCCACCCCCACAGATCCAGCTATGGGGAGAGAATTGGAACCAAAGGCCCATCTAGAAGAGTACCAAAGCAGGGTGGGGATGGAGAAAGAGAGAGAGAAGTCAGTCCCATTGGTAAGTACCATCACTTGTGAATACGGGTAGCATTTCACAGTAAGGCTGCTGTGACCCAAATCCCGGCCACAGGCTGGCCACCCTTACCTTCGCTCTAGTGGTCCCCACACATTTTCTGGCCACTAGCCCCCTTGGTTCCAGAACATCACCCCGAGTGCCCCCTACCCCACCCTAGAAAGAGCATCATTCAGAATAGCGGTTCACATGACCCACTGATAACACAATAAAATTTAAAAAGCACACCATTAATTGGACATTTATTCAATACCTGGTTCAAACCATTTAGTTTAATTAATTCAACAAAACTGATGAACCTGATCCAGTGATAAAAACTTCAAATCTGATAGCCATTTGCACCTCCAGTGCCTCCCTGCCTTGCAGGCCTCAAATTGGCAGGGCCTGGACTGACTCCAGCTACAAAAGTTGAGTCTGCTGAACAGACTCCTTTGGGTTAGGTTTTTCGTTGGGGAGCCAGTTGCTGCTGTTTTTGATATTAATTTTTTGTAGCTGTATTTCAAATCTTACTACAATTTATCTGGAAATTGTTTCATTTGGTTGTATACCTTTTGATGTTTTGCTTATTGTTTAGGAGTGCTTTTGCTAGGTTTGCAATTATGTAAATCTTGTCCATGCTGCAAGCTGGTTTTGTCTAAGGAAAGGCGGCATACAAACAAAATTATGGATGGATGAAGCACCCACTTTGGGAACCACTGCTGTACTATAAAGCAGCCGAGGTCACCCTGGGTAAGGGACGTAGCTCAGAGGTAGAGGATCTGCCTTGTATGCAGAAGGACCTGGGTTTAATCCCTGGCAACCTCTTCTGGTGGGCCTGGGATAATAATAAAATGAAATAATTCATTATGTATTATTTATACCCCGCCCATCTGGCTGGGTCTCCCCAGCCACTCTAGGCTGCTCCCAACAGAATATTAAAAACACGATTAAACATCAAACATTAACAACTTCCCTAAACAGGGCTGCCTTCAGATAATAATAATAATTTATTATTTGTACCCCGCCCATCTGGCTGGGTTTCCCCAGCCACTCTGGGCGGCTTCCATAGAAACCAAAAAACACTAAAATATCACACATTAAAAACTTCCCTGAACAGGGCTGCCTTAAGATGTCTTCTGAATGTCAGGTAGTTGTTTATCACTTTGACATCTGATGGGAGGGCGTTCCACAGGGCGGGCGCCACTATCGAGAAGGCCCTCTGCCTGGTTCCCTGTAGCTTTGCTTCTCGCAATGAGGGAACCGCCAGAAGGCCCTCGGAGCTGGACCTCAGTGTCCGGGCAGAACGATGGAGGTGGAGACGCTCCTTCAGGCATACAGGGTCACAAGGCCATTTAGGGCTTGAAAGGTCAGCACCAACACTTTGAATTGTGCTCAGAAACATATTGAGATCCAATGTAGGTCTTTCAGGACCGGTGTTATGGGGTCTCGGCGGCCGTCACCAGTCTAGCTGCCGCATTCTGGATTAGTTGTAGTTTCCGAGTCACCTTCAAACGTAGCCCCATGTAGAGCACATTGCAGTAGTCCAAGCGGGAGATAACTAGAGCATGCACCACTCTGGCCAGACAGACTGGGAGAGACTCCCTTGCCTGAAACCCTGCAGAACCACTGCCAGTCAGTAAGGACAATACTGAGTTCAATGGACCAATGGTCTGACTCAGTTGTTGTTGTTGTTGTTGTTTAGTCGTTTAGGACTCTTTGTGGCCCCCTGGACCAGAGAAGAAGAAGAAGAAGAGTTTGGATTTGATATCCCGCCTTTCACTCCCTTTAAGGAGTCTCAAAGCGGCTAACATTCTCCTTTCCCTTCCTCCCCCACAACAAACACTCTGTGAGGTGAGTGGGGCTGAGAGACTTCAAAGAAGTGTGACTGGCCCAAGGTCACCCAGCAGCTGCATGTGGAGGAGCGGAGACTCAAACCCGGTTCCCCAGATTACGAGTCTACCGCTCTTAACCACTACACCACACTGGCCCTCCTGTCTTCCACTGCCTCCCGCAGTTTGGTCAAACTCATGCTGGTAGCTTCGAGAACACGGTCCCACCATCTCGTCCTCTGTCGTCCCCTTCTCCTTGCGCCCTCCATCTTTCCCAACATCAGGGTCTTTTCCAGGGAGTCTTCTCTTCTCATGAGGTGGCCAAAGTCTTGGAGCCTCAGCTTCAGGATCTGTCCTGACTCAGTACAAGGCCGCTTTCTTTGCTCCTCTGCTTCAACAGGCTCCCATAGTTGGGTGTGAAGAAGCACCTGTGTGGCCTGAAGAAGCCACCTTGGCTGTCCCTCTGGCTGCCCCCTCCCACAGGAGCTGCATGATGGTCACTATGTCTCACCTGGATGGAGCTGAACGTATTTCAGGGGCCCGCACCACCTGATGGGGAAGGGGCAATGGCATTCTGCTGCTGGAGTCTGACTTAAACAGCCTTCTTTATGGTCCAGCTCTCCCTTCCATACATCACTACTGGGAAAACCATGGCTTTAACTATACAGACCTTTGTTGGCAAGGTGATGTCTCTGCTTTTTAAGATGCTGTCTAGGTTTGCCATCGCCTTTCTCCCAAGGAGCAGGCGTCTTTTAATTTCATTATTATTATTATTATTATTATTATTATTATTTCCCCCACTCCTCACACAGACCAGACACACACAACCCGCGCAAAAGGAAAACCTCACTCCCAAAAGACGAGCAGGCCCCAGGAGGCAGCAGAAAGCAAGCCCACGCAAACCACTCTCCTGTGTTTTCAATAGGGTTGTCAACCGATCAATGGCTTTGATCAAAACTGTTAAAGAGCCAGGCCGTTCAGATTTACATATTATTACCAACTCCACAATAGGGGATTGCTTTCACAGGATGCTGACTTAAGCGACGACAGTTTCCCTTAAGCATGAAAGGAATAATTTGACGAGATGTTGCCCCTCCTTTTGAGGCAAGGTGGAAAGTCATTTGTATTGTTTCAGAGAATTCATTAAGCAACAATGCCCCAACCCTTTTAAGCGTTCCCGAACTTAGGCAGCTGCTTCCAAGACAGCTCTGACAGTGTTGTGGCTCTATTTTCATCAGCAAGCAAGAGAAAGGTGTGTTTTGTCATAATAGCAGTTAGTACCTCAGCTGCTTGCAAGGCACTAAAGGAAAGTGTTGCTCTTCTGAGCAGAAGTGTTTGCTTGCAAGCTGCTTTGCGTTGCCTTTGGCAAGAAAGAGCCACCAATAAATTTAATAAATAGTAAGACAATAACAATGCTTTTGAATTATGGTGATTTGAATTAATAATAAAGATGCTTTTGAATTATGGTGCTGGAGGAGACTCTTGAGAGTCCCATGGACTGCAAGAAGATCAGACCTCTCCATTCTGAAGGAAATCAGCCCTGAGTGCTGACTGGAAGGACGGAAGCTGAGGCTCCAAGACTTTGGCCACCTCAGGGGAAGAGAAGACTCCCTGGAAAAGACCCTGATGCTGGGAAAGATGGAGGGCACAAGGAGAAGGGGACGACAGGGGGAGAGATGGTGGGACAGTGTTCTCGAAGCTACCAGCATGAGTTTGACCAAACCGCGGGAGGCAGTGGAAGACAGGAGTGATGTTTTTATTATTGGTTATTAGCCGCCCTGAGCCCAGTCTTGGCTGGGGTAGAAATAAGAAATAATAATAATAAGAAGAATAATTAAAGCGTGCTCTGGGCCGCAGGGTCACAAAGAGTCAGACATGACTAAACAACAACAACAATAACAACAGCCGTTTCTGTGCCATCTTCGGGGAGACATTTTCATCCCCTTAATGCCACTTCCAAGTTCGTAGCAATGCGCACGTACGCGGTCACGCATGATTCAAATGCATGTAAGTGGGGGGGGGGGGTTGCCTGTACTAAGGGAGGTACTACAAAGTGGCCTGGGAGTATTAGAGCTAATGTCACTATGTAGAGTGCAAATTAGAATGAAATTCGGTCAGGACTTCAACTCAAGGAACAATACTGTGAACCGCTCTGAGACCTGCGGGTATAGGGCGGTATACAAATTTACATAATAATAATAATAATAATAATAATAATAACAACAGCCGCGTAAAACCCTAGCTTCCAGTCTTAGAAGCCTCCGTGGCAGGAGGCTGCCCTGCCTGACCCAGGACCCTCCTGGCCTAATCCTGTCCCCCGAACTCCTTGCTCCTGCCAAGACTCACCCTTTCTGCGGACGGTAGCCTTGCATGTCCAGCACGGCCTTCCTGGGAAACGTTCGGAGCAACTTTAGCACCTGCTGCTTCCAGGACAGGAGCCTCTTCTTCTGCGTCTCTGTGAAAGCCTGGAGGGAGAGCACAGGAGGGCGGGCGTGAGTTGGGATGGGCAGAGCGGGCGGACACGGGGCCCTAACCCTCTCCGGGAAGCCCAGTGCCTACCTCGTGCATCAGGCATTTCTCTATCAGCTGAAGGTAGCTGGTGATGTTCTCCTCGTCCGGTCGGGAGACCAGCAACTGCGTACACACTGCAGGGGAAAGTGGAAGAAAGGAACTGAAAATAAAACTGCTGCTGTCGTAACGCCGTTAACACAGATCTACGGGGCAACCACAACTGGAAAACTCTCTGCGCCTGCGGTCACCTCGCCTCAAAAAGGATACCGCAGTCAGAAAAAGGTTCAGTGATCCACGCGACGGTCACCTCCAGGCTTGATTACTGTAACTCACTCCACGTGGGGCTGCCCTTGAGACTGACCAAGAAACTCCAGTGGGTGCAGAATGCCACGGTGAGGCCACTTATGGGATCCTCGCCAAGGGATCACATTCACCCAGTGCTATACCAGCTGCACTGGCTCCCGGTGGAGCACAGGGTCAGGTTTAAGGCACTGGTTTTAACCTTTAAAGCCCTTCATGGCCTAGGTCCCACGTACCTGTGGGACCGCCTCTCCTGGTATGTCCCACGGAGGACATATGGTCTTCAAACAAAAACATCTTGGAGGTCCCGGGCCACAGGGAGGTTAGGCTGACCTCAACCAGAGCCAGGGCTTTTTTGGCCGTGGCCCCGATCTGGTGGAACGCTCTGTCACAAGAGACTAGGGCCCTGCAGGACTTGACATCTTTCCGCAGGGCCTGCAAGATGGAGCTGTTCCACCAGGCCTTTGGCCAAGGCGCAGTCTGACCCCCTCGAGCCCAATGGTTGCCATTAATTTGATTTTGAACTGATTTTAAAATGAATTGATTTTAGAATGCTGTGTTACTTTTATTGTTGTTAGCTACTCTGAGCCCGTCTTTGGCTGGGGAGGGTGGGAAATAAATAAATTATTATTATTATTATTATTATTATTAGTTACAGTAATCCAGTCTGGAGGTGACCGTTGCGTGGATCACAGTGGCCAGATCAGGGCGAGAGAGGTAAGAAGCCCTGCTGCTAAGTTTCAGATCACTCACCCATCGCACACGTGGCCGCCGCCGCCCCCTTGGTCTTTGGAAACCAGAGGGGCCTGCATGTCCATTTTAACTTCGGGAGCCCTGGGGCAAGAGGCCCTGCAGGACTAAAGCAGTGTTAGCGCAAAGACCCGGCCATTTCAAAAGACCAACCCTAGCCATAAACCTAAGAGGGACCATGAGGTGCTAAGAGGGTTCACTGGGCGGCGCAAATCCTACTGCTTCAGACCCGGTGGCAACCCGGAGCCCTCACCTTTGCCCATCACCCGGGTGAACTGCCCTGCAATGTCCCCCTCGGCGATGGGCGCTGCCCCCGACTCCCCGTCGCAAGGGGAGCCTGTCGGGGGCAGGAAGGTGTCGGTGGCCGGGTCCTTGTCCTCGGAGGGGTTGCCGCTCTTGTCCAGACACAGCTTGGTGGCTCCGCGCTGCTCCGCAGGCAGCTGCTGCTGGCTCTCCTTGGACGCTGCCATGGCCTGCAGGGCGTGGAAGGCCTTGATGGGGGTGATGATGATCTGCTGCAGCTCCTGGAGGGCGTTCCACAAGTTCCCCCCTTCCAAGATGTCCTGGGGGGGGGTGAGAGGGGGAGGAGGAGGAGAGGAAAAGGAGAACTTGAAGAGAGGAATTTTTCGGCAGCTCAGGACTTGGCGGGGGAGATGGAGGAGGAGCGGCTAGAAGCATTAAGGAAAATGAGCTTTTGTCGAAGTTAATTTGGATTTTCATACTTGTGGACTAGAGTATTGTTTAGGGACTTTCATTGGGAAACATATTGTTTATTAGTGTGCATACATTCGTATTGTTAACTGTTTTTTATTATTTTTAATATGTTTTCATTATTTTTATTATGTAGTTTGTGCTTTGACTAATTTTTATTGTGTATTTTGTGCTTCATATATTGTAACTTTATGTTGTGAACCACCCTGAGACCTACCGGTATATACAAATTATTATTATTATTATTATTAGTGCTTTTTTTCTGAAACAAATGTTTAGGAGTGCTCTCATTTTCCTTACTCATATTGAAATATTGCCCCCTCAATGAGGCCAAACTTAGATTCACAAAATGTTGAGGGGTACGTGTACCCCTGCGTACCCCGTAAAAAACACTGATGGTGGTATTGATGATTATTTAGTTGCGCTGTTATTCTAAATCAGATTTTGGACGCACTTAGCTCCTATTTTAGGCACCCTGTCTTTCCCACAGCTTCAGGATACTCAAATGACAATTCTGTTCCATTTCATACAGGAAACGTGCACCCAAGAGGGGGTTATATTCTGGGGAGGGCATATACACATGGGACCACCCCCTTGGAAGCACCCCATAACCACAAGCAAGACAGAGAGCTATTAGGGGGAAACCCTGTGCAAAAAGAGCTTTTGAGGTCTCCTCCTTCCATGCATTTAAATCTGCCTGATTTCAGTTGAAATCACACAGGTTAAAATGTGCATCAGCTGTGAGTTACTGGTACCGTTAAACTTACGAGACCCTCGGAAGCCCAGCCCTGCCTCTCAGCAGCAAAGTCTCCACCTTCAACTGGCTCTCTTACCTTCTCCAGAGACTTCAGGACGCTCTGCCTCTCCCGCAGCTTCTGGATGCTCAAGGCGATTTTGTGCCTCGCTCCTTTGGTGACGTTCTGGTCAGGGAAAAGAGGGACAGCTGAAATACCCACCAGCAGAGGCAGCTGCTGCCCAGCCCTCGGAGGAAGAAGCGTCTTTGAAAATGCGCAGCAGCCCCCCAAGAATGGATGGTCTCAAGCGATACCCGCCTTTACAAAACAGCCACAGAAACTCTAAGCATGCGTGAGCATAACAATGTCATGTAGCATAAAAAAACTCCTAAGCCTCTAAGATTTCCTTTGGGGGTGGCAGTCCTCAAAGTTGTAAGGAAAGGCTTAAAGGTCTGCGGATAGTGTTGTGAACCACCCTGAGACCTGTGGGTATGGGAAGTTATACAAATTTAATAAATAATAGTAATAATAATAATAATGGCTTCTCAGAAACCCAAAGGGCCCCTGGTAAGAGGTCTTCCAACAGCCTGGTGGCACAGGATCAACTCTAGACATGCTTTCTTTCCCCAGTCCCCCCTGCTTGCAAAGCAGTCGCCCCCAGCTGCCCCCAGGACTCTGGTTTAAGCACCTTGTGCAGTACCTGCGACTCCAGATGTTGCTCTGTGAGGGTCATCATCTCTTCGTAGGTCATCTGGGAGAAGAGGGCTGCATATTTGTGGAGGCGAAGACTCTTCAGCCACGAGGGGACATCTGTGGAGAGCGGTCGAGAGGTAAGACACCTTTGGGGGACAGCCTTGTGAGTGAGCCAATGTCACGGAGTGTGGAATCTAGGCAAACTGTATTGGGTCAGGCCCTTGCGGCGCAACAGAAGCAAAGTTGCCTGAACCATGTGTATTAATAAAACTTATAAACCATGTCATTTTATGTTGATTGAAAACTGAAATGTTTTTAAAATATTTTAAGGTCTTTTGGGGGGTGTTTTCTTGTGCTGAAAGCCATCTTGGTCTCCCTTTTGAGAGGAGGAGTAGAATAAACTCCCGCCGGCCTCATCCTGCACGGCCAATGGTCAGGGATGACGAGACACCTGAAGGGCAACAAGTTGGGGAAGGCTGTCCAGCACAGCCGAAGAGTAGTAAAAAACTGAGTGCCAGGGAACTGTCCCAGCAATGTGACACCTCAGAATGGGGAGTGTTCTTACCGCCCTTGGTCAGGACTATGTCTATCGGCATAGCAGTGTCTTTTAAACAAAAGGACGTTTCCCAGGTAACAGGGTCTACAGGAGGGGCCAAGGCTAAGCATGTTCGCGACTCCCAATGGGACAATCAAGTCTCTGACTGCTGCAGACTCAGCTGCCTCGACCTGGGGCTGAACAGGCAAGAGGTGTGTCTGTATTTAACTCTCTCTCACACACAAATACACAGGCCAGGCAACTGATTCCTCCAGAGCTTCCTGGGCATGAGAACATGGCAAGCCAAGAGGGACTGAAGAGAATGGGCATTTGTGCCATTTTACAAAGTTTGAGGGGGGGAAATGGACTGCTCAAAGATGCAGCTACACATACACATCTGAGGACTCCTTTTGCAGAATCCTCAAATCCCGTTATCAGGGCTGGTGCTCAGCAGCTCTTTCCGATATTTTGAATTACTATAACTGCATTGTTTTGATGATTTTGTAAGAATTGCAGAACTGTAGCGCTGGAAGGGACCACAAAGGTCATCCAGTCCAACCCCCGGCAATGGAGGAGTCCTTTGCCCAACATGGGGCTCAAACCCACGAGCCTGAGTGTCTCATGCTCTACCGGTTTGGCTCTATTTCTATGTTCCTGTGTTTGATATTACAGCGGCTGCAATGTTTTTAATGCTACGGCGATTGTTGTGAGCCGCTTTGAGCTCAACATTTGCTGTTGGAAAAGCAGAATACAAATATTAAATCGAATCAAGCCAATTTGGTAGAACGGGGTTTCCTGTGGTTTGGGGACCGGCATTCATCTTTGAGACCAGCCTCTGACCCAGGAGGACAGAACCCCAGTCCACCAAAGTGGCTGTCGAGTCCAGCCGCACCCTCACCCTCCCGAAGTACCTTTCATGCCGCTCCCCTCCTCCTGGAAGGTGTTTCGGCTGCCAGACTGCTCCTCCGTCTGCTCGCTGCCCGATGAGGCCACACTGCTCTGGGGGGAGAGGGGAGCGTGCTCCCCGCCGGGGATGAAGGCTGGCCGGGCGCCCATCTCGTCCACGCTCATCCACTCGCTGGGGACCTGCTGGCTGGTGGGGATGAGGGACATGGAGCGCTTCAGCGGGCTGGGGTGGATTTGGCAGGGGAGAGCTGGAAGGAGGGAAGAGATGTTTAGGACCTGCCGACAATGGCCCCACACTCGGCTGCAAAATCATCAGGAAGGCTTCAGAAGCTTAGGAGAGATTTCAGAACGAAGGAAAGTTTACAAATTCTGAACCTGTCGAGTGGCTGTACTACCCAGAATGTAGGTTCATTCGGTGAACCTGACTGGAAGGAAGTTTGAGCAGGAATACACCGAGAACCACCAATTTGTCTTCTGAGGTCCTTCTTCGTGTGCCCCCTATACGGGAGGTTCGGAGGGTGGCAACAGCTTTTCAGTGGTGGCTCCCCATTTGTGGAATGCTCTCCCCCGGGAAGCTCACCTGGTACCATCAATGTATATCGAGCACAATTCAAAGTGTTGCCCTAAATGGCTTCGGCCCTGTATATCTGAAGGAGCGTGTTCACCCCATCATCCAGCATGGACACTGAGTTGAGGTTATGGGGAACCAGGCAGAGGGCCTTCTCGGTAGTGGTGCTGCCCTGTGGAATACCCTCCTGCCAGATGTCAGAGATAAACAACTATACGTCTTTCAGAAGACATCTGAAGGCAGACCTGTATAGGGAAGTTTTTAATGTCTGATGTTTTCATATCTGCTGGAAGCCACCCAGATAGGTGGGGTATAATAATAATAATAATAATAATAATAATAATAATAATGTATTCAGGCACCAGGCAAATTCATTACTTTTTAACCAGGCCTTTGGTTTTCAACTGTCTATGGTCTTTTAGAGTAGGTGGAATGTTTTCATGTATTTTCTTTTCTGGTAAGTTGCTTTGAGTTGACATGGCAAAACAAGCAACTAATACATTTAATAACAATAATAATAATAATAATAATGTTCAGGCAAGGAACTGGAACAACCCAACTGGCTGACTAGGCATCAAGGATCATCCAAGCAAAGAAGTTTCGCACAGTCCTTTGCAGCAGTGCCTACAAATCTGAAATGTTTTCTTAGCTCTGGCATGAGGATAGGAAAGCAAGACACACAGCTTTTGATATCAACAGACAGATTCCTCCCAGAGATGAGAGAGCTCCCTCTGGCTCGAGACAGATAGCTCAGTTTATTTCCAAGCCATTTCACCAAAAATTGGGAAATACTAAGCTAATCAGAATTGGTTAACTCCTTCCAGGGGCAACCTTTTAAAGCAGCAGAGATATTCTCCCAGAAAGGCTGCTCCTGAGGGAAGAACCTACCTTAGTGAATTAGGAATGTCTTCTATGTACCAAGAGATAGATTTTAGATGTTAATTTTTTTGCAGAAGGACCTAGGGGATCAAGCAAGAGGGCCAACCCATTTGAGGATCCCCTCCTCCCTGCAGGAAAACACTCCCACCATCACCCTCCCAAGCAAGATGGCGCCTGTTTCGCCGACCCTCCTCACCCCTCTGCCCTGCCTTCCGCACCTGTGTTTGCGTTGCTCCCGATACTGTTGATGGCCGACGGCACGGATCCAGAGGAATGGAAGGACATGTGCCCATTTTCCCGCGGCGGCTTCTCCTGCCAGCCGTGCCCCAGGTCTCCGAGGCCCGTGTCCACGGGGCCCTGCCACTCGTCTGAGCCCTGGCGCGAGTGGTAGGCCGTGTCGGGCCGCCCCCTGCTCTGGCCGGAGTAGCCGCTGGAGAGGCGTTCCTCCAGGTGGTTGAGCCACAGGGCCAGGGAGTTGCGGTCGTCCAGCGTGGTGGCCGGGTGGATGAGGGCATAGGAGAGGAGCTGCCGGCTCTCCTCGATGAAGAGGTTGCTCTCAATGGAGTAGGCCAGCACCTTCTGCAAGAGCTTCATGTACTCGGACTTGGCGTCCGTGTTGCCAGGCTGGAGGAGAGGCAGGTGGGAGAGGAGCAGGGAGACTACTTTGTCCTTGGGCTCTTGGTGCCACTGACTGATGACAGCTGTTGGGGTAAGAGAGAGAGGCAAGTCAAGAGAATATCTGGTGCTGCTGGGGAAGATGGACTGATTTCGGTTGATTTGATTGACATCCTATGCCCTCTTAAAATGTGTTGGGGGGGTCATTGCTGTTTTCATTTTGATTATGTGCTTTGCTCCATTTTATTTATTTATACTTTGCAAGTTTATACATTTTGCTAGTTTTATACATTTCACTCATTTTGACATTTCAAAACTTGACTTCCACCCCCCCCTTTCTGCGGTTCCTTAAACTTTTTATTATCTTCTGCATATCCAAATTAACTTAATTTATTCAATTATTCATCTTCTTTAAATATACACTCTTATAAAATTGCAGGTTGCTACAATGACCCTGTCAATGTTTTTATCTGTTTCTAATTTATCTGTAAATATTCAATAAACCATTTCCATTCGTTTATTAAAAAAACTGTTATCTTGATTTTTCGGTAACTTTCGCCATTTCTGCATATTCCACTGTATCCATTCTTCCTTTACTGGGACTTCTGCTTCTTTCCATTTTGGGGCCAGTAACATTCTTGCTGCTGTAGTTGCATACATGAATAAGTTTCTATCGTTTCTATACATTTTAGGTAGTTCTGTCCCTTTAATTCCCAAAAGAAAAGCTTCTGGTTGCTGGTTTTTTTTAACAAAGGTTACTTTAAACATCCTTTTCATTTCATTATATATCATTTCCAAGAAATGAATTGATAAATGTACTTTGTGGTTTTATATTCTGATTTTAGCTTTCTTGATCTCCTGCCCTCAGGAAGAAGATATAGAAGCATGATTAGTCGCACCAACAGGGTAAAGAACAGCTTCTATCCGTGGGCTGTTAGGCTGCTGAATGAAAAGATAACAACAAGGCAACGGGTTTGGTGGGTGTGCGTCAGTAAACGAGGGAAATTAAGACTAAGAGAGCTGAGTGGGAGGGGGTGCTCGTGTAATCTCAATGTATACAAGTGTACAGGTGACAATAAAGTATTTCAATTTTTTCAATTTCAATTTTAGCCTGTGAACCGCCCTAAGACCTGCAGTATAGGGCGGTATACAAATTACTGTATTTTTTGCTCTGTAAGACTCACTTTTTCCCTCCTAAAAAGTAAGGGGAAATGTGTGTGCGTCTTATGGAGCGAATGCAGGCTGCGCAGCTATCCCAGAAGCCAGAACAGCAAGAGGGATTGCTGCTTTCTTTTTAAAAAAAAAATAAAATATTTATTAAGAGTTTAAAAGTTACAAAAAAAAGAAAAAGAGTTAAACAAAGCAAAGAAGCAAAAAGAAACAACAAACAAAAAACAACACAATACAATGCAAGACAAATAAAACAAAACAAAGACCATTTTAAACAATTTCAATGTCATATCTTTCATTCGCTTATTTCCACGACTTCCTCACACCTCCCTTTTTGTATTCCACATCAATTAATTATTTCAGCAATTCCTTTCCATCTTCCTCTGTTTTCTATCCTATAATTATCTTAACACATTCTAACCTTATTTTATTCCCTTTAATGCTCAATTAATCTATTTATACTTAATTCCTTATAACATTTCTGCTAAAGCCATATAACTTCATTCCCACTTTGTTCTAACATTCATTAATTTTGCAGTATTTCTATAAATAGTCTTTAAACTTCCAGTCTTCTTCCACCAGCTCTTCTCCCTGGTCTCGGATTCTGCCGATTCTCTCAACCAGCAAAAAGCAGATGATTCACAATAAAATTTAGGGGTCTGGCAGGGCAAGTCCACCTCCTTCTTTAGCATCCGTTAATATCTTAAATTTTACTCGAGGCTTCCTGCCCTGCCATACAGATCTAGAGACATCCCTCTGCCACCTCCTGAAACAATCCCTCCCATCCAAAACTTGCAATGTTTGAAACAAAAGCAACATCCCCGACCTCACCACAACCCTCGTCCCCACCACAGCAACCCGGCCCAACAATAGCAACTTCCAATTTAGCCCTATTTCCAAATCCCCCTTCTCTTCAAGCCAACGTCCTTCACAGTTGCCCTTGAATAAATTCACATTTCTGGCGGTCATACTAACCCCCCAATACCTCTCTTTCTCAACCAATGTTAGTCCTATCTCCTCCTGAAACTCTATCAGGGTTTCCTTTTCCTCAGGTAGGGCTCTGATCCTCAATTTCATCTGTTTCTCTTTAAGTTCAGACATATCAGGTGTCAGCTCGTATTCATCAAATCGTCCTTGTATGGATGGGACTCTCTCTCTCTCCAGTTGAATTACTTTACCTTCAGCAGCGAGGGTTTTCTCCTTAACTTCATCCGCTGTTTGCCGTATCAGGATAGATTCCTGTATCAATTTCTGGGTGGTTTCTGTATTGATATTCACCTTTTGTCCCAGGTTATTTAGACTTTCTACCATTAAATCAATTTTAATATTTGCAGCATCCACTTTCATATTTATCACATCCATTTTCTTGTGAAGCTGTTCCAGCGAATCATTTATTTTCACTAGTACAATCACTAAGGCCTCTTCTGGCGACATTCCGTCTTTCTCATCTGCCATAACACTCAATAGATTCTAGGTCAACTCACAGTCTCACGGTTTTTATCTTACAACTGGAAATTTCCCAGCCCAGATCTTATGTAGCCGCCAGTTTCAAGAACTTCCACTAGTTGTAAACAGTTTCTATTTGTATTGATAAGTAATATCCTCTTAAAGCACAGTTCAAACGACCCAAAACTAATTTCAATTTTCAGTTACTTTCACTGCTGGAAACAGTAGAAACAATGTATCTTCTCTTATGCTAGCTGTCAACACGATCCAAGCACTGTCAATAAACGTCTCACCAAAACGTCGGACCTTCTAGCAGCCCGTTCCCAGGGTCCGAGCGGCGGTGTTTTACCTCTCTTGGTCTCTTCCGCAGGCAAACTCAGTTGACAACTTCCCTCCCCCCTCTTCTCCTGCCTCCAAGGGGGGGGATTATATTCTTTACTTATGGAAATTTAGTCTTTTACAAAAGGCTTTCCAAGACTTCAGCTTGCAGCCTCAGTTGCTTCAGTCTATTTACAAAAGAGGAAGGCGGACTTCCTGTATTGAACCTTCCCCGTTTCGATGCCAAATTAGACGTGTTTTTTTAAAAAAAATCCAATTTTCCCAATTAAGCTCTACTCACGGGTAGTTACTTTAGAGTCAAATTGTCCACAGGAAAAAGTCAGCGCTCTCCGACAACAGCTATGCGGCTTCGCTCCGTGGAAGAAGCAGATGATTCGAAGCACCGCACCGCTCACCCCACGTCGCTCCGGATCCCCGAAACCGGGTTTCCCCGCGAGTGGGGGAGGCGCAAAAGGTGCCCACCGAATCCCACGCTCACAGGCTTCTCCCGCCTGTGATTTTTAACGGGTCTCCGCCTTCGCCGTGGCGGCCAGACCCAGATTTCCACGGAGCTGATTCCTCCCGATCAGAGGAATCCAGCCATTGCCGGAGGCGCCTCCCCGGAAGTCTCTGCTTTCACTGCGCAGCGATCCCTCTTGCTGTTATGGCTTCTGAGATTCAGAATATTTTTTTTCTTGTTTTCCTCCTCCAAAAACTAGGTGCGTCTTGTGGTCTGGTGCGTCTTATAGAGCGAAAAATACGGTAAATAAACAACAATGACGAGCCACTTCCAGGCACTCCAGTGTAAGCCTCTGTGAATTGAAGCAAGACCCTCCACACCAAGATAGCCTGATGGCTTAGCTCAGGGGGCATCATGGGAGGGGCGTTTAAAGCCACCCCACCCCACCTCTTGCCCTTGGAAGCCTTGCAAGCAGCTGCGGGAGAAGGACACTGAGCAACATCAGTTGCTCTAGGACTAAGGAGAAACTGTGAAGCTCCCTTATTATTTTTTGCTATTGAATGCTGCATGTTGTTTAATCATTCCGGTTACATTTAAGGTACAGTGGTACCTCCAGTTGCGGACGGGATCTGTTCCGGAGCTCTGGTCAGATAATGAGGTTTCCGCAACCGGAGGGATCGCTTCTGCACATGTGTGCGCGGCGAAACCCGGAAAAATACTTCCGGGTTAGCCGCGTTCGCATCCTGAAGGATATGCAACCGGAGGTATGCCTATCCAGAGGTACCACTGTACTAAAATGTGGGGGTTTTTAAGTTATTATATTTTTGTTTTGCTGTGCTATTGTAAAATTGGTTATTATAATTTTGTGTTGTGAACTGCCCTGAGGATAGTATACAAATTTAATAAAGAAAACCATAATAATACAGGCAGCCCCCTGTTTACGCAGGGGTTATGTTCCGAGGCACTGAGCACATCGGTAAAATTGTTTATAACTGAAACCCATTGAAATAGCCTGCAAACACCCCGTTCTGCACCCTCCCTTTCAGTGACATCTTTATGACGTTTCCGGGTCACATCTGGGTTCAGCACAATACACACAATCACAATCATACTGAACAAGTGGCTGCCTGTAATAAGTTTTCGTAGTGTTTGTTTGAAATGCATTCCTGTTTTTCTTTGTTGTAAGCTGCTTTGAGCACAATTTTTTCCGTGTGTGGAAAGGCAGCATACAAATAAAAAACGAACGAATGAATCAATTTACATAGCACCACTGTGGTGTTTTTCAGACAGTGATGCTGGAAGCCACAGGTGAGGAAAGAGTGCCAGGGTCTTGCCAGTGTGCACCCCAATGGGGCATCTGGTTGGCCACTGTGAGAACAGGATGCTGAACTAGTTAGGCCATTGGCCTGATCCTGCAGGCTCATCTTACATCCTTATATTTGAACGAAAGCACCTTCAATTGTTTCTGGAGTATGTAGACCAGGCATCCCCAAACTCAGTCCTCCAGATGTTTTGGGACTACAATTCCCATCATCCCTGACCTGTTAGCTAGGGATGATGGAAGTTGTAGTCCCAAAACATCTGGAGGGCTGAGTTTGGGGGTGCCTGGTGCAGACAGAGATGCCGTTCCACAGAACAGGAGCAGCTACAGTAAAAGCCCTGCTCTCGGTTACTTCGGAGCAGGCTTCCAAGATTTTCAGAACTTGCAGGAAAAGCAGGCTCTTCTTTGGGACCACCTTCCCCAAGTCGAAGCCCTCCAAATGTTTCCAACTACAGCTCCCAGTAGCCACCTGGCTGGGGCTGCTGGGAGTTGTAGTCCAAAGCATCTGGAGGGCTTTCTCTTGGGGGGAGAAGGTAAATTGAGGGTGTTCCGAGTTGTCTCCTGGCTTTATGTCAGAAGCCTCCGAAAGAGATTCGGTGAATTCAACCTCATTTCTCCCTTTTGCCTTAATCTTGGGCTACACTATTATTAGAGAGCTGTAGGAGTTGCATTTTGCCTCACAGATAAAAGGGAGGCGCTTGTGTGTGTCAGTTGCAAGGGTGGGGGTGGTGAAGGGGGTGCGTGTGCTTGGGGAATGGAGCTTAACTGAGTGGCATGGAGTTCTCACAGCTTAGCAAGATCCAGCCGAACTTGTGAGGACACTTGGTCCTTATCAGGCGTTCGGCAAAAGGAGGCAGATGCCGCGGGCTGATCACCCCCAAAGTGCATGCATTATGCACTCCTAATCTGCAAATTATCCGAGATTAGTTATAGGAGGTCTACTTTTCCTCAGTGTTCAGTCACGAGTAAACTGGGGGGGGGGGGGAGCTCCTTGACCCATTTGCAATTTTTAGGCGAGCACTTAAATGCGAAGTGTGAATCAGGGAGAACGTGCATTTGCAAACATGTGTACCGGAGAGGCCCACTCACAGAGCCGGAATTAGCTGCAGCTAAACCATATGCTCTGGGCAAACGCAGGTCTTCTATCTATCACAGTGTGCGAAGTGGTGCGAGGGGATGAATCACAGAGCTTCATGAATAAGGAATGGATTCATAATTTTATCTCCTCCTTTAATATCAGAATGCCGAGTCACCCGATAAAAAACGACTGGCAATAGGTTGAGACAGGTCAGAAGTACTTTTAACACAACATAACACACAATTAATCTATGGAATTCGCTGCTTCGAAACGGCCATTAGGAATTTTCTGAAAAACTGGAACTCTTCTTTGTGAATCTGCTAAACAGCAGCTCTGAGACACCACAGCTAACTGGAGCCGTGCTCACATGAATACCAGGTGATCAGTGTTCGAAATTAGCCAGGCGCGTTTTGTGATAGGTAACTCACCTTTCACGAGGAAGCAGAGATGCCTGAACACCTGGTTTAGCGCGTAACATCACCATCTGGCTGGCAACACCTTTCTTCATCGTTCTGCCCCTCAATCATTTTGGTTACCCTTCTCTGAACCTTTCCCATCTCTACAAAACCCTTTTGGAGGTGAGTGACCAGAGCGTGCCCAACCCAATTAAGGACCCGTGGCAATATTGCCACATAAGCAGATGGTCTGAATCCATTCGGACTGTGAGGATGTTAGACGTAAGTTCCAGAGGGAAAAAAGAGCTGACTTACCCGCACTGTTGGCCTCTGACTCCAGAACGTGGATCTCTGTGCAATCTGCCAACGAGTGCTCCAGGCACAGCTGCAGAAAGCGGGCTTGAGTGCGAGAGATGCGCTTGAGGAGAGACAGCAGGGCCACCGTCTGCTCACATTCATTCCAACCTTTGAACCAGCCAGCAAGGATGCCCACCTGGTCCCGGAACATCATGGTGGCTGGCACCTCGGGTTCGGCGGCAACTCACCCACAATGGGGTCAAGGAAGCACCAGGGTTTGGGGTGGGGTAGGGGGGAAGGACCCCTCACATGGTTTCAACCTCAAGTCTGGAGGCTCGGCAGAAGGCCACAAACCAGAACACCGACTTTCCCGTTAGCAGAGAAGCAGAATGGCATGGAAAGGGAGGCTTTGCTGTTCCGAAGATCTTTGGGTTCTTTGGGGATTATTCCACTTCAGCAGGATGTCTCAGAACCCCCCTGTAAGAGAGAACGAGAGTCAAGGATGAGGATCTTTGCATCCCTCCATATTTGTCTGTACCCTACAAAATTATGTTGGGAAAACAGAACCCCATGCTTTCAAAAACTCCTGTCTATCAACACAATGTGGTGACAATGGAACACCCAGGCCAATTCGCATTTGTTTTTAACATGATACTTTTTAATTATTGTGAAAGGCTCCCTGAGAATATTTATATTGAAGGGTGGCATAGTAGTTGGTTCAAAAAAAAAAAAAATACTGACTCAAGGAAATGTTCGGCCTGGGTCTGGTGGGCCAGAGTTCAAATTCAGACGTGTCTCTGGGAGATAGAGTCCAGGGGCAACTGCTTTGGACAGTTCACACAAGGCTCAACATTTTGAACTACAAAATGCACGGTGATGACGACGGCGAACTCAAGAGTGTGGTGCCCCTTTCACAGAATCACAGAAGTGCTGTTGGAAGGTACCCCAAGGGTCATCTAGCCCAACCCCCTGGGATGCAGGAATTACGGGTTTGGAATCGCATCTTGCAGCCTTCTAATCCCAGAATGCCAACCTAGGCCACGATCACAAAGCATTTGCTTCGGTTTGACTGGAACGTTTCTTCCACCCCTGTACTGCTCTTGCCCAGAGAAGAGCTTTTGGAGACCTCTGAGCAGAACTGGCACACTAGTTAAGTCAAGGCTGGCACTGACCAAGGATACACAGCTGGCTCTGAAGGCAACCAAGGGAAAGCCAAACAATAGTAGCCCCTCACACCCAACCACTTGTGCACACTAATCCTACAGAAATGAGGCCTCTTCCTTTCATTCCCCCTGTACCATGGAAGTTTAAACTCGAAGGTCCTCAGAGACCCCCTCCCCCATCATTCTTGCTCACATGAAGTACTATATACAGTGGACGCTCAGGTTGTGAACGAGATCCGTGCGGGATGCGCGTTTGCAACCCGCAGTGGCGCGTCTGCGCACTCGCGGGTTGCAATTTGGCGCTTCTGTGCATGCACAAAGCACGATTTAGCACTTCTGTGCATGTGCAACTGCCGAAACCTGGAAGTAACCCATTCTGGTACTTGCGGGTTTTGGCGGGTCCGTAACCCGAAAAAACGCAATCTGAAGCGTCTGTAACCCAAGGTATGACTGTATATACTTTGATGATACTGCAGGAGCCATACAACTTGAACACCCGAGGCAAGAAACAGCAGCACCTGAAAGTGACTTGGCCTGAAGGCCTTGAAAGGAGTCAGAAGCAAGATGAAAAGCATGGGTTACCTCAAAGACACATGTAACTCCCCCTGCCAAAAAACCCCATACCTATTACATAACTGAATGCCTGGGAATTCAAAAGAATGCCAGTGTTGCTGGATAAAAGCTCCATTAGGAGACTCCTCCTGCTTATCAGTGCAGTGGAAAGAACCAATTATGGATAATTTTACTATCTGCCTTTCGAATGATAAAAAGCACAAGCAGAAAAATCCAACGAATTTCCTAAAAACTAACTGGCATGAACACAAAATGCTGTATCCATGAGCACAGCACAGCTTTCCCCACCGTCTGGGCACTGCCTCGGGTTTAAACAGTTGTGAACTCTTCGACAGAGAAGCCTGTTTCTATTAAAGCCCTTATATAAAGAGAGAGCATCTGTCTTTAAAAGAGAGAGAGAGAGAGAGAGAGAGAGACTGAGGAAATGGCTGTCTGGATCCCTCTATCCTCTGGACACTATAATTAGAGCCAACCAAAGCAAATGCCGTCCCCAAGAAAAGCCACCAGGAGAAGTCTGGAGGAGCAGCAAGGCAGCTGGCCCTAATTATACCTTCAGAGGAGGAAGGAGGCACATCAAATGCCACCCACAGCTACGTAATGTGGAGGAGGGAGCCGCTCGGGTCTGCAGGTAGAGACCCAAAGCTGGGCAAGGGGCTGTGCCAACAGCTGGCAGAGCCATCCGGACGCTGGTCAGGGAGCAAGACAGGTTGAACTATTCTCTGTGCTGTGATACCTTGCAGCTGGCACATCCTGATGCCATCAAATAATAATAATAATAATTTATTATTTATACTCCGCCCATCTGGCTGGGTTTCCCCAGCCACTCTGGGCGGCTCCCAACAGAACACTAAAAAACAATAACCTATTAAACATTAAAAGCTTCCCTAAATAGGGCTGCCTTCAGATGTCTTCTGAAAGTCTAGTAGTTGTTTATCTCTTTGACATCTGGTGGTGGGAGGGCATTCCACAGGGTGGGTGCCACTACTGAGAAGGCCTGGTTCCCTGTAACTTGGCTTCTCACAGCGAGGGAACCGTCAGAAGGCCCTCGGAGCTGGACCTCAGTGTACGGGCAGAACGATGGAGGTGGAGACGCTCCTTCAGGTATACTGGACCGAGGCCATTTAGGGCTTTAAAGGTCAGCACCAACACTTTGAATTGTGCTCGGAAACGTACTGGGAGCCAATGTAGGTCTTTCAAGACCAGTGTTATATGGTCTCAGTGGCCACCCCCCGTCACCAGTGTAGCTGACGCGTTCTGGATTAGTTGTAGTTTCCGGGTCACCTTCAGAGTTAGAACGAGCAGCCTGTTTGAGGGCTTTCTGTTGATGGCAGTGGAGGGGGCTACCATCAGTGGGGATTCAGCCTGCATCACTATCATCCAGCCACGCTTCTGAACAAGAAGTTCTGTACTGGGGCAGTGTCGCTGGACTCATCTCCTGGTGCCAGGGCCGGCCTGCCCATTAGCTGTTATTAGGCAGTTACCTCAGGTGGCAGGCTGGCAAGCGGTGGTGGGTGCCATTTTCTGTTTTGCCTCTTGTGGCGAAATGTCCGGCCCTGGCTGGTGGAGCTTCTTTTGGCCCAGGCAAAGAGAGACCTCTGCCTCGTCCAAACCCAATGCAGTGGGTTGTGGGGCTGGAATGCAGCCCAAGAGAATGAAAGTGAAGCTGAAGCATAATTCCACTTTGCGGCCCTCAACGGCCTCCGCCCAGTATATCCAGTATACCTGAAGGATATACTGCCATTGTTCAGCCTGGACACTGAGGTCCAGCTTTAAGGGCCGTCTGGCAGTTCCCCCACTGTGAGAAGCAAAGTTACAGGGAACCAGGCCGAGGGCCTTCTCGGCAGTGGCGCCCTCCTTGTGGAACACCCTCCCATCAATAGACATTATATAATGTCTATTGCCTATTAATGTCTATTATATAATAGACATTACAAATTTCCAGATATTGGGTTGCCTTCAGATGTCTTCTAAAAGTCAGATAGTTGTTTATCTGACTTTTAGAAGACATCTGAAGGCAATCCCGTATTGGGAAATTTTTTAATGTCTATATGTTCTACATTTTTTAATGTGCTGTAAGTCTCCCAGAGTGGCTGGGGAAACCCAGACAGATGGGCAGGGTATGAATAATAAAATAATTATTGTTGTTGTTGTTGCAGGCACCGTCCGCCAAGAGGGAAAACATTATCAACACTCAACCAGGGCTCTGACCGGCTTTGCAAGCCAGACAGGATTCGGAAACCCCCAAAGTTTCTGAACATATGATGGCAACAGCCCCAAGCTTAAAGAACATAAGAGGGGTTTTGGTGGATCAGATTGAAAGGTCTATCTAGTTTTAGTCCAACATCCCGTTCTGGCAGTGGCCACCCAGGAACTCCAAAGGGAAGCCCAAGAGGAGGAGCTGGGTGCAACAGCACTCTCATCTGCAACTCCCAGCAAATGGCATTCACAGGCATGTTCTCTTCCTGGTCCTGGAGATCATTTCATAGAATCCTAGAGCTGGAAGAGACCACAAGGCCCATCGAGTCCAACCCCCTGCCAAGCAGGAAACACCATCAGAGCACTCCTGACATATGGTTGTCAAGCCTCTGCTTAAAGACCTCCAAAGAAGGAGACTCCACCACACTCCTTGGCAGCAAATTCCACTGCCGAACAGCTCTTACTGTCAGGAAGTTCTTCCTAATGTTTAGGTGGAATCTTCTTTCTTGTAGTTTGGATCCATTGCTCTGTGTCCGCTTCTCTGGAGCAGCAGAAAACAACCTTTCTCCCTCCTCTATGTGACATCCTTTGATATATTTGAACATGGCTATCATATCACCCCTTAACTTCCTCTTCTCCAGGCTAAACATGCCCAGCTCCCTTAGCCGTTCCTCATAAGGCATCGTTTCCAGGCCTTTGACCATTTTGGTTGCCCTCCTCTGGACACGTTCCAGTTTGTCAGTGTCCTTCTTGAACTGTGGTGCCCAGAACTGGACACAGTACTCCAGGTGAGGTCTGACCAGAGCAGAATACAGTGGCACTATTACTTCCCTTGATCTAGATGCTATACTCCTATTGATGCAGCCCAGAATTGCATTGGCTTTTTAGCTGCCGCGTCACACTGTTGGCTCATGTCAAGTTTGTGGTCAACCAAGACTCCTAGATCCTTTTCACATGTACTGCTCTCAAGCCAGGTGTCACCCATCTTGTATTTGTGCCTCTCATTTTTTTTGCCCAAGTGCAATACTTTACATTTCTCCCTGTTAAAATTCATCTTGTTTGTTTTGGCCCAGTTCTCTAATCTGTACTAGTCATCGTGACTAGTAGCCATGGGGCTAGCTTTAGCATCCAATTTCTCCCCGAACCACAACCCTGTAGAGCAGTGGTTCCAGATTTGCTAAATACTGTGGACCGCCTGTTGTTCAAAAGCCAAGCCATGGGCCCTCTACTTTTGAAAATGTTGGCATCTCTATGGTAGGTTTTGCTATGTGGATGGTGGCACAGATCTCCTGGAGTCTGTGGACCATCAACTGGGAGCCACTCCTGTAGAGCAATTGTGCCTAAAACTTTTGATACTAGCTACAGGTGGCGACTATTTTAGGCACGTCCAACTGAAGCACGATTGCTAAAGCACGGGTACTTTGGGACGTGGAAGAGGGCAGAAAGGGGGCATAATGGGGGCCAAGGACAGACATCCCCATCCCACGCGAAATGGTCGCTGCCTGTACTAAGAGTTTTGCTTTTGGTTTACAGTGGTACCTCGGGTTAAGTACTTAATTCATTCTGGAGGTCTGTACTTAACCTGAAACTGTTCTTAACCTGAAGCACCACTTTAGCTAATGGGGCCTCCTGCTGCTGCTGCGCCGCTGGAGCACAATTTCTGTTCTCAACCTGAAGCAAAGTTCTTAACCAGAAGCACTATTTTTGGTTTAGCAGTGTATGTAACCTGACGCGTATGTAACCTGAGGTACCACTGTATAAGATACGATACGATAATCTTTATTGTCATTGTCCCATTCAGAACAACAAAATTGAAAAATCTACATAAAACATTCAAAACCCAACAAGCCTGCTATTCCAACCTAGTTACCCCCCTAAAAACTCTGATACCCCATTTCTAAATACAATATACACCCATAGAGACTCCTTACACTGCGTTTAAAACCAAAATTGCATTTGGGTAAAAACTGTTTCTCAGGCGGCTAATCCTAGTCTTTATAACCCTGTACCTTCTTCCAGAAGGCAGAAGCTGAAAGAGATCATTTCCTGGGTGTGCACTATCCTGCACTATCTCTGCGGCTTTCTTATGGCACCTGGAAGCATAGATTTGATCCAAGGTGGGTTTCAGCTGCATAAGGAATCTGGGGCTAGAACTCTGAACACTATAAGCCCCATCCTGGTAACCCAGCACAAATGTTCTTCACAAAGAATCCAAGTCGGCGTTGGTGGCAACTTTTCTCTCTGAACCCCAAAGGGGTAATGCTGAAACTGAAGTCTGCTACCCCAACAAACTGGCAACCCATTGAACGGAGGCAGTAGGATGCAGCCTATGCGGCCTGCGGCTACCTGCCCCTGATCCTGAAACATCCAGGTATCTTAAAAGGCCAGCACGTCCCTGGTTCTCACAGTTGAGCAATCAAAACGTGGGAACAGGGCTGCCAAGAGCTACAAAAAGGACTTTTAAACCAGAATGCAAAAGGCCCGATTCAAAATGAGGTTTCAGGGCTCAGGAGGATGCGTGGCACCATTTCGTGCACGAGAGGCCAGTGACACTACAGCTCTTGATCACAGCAACAGGTGGGACATGAGAGGAAGAGTCAGGTCTGTATTGGCACACTTCTAGCTGACCAAAACTGTGCTAAAGAATAAAGCAGCGAAGGTGAACGGCTCATTAGGAAGAAAGAACGCTGGCCTGGGAAGGGAGAATCTCCGATGCCTTGATGACTCTCCCTGCTTTACTATCCGTAGTTTGGCTAGCTTTAGTTTTCACATATTGCTCAGCCAGAAAGGAGCCCACACAAAAACAGAGCAATAAGGTTCACCCTGAATTAGGGCTCATCCACACTCTTGCTTGACTTGTCAGACCCGTGGAAAATCCGAAAAAAGCAATTCTGCTTAGCGAAGCTTCAATTCAGCAGGTAAGACTGAACTTTTGCAAGGCACAGCCGTGGAACAACGAGAAAAGCTCTTGGAGCCGGAGGAATTAATCGGTACACAATATGATCAAAATATGGCTCAAGCAAAAGTATGGACAAGCCTTTATTTGTTCACAGGACCCTTTCCAGGTGATTTCCAGAGTGGCTGGGGGAATCCAGTCCAGTGGGCAACATGCAAATAATAAAATTATCACTATTAAATTATTACCTACCTACCTGTGCTTTAGGAATCAAAGTTTGGTTTTTTTAAATAAAGTATTTATATACCACTTTATCGTGTAACGAAAAATATCAAAGCGGTATACAGCAATAACACATAAAACATATAATAAATTTAAACAATTAGCCATTGTGCAAATTTACAAAGAACTCTGGGGCATCCTCCCCACAAAGTTACCAGTGCCCTGGTAACCGAAAAGCTCTGCCTGAGCCTAGCCCAATACTGATATACACACACAAGCCAATTACTCTCTATGGTAGCGCATGCAAGCAAACGGCTTCACAGCTGAAGTGTGCACAGGAAGGACAAGTGAATGGAAAGACCAGAAGATAGACGAGATAGACGAATGGAAAGACGAGTTTGCAGGGCAGCAGTTGAAGAAGGAGCAAAAAGGGTTTTCTTGTGTGTGTGTGTTTCTTTGTGGCTGATTGGCTGCTCTCCCTGTGCAAAGGTCAGAGGGGGCAGGGTTTCTGTTGAGGCAGGTGATTAGCTGTGGGAGGAGCTTATCAGAGTTTGCAGGGCAGCAGTTGAAGAAGGAGCAAAAGGGTTTTCTTGTGTGTGTGTGTGTTTCTTTGTGGCTGATTGGCTGCTCTCCCTGTGCAAAGGTCAGAGGGGGCAGGGTTTCTGTTCAGGCAGGTGATTAGCTGTGGGAGGAGCTTATCAGAGCTTGCAGGGCAGCAGTTTGATCCATCTTTTAGATTTAGGGAGCTAGTCTCAAGCGTTTGTTGGGGAGACCTAGGTTTTTTGTGTGGGGAGTAATTTTTCCTGTCTTAACGCTTTTTATGTTGGAGGACTGCTGTAGCCACCCCAACGACACGTTCTCAAGATGGAGGAGGGAACAGCTGCAGTCGCCTGCGGTTCCTGCGCAATGTTTGCCATCTTGCCAAAGGTTGCAGGCAGCTTTACCTGCAGCAATTGCATGTTGATTGCCCTCTTAAAAGACAAAGTCCAGCAACTGGAGGAACGTGTAGCTACGCTCCAAAGAATTAGAGAGCTGGAGCTCTTCTTGGAAGCAACAGAGCACACCGTCTCCACCAAGGAGGAGACAGGGGACTCCCCTGAGAAGGACGCTAGTTCACCAACACAGGAGCCAGATATATGGAGAAACGTGACTCAAAGAAGTAGGAGGCCCAGGGTTCGCTCTGATTGTTTAGAAATACACAATCGCTTTGAGGTCCTCTCCCCTAGCATGGAAGACGAAGAGCAGACTCCATTTGAGGATCTCTCCCTCATTACAGTCGATCAGGTATATGAAGACGAGCAGCAAAGTCAGTCCTCAGGGAATGTGCAGGCGACCTTGGAGCAGACAGCTCACGGAAGAACCCCGACCAAACCTAAGAGGAGGCGTGTAGTGGTGATAGGGGATTCCCTACTGAGGGAACAGAAGCAGTGATCTGTGGGCCTGACAAGATGTCTCGGGAAGTGTGCTGTCTCCCGGGGCTAAGATCCAAGATGTAACTGAACGACTGCAAGGAATCATAAAACCCACTGACAAATACCCCTTCCTCTTGGTTCATGTGGGAACCAATGACACTGCAAGCAATAGCCTCCAGAAGATCAAAAGAGACTACGAGGCTCTGGGCAGGAAATTGAAGCAATTAAATGCACAAATTGTGATCTCATCTGTCCTCCCAGTTGAACGACGTGGCCCAGGGAGAGAGGGAAAATAGTGGAAGTGAACAGCTGGCTTCGCAAATGGTGTAAACAGGAACGGTTTGGATTCTTAGATCACGGACTGCAGTTTCTTGAAGATGGACTTCTGGCAAGCGATGGGCTGCACCTCACAACGGTTGGGAGAAATGTTTTTGCCAAAAATCTCAGAAACCTCATCAGGAGGGCTTTAAACTGACTAATGTGGGGAGGGAGACAGTGCTCCTGAAGGTAGGAGTCTATCAATTGATGAAGATGATCATCCAAATGTCATAGACCAAATGGAGCAAACAGCACACAGACCTAGTGGTGGGAGGAAAAATCCTTAAATAAGAGACACGGGGAATGATTAATGGACTTCAATGTCTGTACACTAATGCGCAAAGCATGGGAAATAAACAAGATGAGCTTGAGCTCTTGGTACAGCAAACTAAATATGACATAATAGGCATCACTGAAACCTGGTGGGATAAGTCCCACGATTGGAATGTAATAATGGGGGATACAATCTATTTCAGAGAAACAGACCAGACAAGAAAGGAGGAGGAGTGGCGTTATATGTCAGGGATGTGTATACCTGTGAAGAGATCCAAGATTTAGAACCTCAAAGCCAAAGTGAGAGCATTTGGGTCAAAATTAAGGGAGAGAAGAATAACAGTGACCTCATTGTGGGAGTTTACTATAGATCCCCAAGCCAAACGGAGGACATAGATGATGCCTTCCTGGAACAGATGGCCAAGCATGCAAAAGGAAGGAGATAGTAGTAATGGGGGACTTCAATTACCCGGATATTTGTTGGATGTCAAACTCAGCCAAGAGCATAAGGTCAAACAGATTCCTCACTGGCCTTGCAGACAACTTCATTGTCCAGAAAGTGGGAGAAGCAACAAGAGGAACAGCCATTTTAGATCTGGTCCTAACCAATGTTGATGACCTGGTTAGTGGGGTAGAAGTGGAAGGATCATTAGGCGCGAGTGATCATGCTCTTCTGAAGTTTACTATACAGCGGAAAGGAGCAGCCAAGCATACTAGGACTCAATTTCTTGACTTTAAGAAAGCTGACTTCATAAAACTTAGGGAAGTGCTGGGTGAGATCCCATGGACAGTAATACTAAAAGGAAAGGGAGTTCATGATGGCTGGGAGTTTGTTAAGAGGGAGATACTAAAAGCACAACGTCAGGCAATACCAATGAGACAGAAACATGGAAGGTGCCTAAAGAAGCCAGGGTGGCTATCTAAAGAACTTTTAACTGAGTTAAGAGTAAAAATGAATGTGTACAAAAAATGGAAAAGGGAAACCACCAAGAGGAATTCAAACAAATAGCCAGCACGTGTAGACACAAAGTCAGAAAAGCTAAAGCACAGAATGAACTCAGGCTTGCTAGAGAGGTTAAAAGCAACAAAAAGGCTTTTATGGGTATGTCAGTAGCAAAAGGAAGAACAAAGAAACAGTGGGGTCACTCAGAGGAGAAGATGGTGAAATGCAAACAGGGGACACAGAAAGAGCTGAACTCCTCAATGCCTTCTTTGCCTCAGTCTTCTCCGATAAAGAAAACAATGCCCGACCTGAAGAATTTGGAGCAAATGATTCAGCAAAGGAAACACAGCCCAGAATAACTAAGGAGATAGTACAAGAATACTTGGCTAGTTTAGATGTATTCAAGTCTCAGGGCCAGATGAACTGCATCCAAGAGTATTAAAAGAACTGGCAGATGTGATCTCAGAACCACTGGCAGTCATCTTTGAAATTCCTGGAGAACAGGCGAAGTCCCGGCAGACTGGAGGAGGGCAAATGTTGTCCCTATTTTCAAAAGGGAAAAGAGAGGACCCAAATAATTACCGCCCAGTCAGTCTGACATCAATACCAGGGAAGATTCTGGAGCAGATCATTAAGCAAACAGTCTGTGAGCACCTAGAAAGGAATGCTGTGATCACCAATAGTCAGCATGGATTTCTGAAAAATAAGTCATGTCAGACTAACCTGATCTCGTTTTTGACAGAATTACAAGCCTGGTAGATGAAGGGAACGCAGTGGATGTAGCCTACCTTGATTTCAGCAAGGCATTTGACAAGGTGCCTCATGATATTCTTGTAAAGAAGCTGGTAAAATGTGGTCTTGACTATGCTACCACTCAGTGGATTTGTAACTGGCTGACTGACCGAACCCAAAGGGTGCTCATCAATGGTTCCTCTTCATCCTGGAGAAGAGTGACTAGTGGGGTGCCACAGGGTTCTGTCTTGGGCCCGGTCTTATTCAACATCTTTATCAACGACTTGGATGATGGACTCAAGGGCATCCTGATCAAATTTGCAGATGACACCAAATTGGGAGGGTGGCTAACACCCCAGAGGACAGGATCACACTTCAAAACGACCTTGACAGATTAGAGAACTGGGCCAAAACAAACAAGATGAATTTTAACAGGGAGAAATGTAAAGTATTGCACTTGGGCAAAAAAAATGAGAGGCACAAATACAAGATGGGTGACACCTGGCTTGAGAGCAGTACATGTGAAAAGGATCTAGGAGTCTTGGTTGACCACAAACTTGACATGAGCCAACAGTGTGACGCGGCAGCTAAAAAGCCAATGCAATTCTGGGCTGCATCAATAGGAGTATAGCATCTAGATCAAGGGAAGTAATAGTGCCACTGTATTCTGCTCTGGTCAGACCTCACCTGGAGTACTGTGTCCAGTTCTGGGCACCACAGTTCAAGAAGGACATTGACAAACTGGAACGTGTCCAGAGGAGGGCAACCAAAATGGTCAAAGGCCTGGAAACGATGCCTTATGAGGAACGGCTAAGGGAGCTGGGCATGTTTAGCCTGGAGAAGAGGAGGTTAAGGGGTGATATGATAGCCATGTTCAAATATATAAAAGGATGTCACATAGAGGAGGGAGAAAGGTTGTTTTCTGCTGCTCCAGAGAAGCGGACACGGAGCAATGGATCCAAACTACAAGAAAGAAGATTCCACCTAAACATTAGGAAGAACTTCCTGACAGTAAGAGCTGTTCGACAGTGGAATTTGCTGCCAAGGAGTGTGGTGGAGTCTCCTTCTTTGGAGGTCTTTAAGCAGAGGCTTGACAACCATATGTCAGGAGTGCTCTGATGGTGTTTCCTGCTTGGCAGGGGGTTGGACTCGATGGCCCTTGTGGTCTCTTCCAACTCTATGATTCTATGATTCTATGATTCTATGATTCTAGATAAACAAACTTGCCAATCCCAGCCTGTCATGTAATGAAGCCAGCAAAGCAGCTCATGGAACGACAAACTGGATGATGGCCCTCAGGGCCAACGTCGTCTCATGCACTCACCCCAATTTCCAACACCCTTGCAAAACTCCCAGAAGTTAAAAACCCAACTACCGTATTTTTCGCTCTATAGGATGCACCCGACCATAGGACGCACCTTGTTTTAGAGGGGGAGAACAAGAAAAAAATTCTCCCCCTCTCTGCTCAGCGCCCCTTCAGCGAAGCGGCAGGAGAAACGGAGCCCCTTCCATTTCTCCTCCTGCTGGGCTGAAGGGGCGCTGCGCAGCTCTCCCTCTCTGCTGAAGCCAGGAGAGTCTTGCTCTCCCGGCTTCAGCAAAAGGAACCCGAAGCCTCCAGAGCACAGCGGGAACTCGCACTGCGCTCCGAAGGCTTCAGCGAAAGCAACGCGAAGCCTCCGGAGTGCGGAGGGAGCGCTCCCTCTGCACTTTAGAGGCTTTGCGTTGCTATCGCTGAAGCCAAGGAGCCTGCATTCGCTCCATAGGACGCATACACATTTCCCCTTAATTTTTGGAGGGGAAAAAGTGTGTCCTATAGAGCGAAAAATACGGTAATTGTGAAGTGCAAAGTTTACTCCCTTTGCACTAGTTGGGTCTTCTTGCAAGCCAGGTAAGAGACACACCCACCTTAAAACAGGGTCCAGAACAAGTTTCCAATAGACAGTTCAGAATGAGACTTATGGGTCATTTTATAATCTAAGGATACTCAACAGCAGCGCATCACAAAAGATATTTCAAGTCAGATAAGCTTTCCCCCAAATAAAGTCTTTTGACAGGCCCTTACATATCCACAGCTGTCATGGACACAGACCATGTTACTAGTGATACAGAGCATTACAGTAACAGATGACCTCTCCTTCCAAGTTTCTTAATCTGCTTTTGCTCTCTGGTTGCAGTTTCTAGGCAGGCAGAAGAATGGCAGAATCTCAGCCTTCTTATCTCTTGTCCTGACAAATCTGGTTACAGAGTGTTAAATGCAAGATAGGAAGCCTGAGGGAAAAACACAAAGGATGGAACCACAAGCTTCAACCAACCAATAAGGCAAGAAACTTTTGACAATAGGGTTGCCAGTATATATCATGCTTAGTGTTAATAGTTTGTACTGTCACCAGTGACTCCCACAATTGCAGACAAGGCTCCTCAAAAGGTTTACTTGTAACATGTGTAAAGAAAGAAGGATGCCTACAATTTTCAATCAAGAAAAAAAGTGCACCCATCACCAAAAGTTTGGGAAACTTTGGCCTGGTCATACCAGTCATTAAAGTTCCCTCTTTGCAATATTAACTTGAAGACCCGAAAATAAATGTTCTAAAAAGCACAATTACAGTACAAAAAGAGAGAGAGAGACTTTCTTCCATACACAAACCCTTTCCACCAGTGATCCCAAGGTATACAAAGAAAACAGCAAGATGTGTTGGAGAGAAGTTAAGCGATTATTTAAGGAGTTAATATTTCACACCTCAGGTGTTGCCATCAGTTTATCTCCTTCAGGCAGGGCAAAACAGCTTTCCACTTCTATACAGAGAGACCAGCATTGTAGTTTATTGATTTAGCAACACAAATAGAAAGCTCTCTTAGAAACCATTCAGAACAAATGGCTGAAAAGAAGGATGGGAGGAAGCCCCAGTACGTTGAGCCTTGAAATTCAGAAAGCACAAGACTCAAACTGAAAGTGTACCAGAAAATTACACCAAGCCCACCAGGGTCATGTGACCAGGAAGAGCTAAATGTGCAACTACCACAAGGTACCAATAAGCCTGCCAAATCCCACCCCCAATGTGTTCAATTCTTGCAGAGAGATGCTCAAGTTCTGCACCAATAGCACACGTTGTCCCCTCTGAGGAGTTGAAGGGTCACCATTCAGCCTAAGTCAGAGCATCCATTTCTCTAAATGCCCAGAGGAAAACTGGGATTTCTATACGGTACACATCTTCCCAACCACCTTACAGGTGTCATAAAAGCAACCAATGAGTTTTCATCTATTGAAGGGGAGGGAGAGCACAAGCTTTTGGACTGGGATCATCAGGAAGCAGTCTGAACATACATTTTGCTGCAACAGTTTAAACTTGTGCCTAGGGATAAGAATGTTCCGGCTCTCTTGGAGAAGCCTTTCAAAACTCTCAGGAAACAAACTGACCTGGGAAGAAATTTCCCAATAAGACTCTTAGGTGAACAATGGGCACAGCTGCTTCATTATGATGTGCCCATTTGGTCTAAGGAGTGGCGAGGAGAGGAGAAAATGATTAAAGGCACTTTAAGATCCTTCCAAGTTGTGTTCCAGATGAGAGAAGACAAGGGAAGCTGCTTCTGGAGGTGGGGAGGAGGCTTGCTGAATGTGGAAAGTTCCTGGGCCAGGAGAGAGGTAAAGCACTAGATAAGAGTATCATTGGCTGGATAACTGGATTAATAGTTAATGCCCAAACCAAGCGAGGGAGCCTTAAATGTTACTTACTGTAGAAAGAAGGGATTTTAAGTGCAAAGGGCTAATAATGATTATCAGCACAACTCCTGGGCTTTGGGGAGGAAAATGTGTGTGAGGAAAATGCCTAGATTTAAAGAGGGGAATGTTGACTACTGGTCAAAAGGTGGAACTGATGATGGAATGGGGTGGGGAGAAAAGGATGGATGATCTAGGTTAGGAAGAAAGGAGGGTATTCAGTCTCACCTAAAACAAAACACCCAGTATTGGGGCTGGGGCAAGGCTAAGAATGGATACCACAAATTGAGATTGAGAGAGATGGAAATGACAGCCAGCTGTTGGGAGATGCTCTAGGGCTAGATTTTAAGCACTGAGCAAGGAGCAGGGCTAGAGCCTGTCAAAGTCCTCCCTCTAATTTCTATGACTCCAGAACTCACCTTAGGGATTGAAGGTGGAGGAATCCTAAGAGATGGAATACAAACAATGGAGGAGAAAGCACAAGAACACGGCTAGATCAGAGCAAAGGCACACCTAGCCCAGCATCCCTCAGGAAACAGGGCCTGAAAGCAACATCACCATCACCAGCCCAACACTGCCAGTCTCCAGGATCTGGTCTGTTGAAGTGCACTGAACCCTGAGCGCAGGTTCCCCTTACCCATCACAGGTCCTTGGACGTTGGAAAACCTCAGTTGGTAGAACATGGGACTCTTAATTTCAAGGCCATGGGTTTGAGCCCCATATTGGGCAACAGATTACTGCATTGTGGGGTTTGGACAAGATGACCCTCGTGGTCCCTCCCAACTCAACAATTCTATGATCCCCACCTCCACCCAGATATGTCCAACCTTCTCTTAAACCCAGCTTTAATATTGGGGTGGGGGGTGGGAGAGAAGAGTATTAAATATATTAAGAGTATTAAATAAATTAAATATATTAAATTTGGGGAAGTGATGACAAGGGTGTGCAACAGGAGCTGGAATGTGAGGGGTGGGTGACAGGCAAGGAGGGAGAACAGGGGTTCAGGCCCCCCCACAGTGCGTATATAACATCAAATACATGCATATCTCTATACTGGGGGTGGCGAAGAGAAGAGGCTTCAGCACCTTAATTTTGGAAAGGGGCGGGTGGGGGTGGTGGGGAGCTGGGGCTGGAATGTGATGGGGTGGGCAAGTGGGGAGGAGGGGAAACGGGCTGAGTACCCTCAGCCCCCACAAAATTTGCACATGAATAACTCTATATGTGGGGGCAAAGGGGAGGAGGATTTATACCTTAAACTGGGAAAGGGGTAGGTGGGGCTGGAATGTGATGAGGTGGGCATGTGGGGAGGAGGGGAACTGGGCTCACTACCCCCACCCCTGCCAAATTTGCACATGAATGCCTCTATATGTGGGGGCAAAGAGAAGGGGATTTAACACCTTGAACTGGGAAAGGGGTGGGGCTGATGGGCCTGGAATGTGATGAGGTGGGCAAGTGGGGAGGAGGGAAAACTGGGGTTCAGTACCCTCACCCCCCACCCAATTTGCACATATGTGGGGGCAAAGGGGAGGAGGATTTATACCTTAAATTGGGAAAGGGGTGGGTGGGGGTGATGGGGAGCTGGGGCTGGAATGTGATGGGGTGGGCATGTGGGGAGGAGGGAAAACAGAGGCTCAGTACCCCCCCCCCAAATTTGCAAATGAATGCCTCTATATGTGGGGGCAAAAGAGAAGGGGACTTAACCCCTTAAACTAGGAACGGGATGGGTAGTGGTGATGGGGAGCTGGAGCTGGAATGTGATGGGGTGGGCAAGTGGGGAGGAGGGAAAGCTGGGGTTCAGTACCCTCACCCCCCACCCAATTTGCACATATGTGGGGGCAAAGGGGAGGAGGATTCATACCTTCATTTGGGAAAGGGGCTGGTGGGGGTGATGGGGAGCTGGGGCTGGAATGTGATGGGGTGGGCATGCGGGGAGGAGGGAAAACAGAGGCTCAGTACCCCCACCCAATTTGCACATGAATGCCTCTATATGTGGGGGCAAAGAAAAGGGGATTTAACACCTTAATTTGGGAAAGGGGCGGGTGGGGGTGATGGAGAGCAGGGCCTGGGGTGTGAGGAGGCCCCTCCCAGCCCCCCTAAAGTGTGTCTATTTCCACATCTTTATACTGGCGGGGCGGGGGGCTCGGGAAGGGGCGTGTCCGCCGCCCAGCCCCTCCCCTGTGGGCGGGGCCTCCTGCACCTCCTGAGGACCACTGGGGAGGGGGAGGGGCCCTCAGGGCGGGGAGGGGGTGGGGGAGGGGGCGAGGCCCGCGGCGCCCCCTCAGGGCCCGCTCCCGCTCCGCCGTCGTCGTCCCCACCGCTCCCCGGCGCCTCACTCACCGTCTCCGCGGCCCACTGCGGCCCCTCCGGGGAGAGGCAGAGGGAGGCGGGCAGGCAGGGCCGGCGCAAACACGCAAACACACGCACAGCGCCAGATACCACACACTCCGGAGGGCGGCGCGCGACGTCACAACGCACGGCGACGTCAGCGCGCCCGCGCCGGACCCGCCCTCCGTCCCCGTCCCTCTTCCCCCGCTCCAGTCCGCGGCGCCGTCGCCCCGCTACGTCACCTCCTCCCCACCTCCCTCGCCTCTCCATTGGCTAAGGCTGCCGCGCGTCAAGCGCCGACGGACAGCTGCCCGAGCCATTCAGCGGCTTCCTCACAGAGGGTCGGGCGGGGAGCGTGAACTCCCACCTCCTCCAATAGGAGAGCGGAGCTTTCCAACCCCTTAATCCGAGGGAGGGAGAGAGATCAGCCCCACCCCACGCTTTTTCCGCCGCCACTGAGCGGCGGCGGAAGGCGGGCTTTGAGCTCCCGAGCCGCCAATGAGCTTGCGGGAAGGGGCGGTGGGGTGGGGACGGAGGCGGGGCCTCTGAGGTAACACTCCGCCCCCTCCGCTCGCTTTTCCCGCCCAAAGCGTCTCCTCAGGCAACGACATTCCCTCGCTTTCCATTTTCTGAGGAATTTAAACCGCCCCTCACAAATATGGATATACTCGGTCCGATAAATAATATATTTTGACCCATATTCCGAACAATAGTGTATCAAGCACTACGTGCCCGTGCGTGTATTCAATTTATATATTGAAAAAATAAATAATAGTTTTGGGTTCTGAGAGGCCAAGTGTTACCTGACATAAATTTATTTGTTCTTTTGCTTCTCCTGAAAATAAAGAAGAAACTTAAACTGGCCGTTGCCCTCAAAGGAAATAAAACCTGTTCATATATCCAGTCATAACCAGAAATGGGAAAATTTTCCACAAGTGGACTGACAGCATAGTTTGTAAATGAATACAAGTTTATATGTATTGCATAAAACAGAATAAAATACATTTCGCCGTTAAAATAATGAGTAAAAACTCGTAACTTTCCCCCACAAACTTCATCATAGTTTGGCAAATGGCCTTAACTGGAAAAATCACACAAATTTAAAAATGTCCCAAGGGCCAAAAAACAACAATGAAAGAAACGTGATAATTTCTTTCTTTTTCTTTTTTTTAATGATATTTATTAAAGTTTCACATGAAAAGAGACACATTAATAAAGAAAAAAAAGAATTTAAAAATAAAAAGAAAAATACACAATACAAAATACAAAAAGAAAAAAGAAAAAACAGTTAAAAACAATTCCATCTTTTCATCACTACTTTTAGATTTACTTATTTCCCGGACCTCCTCATACCTCCCTCTTTTGTATTCCAATTCAGTTTGTTTATCCAGCAATTCCTTTCCCTCCTTTTTAATCCCAATCCCAATCCTTAATCTTAATATAATATAACATAACATTAAATTTTTACCTATTAAAAACCAATTTTCCATTCTTTTAACCTTTTTAATCCTAATCCTTAATCTTGATTAAGGAGAAGAAGAAACGTGATAATTTCTATGATATATGGTATGGTTTTATTGTATATACAAAGAATGAAGCACATGAAAGTGAATTACCCCCCAGTTTACGGCACAGTTTGTCGAGTATAGACTGGATAGGGTTTTATTTCATTGTATTTTCCACAGTCCATATCCTGTAACAGAGAAAGTAAACAATACAATAAAGCGAAACATGTCAACTTTAATGGAAAAGTCTATTATGGCTTGCCTGCTATTAGTACACGGCTAAGCTCCTAATATTGAAAATAGATTTTATATACAGTATTTATTTTTTGGATGAGCTCTTAGATCCTAATAACTTTCATTTGCTTCAGCTTTTCTATGCCTGAGATGCTTGTCCTTTTCCCTTTCCTGTGTTTGTTCATATTTTGAAATGCAATAAAAACACAATCTGAAATAAAAGGAAATAAAAATAGAATTCTATGATTCTATGTCCACAACGAGCAAAGAGGAATGTATAAAGAAACCCCACAATTCTCTTTGCCAAGGCTCTTAAAAAATCCCTGTTTGACAATGGCATGAACTCTCCTTCTTTGGAGGTTTTTAAGCAAAGGTTGGATATTATTTTATTATTTATAGCCCACCCATCTGGCTGGGTTTCCCAAGCCACTCTGGGCGGCCATCGGCCATGTTGATTCCTGCATTTCAGGGGGTTGGACTGGATGACCCTCGGGGTCCCTTCCAACTCTGCTATTTTATGATTCTGTGACCTAAGAAGTGGGAAAGGACCCAGTTCAAGGGTGTTTCCAAAGTCTGTGTCCTTTAATGGAAGTCAGTTATTTCGCAGCCATGGTGCACCCTGAGAATATAACAGGTGGGCTAAAGCCCAGAACAAGCCCAGGATTGCAAAAGAGGTTAAAAATAATAAGAAAATTGTTGTTTTTTTCCCCCTGGCTGTGTCTGAAGCAAGAGGAAGACCATGCAAGTAGTAGGTCCTCTGCCTGAAGATGAAAATTTTCTATTGGGTGACAGAGAGGAGGAACTGCTCAACAGTCCAAGAGGTATTAAGGGAACACCTAGTTTATTTGATAGAATTCAGATATCCAGGGCCGTGCTTCCAACGGTACCAAAGCAGCTTGCAAATGTCATCTCATAGCTTCTGTCTATAATCTTTGAGAATTCTTGGAGAATTTGGATTGGAGGTGGGCAAATGTTGTTTCCATCTTCAAAAAGTGGAGAGGGGGCGGGGGAAAGACCGAGGCAACTACAGACCCGTCAGCTTAACCTCAAAACCAGGAATAATAATAATAATAATAATAATTTATTTATATCCCGCCCTCCCCAGCCAAAGCCGGGCTCAGAGCGGCTAACAACAGTAAAAATAGCACACTTTACATAAAATCACAATCAATTAATTGAAATACATTCTAAAATCAATTTATTCTAAAATCAATTGAGAATCAAATTAATGGCAGCCATTGGGCTAGAGTTCTGTGAGAATTACAGAAGCAGGTGGTCCTAGCACAGAAAAATCAAACAATCAGTCTGTGAGCACTTAGAAAAAGATGCTGTGATGACTAAGAGCTAGCATGGGTTTCACAAAAACAAGTCGTACCACAGTAATCTTTTTTTATTTTTAGAGTTACAAGCTTAGTGGATCAGGGGAATGCCATGGATGTAATGTATCTTAATTTCAGCAAGGTTTTCAGCAATGTCTTCCATTATATTCTTGCAGAGAAGCTAGTAAAATATGGTCTAGGTGATTTTATTGTTAGGTGGAATACTAGCTAGTTGACTGAGTGAACCCAAAGAGTGCTCACCAATGATTTCTTGTCTTCCTGGAAAGAAGTGACAAGTGTTCCAGGGTACTGCCCTGGGCCTCTTGATTTTCAACATCTTTATAAATGACTTGGATGAAGGAATTGAGGGGCTCCAGTGGTCTTAGTAAGGGACGCGGGTGGCACTGTGGGTTAAACCACAGAGCCTAGGACTTGCCGATCGGAAGGTCAGCGGTTCGAATCCCCGCGATGGGGTGAGCTCCCGTTGCTCGGTCCCAGCTCCTGCCAACCTAGCAGTTCGAAAGCACGTCAAAGTGCAAGTAGATAAATAGGTACCACTCCAGCGGGAAGGTAAATGGCATTTCCGTGCGCTGCTCTGGTTCGCCAGAAGCGGCTTAGTCATGCTGGCCACATGACCCGGAAGCTGTACGCCGGCTCCCTCGGCCAATAAAGCGAGATGAGTGCCACAACCCCAGAGTCGGTCACGATGGGACCTAATGGTCAGGGGTCCCTTTACCTTTAGTGGTCTTAGTAGACTACAAGCTTAACAAGAGTCAACAGTGTGATGCAGCAGCAAAAAAGCTAATGCAATTCTAGATAAACAGAAATCTAGTGTTCAGATCAAGGGAAGTCATAGTATCACTCTGTTCTGCCTTGGTCAGAACACATCTGGATTACTGTGTCCAGTTCTGTGCACCACAATTTAAGAAGGATGTTGACAACAGGAACGTGTGCAGAGAAGAACAACAAAGATGATTAAGGGTCTGGAAAACAAGCCTTATGAGGAGCCGTTGAAGGAGCTGGGTATGTTTAGCCTGGGAAAGAGAAGACTCAGAATGGATATTATAGCCATCTTCAAATATCTATCAAAGAGCTGTCAAATGGAAGAGGGAACAAGCTTGTTTTCTCCTGCTCTGGAGGGTAGGACTCGAACCGATGGCTTCAAATTGACAGCGGAATGGTCTCCCGCGGAAGGTTGTGGACTCTCTTTCCTTGGAGGTTTCTAAGCAGAGGTTGGGTGGCATCTATCATGGATGCTTTATCTGAGATCCCTGCATTGCAGGCGGTTAGACTAGATGACTCTCCGTGCCCCTTCCAATTCTACGATTCTATTTCAGGTGCCATGCGCTGGTAGATTCATCAAGATTGGTGTGTCTCTCTTATTCAAGAAGTAGTCACTCTACCACAGTTCGAGAACTGTAGGTGAAGGTGAAATGTGATTAGCAACCATCACTTTTCAGTAATCTCAGTGCCAGTTACCTGGAGAGAAGTCATCACCTATGTACAATTGGGTGTTGGTACCAAAAGGGACGCGGGTGGCGCTGTGGTCTAAACCACAGAGCCTAGGGCTTGCCAATCAGAAGGTCGGCGGTTCGAATCCCAGCGACGGGGTGAGCTCCCGTTGCTCGGTCCCTGCTCCTGCCAACCTAGCAGTTCGAAAGCATGTCGAGTGCAAGTAGATAAATAGGTACCGCTCCAGCGGGAAGGTAAACGGCGTTTCCGTGTGCTGCTCTGGTTCGCCAGAAGCGGCCACATGACCCGGAAGCTGAACGCCACCAGAAGCTGGCCACATGACCCGGAAGCTGTACGCCGGCTCCCTTGGCCAGTAAAGCGAGATGAGTGCCGCAACCCCAGAGTCGGTCACGACTGGACCTAATGGTCTGGGGTCCCTTTACCTTACCAAAGCTAGATCACTCAGTCTCCTTTGGATGTTATTAGGCTGGTAACTGAATCCCTCCGTTCACGCCTACTTTCTGCTTGTGTCTGTCCTTCTATTGAAAGGCCCAGCCTGCTTTGAGTCTGATCCTGAACCCTCTAGGATCTTTCTTGTCCTCTGCCTGTGGCTTCCCCTTTCGTAACTGCGAATGGAAACCTTTAACTTCTCTCTGGACTCCTCCCTACCACCAGCAATGACTTCCGCCCCAGCGGTCTTTCCTCTGCAGCTGTCAAGAGTGTGTGCCTGGTGGTGTTTCGCAAGTGCTGATGTTGAGCAGAGTGTGTCCTAACTAAAGCAAGAGCACAGAGATCTGCACATCCTGTCAGAAGGGCAAGCGGCTGAACCCAGAGCTGCAGCGTTTCAGCTGACACGGAGATAAGGCTGGAGAGACCTAAGGCAGAATGGTTAGCTGAAACAATTCTTAACGTGGGTCGGAAACAGTGGGTAGTGGGTGGTGGGTAGATTCTGCGCCATACTTGTGTCGAGCTACTTTGAAAGTTTACTTGTAGAAAATCTGACCTCTTTCCTTGCCACTCAGCCTTTCCTCCTTGTTATTATGAAAATAAGATGTCCAAAATCTAGTGTTTCTAGCCTTGTCTTGATCCAAAATGCTGCCTCCGTCCTTGAAGCTTTTGTTGTGGCTCGGCCCAAGTTGGAAGCCACATCTTGACAGTTGGCAGACATGAGCTTCCTGTGTGGTGTGTGCAAGCCTGAGTGGCAGATCAACCTTTCAAAATGAAGGGACCTTCTGGTGTGGCGACGGGAGTGGCGTTTTATATAAGAATGAACACACTTAAAACAACAGCAAAAAAATATAGATTGTGGATTATGAGAAAAGGTGTTGAGCCTTGTAAGACCCCTTACTATCATTCGAGCTTGAGAAGAGTTGGGACAAGTTTCTGTTTGGGATAGTTTTCTGTTATAAGAGACCCTGTTTGTGAAAAAGTGAGCTGAGATATGGGTGGACAGGTTGCAGGGTCTTGCAGAGAGCTTTGGCTTGGAGAGCATCCTAATAGAGACCCAGAGGTTTACCCACTGTGGCACCGAACTGTGTTTTGCAAGTGCTGTTAAGCAAGTGTTTTGCAGAGGGAGCTGGGAAAGCTGAGTAATCCAAACCAACCAATGCAGAATAAGTATGGGAAGAAAATATGAATCCTTATGACACAAATGTGGGGGGGTAAATAACAAAAGAATCAGCTGGGTGCCTCTCTCCAGCAGAGAGAGCCCTCAGTAGCAATGCTTAAACTCACAAAGTTAAGCAGCACTGTGAAGTGTTAGGACTGTAGGCTGTTAAACTTTTTGCATAAGTCATTTAGTCCGTTTGCAAACTGCTTCCCTCTTTCTGCCTCTCTTGCAATGAACAGACCACATTGTTAAGTAAGTTTAAAATGCTTTACTAACAAAACATTACAAAGATCAGATTCATGCATTTATCTAAGCAGCAGCAGGAAAGACACAGGCAGAATACTCTTGGGTGGAAAATACAGAAAGATAGCTTCAGACACGTGCTCTAAGCTTGGAGCTTGCTTACGCACGTCTTCCTTGCTCAGTTACATCGTGCAGAGAGGGGGAGAAATGAACAGGAAGAGAAGGCTTCACTTCCTTCCTCATCAGAGAAGAGGGGGGCATGACCTAACTGAGTCTAGGAAATGCAGCTCTATTGCCTTAACCCCTTCATGCACTGACTAGCAGTCATGCATAGTTAAAGTTTGCTTGCAATTTCCCACAGTTAGTTCTAGAGGAGATGAGACTATGCCATGGTCATCAGGGCAATGAAATAACAAGGAGAATGGCCTGCTTGACTGGAGGAGAAAACCCACATTGCCTTTTCCATTGCAGTCAGATTCTCTGGTTGTGTGTGACGTGGACCCAGAGCTGAAGGAGAAACTGAAGAAGTTCCGGTTCCGGAAGGAGACTAACAATGCAGCCATAATGAGTGAGTTTACTATCCCGCATGCCACCTCCCTATTTTTTTCCTAAGATTGGGGGCTATGGTATTGTGGCTTGGCACACCTGCCATAGGAACATAGGAAGCTGGAATCAGACCACCTAGCACGGTCTACTAGCTGACAGCTGTCTAAACTGAGTGACAACGGCTCTTCTGGCTTTCTGGCAGTGTTCTCTCACAGTTCTACTTGGAAATGTGATTGGCATTTAAATACTCCTAAATAAATAAATAAAGGGACGCGGGTGGCGCTGTGGGTTAAACCACTGAACCTAGGACTTGCGGATCAGAAGGTCAGCAGTTTGAATCCCCGCGACGGGGTGAGCTCCCATTGCTCGGTCCCAGCTCCTGCCAACCTAACAGTTCGAAAGCACGTCAAAGTGCAAATAGATAAATAGGTACCGCTCCGGCGGGAAGGTAAACGGTGTTTCCGTGCGCTGCTCTGGTTCGCCAGAAGCGGCTTAGTCATGCTGGCCACATTACCAGGAAGCTGTACGCCTGCTCCCTCGGCCAAAAAAGTGAGATGAGCACCACAACCCCAGAGTCGGCCATGACTGGACCTAAGGGTCAGGGGTCCCTTTCCCTTTACCTTTAAATAAATAAATGAATAAAAATTGGGATCTTCTGCATATACAGCAGATGCCCTACTACTGAGCTACAGCTTTTCCCCACCCAGTGCAAAACAGATGGGCTGCCCCACATCTCACAAGTGAGGATGGCAGTCTCCTAAGCAGGCATCGTAAACAGCTTAGTACAAAGTGGTACCTAAATACTGGTGCATTTCAAGCCTTTGTGCTTCGTCAGGGAATGCTTTTAAAAAGAAAATAGAAACGAACGCAGTTCTCTGACAATGCGGTGTTTGTCTTTTCTAACCTGAGAAGCCTGAGGCATACCAGCTTGAAATGTGCTGGGGATCTGTGCACCTTGTATTAAAGTGGCTTTGATGCTGATGGAACGTCTGTTGGCAGCGGCATAGGCAATTCTTAACTGTAGTTAATCAGGTGTCACTGATAAACTAGAAGGGGGTGTGAAACGAGCTGTTGGCTGTAGTCCTTCTGCATACCATTAGGCCACTGACTTAAGGGCCATTTCAGTCTCACCAGCAGTTCTCTGGCTCACAGCTCCCCCCACCTGCCCCGCAAAGTAATTTGTGAAGGCGAGGGAGCTTGGGCTTGGCTTTGATGTATTTATTTATTTAGTGCTCTTGTATCATGCTTTAAATCACCCAAGTGACCTCAAAGCAGTTTCCATACCAACAAATAAAACAAAATCATTAAAAATTCACGGGACACAATTAAAATATCAATAACGAAACCACAAAAGATCAGTGCTATAATGCAGAACAGACTCAAGGCACAAAACAGTCTAACCTATGGCCTCTGGAAGCTGGAGAAAAACAAACGACTTTTCACTAAGCAGCAGCAGCAAAAACCCATCAGTATCACGGGAACATAGGGATATCGGACGCTGCCTTATACAGAGTCAGGCCATTGGACAGATTTCAGGACAGATGAGAGAAAGTCCTTCTTCGTTCATGCAGCATATAGTTAAACGGTGCAACTCCCTCCCACAAGACGACCTGATGGCCACCAATCTAAAAAGGTAAAGGTAAAGGGACCCCTGACAGTTAAGTCCAGTCGCGGACGACTCTGGGGTTGCGGCGCTCATCTCGCTTTACTGGCCGAGGAGCCGACGTTTGTCTGCAGACAGGTTTTCCGGGTCATGTGGCGAGCAGGACTAAGCCGCTTCTGGCGAACCAGAGCAGCGCACAGAAACGCCGTTTACCTTCCCACTGGAGTGGTACCTATTTATCTACTTGCACTTTGACGTGCTTTCGAACTGCTAGGTTGGCAGGAGCAGGGACTGAGCAACAGGAGCTCACTCCGTCATGGGGATTTGAACCACCAACCTTCCAATTGGCAAGCCCTAGGTTATGTGGTTTAGACCACAGCGCCACCCGTGTCCCTAAATACCCTTTAAAGGTAAAGGTAAAGAGACCCCTGACCATTAGGTCCAGTCACGGACGACTCTGGAGTTGTGGCACTCAGCTCACTTTACTGGCCAAGGGAGCCGGCGTCCAGCTTCCGGGTCATGTGGCCAGCAGGACTAAGCCACTTCTGGCAAACCAGAGCAGCTCACGGAAATGCCGTTTACCTTCCCGCCGGAGCGGTACCTATTTATCTACTTGCACTTTGATGTGCTTTCGAACTGCTAGGTTGACAGGAGCAGGGACTGAGCAACGGGAGCTCACCCCGTCACGGGGATTCGAACCGCCGACCTTCCGATCGGCAAGCCCAAGAGGCTCAGGGATTTAGACCACAGCGCCATCCCTGGCCACCAATCTAGATGGCTTTAAAAGAGGATTGGACAAATTCATGGAGGAGAATGCTGTATGTGGCTATTATCGAAGGTGGCTGTGCTCTGCCTCTAGCAGCTGGCAGCAGTGCTTCTGAATTTACGGGTTTTCCATACAGTGGTACCTCTGGTTACGTACTTAATTCGTTCCGGAGGCCCGTTCTTAACCTGAAACTGTTCTTAACCTGAAGCACCACTTTAGCTAATGGGGCCTCCTGCTGCTACCGCACGATTTCTGTTCTCATCCTGAAGCAAAGTTCTTAACCCGAGGTACTATTTCTGGGTTAGAGGAGTCTGTAACCTGAAGCGTCTGTAACCTGAAGCGTCTGTATGTAACCTGAGGTACCACTGTAATGTGAATCTGGCTTGGCCAGTGTAACTAGATGGGTCCGTGGCCTGATCCATGAGGCTTCTCTTATGTCCATCTAGCTCAGCATTTTCTACAGTGACTGGCAGTGGTTCTCTGGGGAACTTGCACATGCAAAGCAGAGCTTTCTAAGAATGGAGAAATCCCCTTACTAGGTTTTTGTCTCCTCTCTCCTCAGTGAAGGTGGACAAAGACAGGCAACTGGTGGTGCTGGAGGAAGAATTCCAGGTATGTAAAACCTTTCCACTTCTTTTTTCTATTTAAAATGAGAATCATTCCTCCTGCTTTACTTTTTTTAAAGCCCCCTGATTCAGGTCAAGTTTTAAAAAATACCCCTCATTTGAATTCAGAGGCAGCAAAAGAAGGCTGATAGGCTTCAGGTTGAAGCAACACAAAGGTGTTTTTATATCGTATTTGCCTGAATATAAGCCGCATCTTTAAAATTGAAGGGGGTGGGGGAAGAAAAACCCCTCCAAATATAAGCCACCCCCTTCCTCACTGCTCCTGGCTACATGGGTGAAAAAGCTGCACTGCGTTTCCGATGGCCTTTCCCCTTCCTCGCTCTCTCTCTTTCTGGCCTCGGGGGAAAAGATGGCGCCGCTTCCCACGCTCCTGGTGCTGTTTGCCCCGCGCTTCTGGCTACATACTGTAATGGGGCGAATATACGTAAAGGTAAAGGGACCTCTGACCATCAGGTCCAGTCGTGGCCGACTCTGGGGTTGCGGCGCTCATCTCGCTTTATTGGCCAAGGGAGCCGGCATACAGCTTCCAGGTCATGTGGCCAGCATGACTAAGCCACTTCTGGCGAACCAGAGCAGCGCACGGAAACGCTGTTTACTTTCCCGCCGGAGCGGTACCTATTTATCTACTTGCACTTTGATGTGCTTTTGAACTGCTAGGTGGGCAGGAGCAGGGACCGAGCAACAGGAGTTCACCCCGTCGCAGGGATTCGAACCGCTGACCTTCTGATCGGCAAGTCCTAGACTCTGTGGTTTAACCCACAGCGCCACCTGCGTCCCGTTGTGGTGACTATAAGCTGCACTTTAACTTTTCATGGTCAGAATTTGGGGGGGAAAGTGCAGCTTATATTCAGGCCAATATGGTATATATGCTGTGCGCACACAACACAAATTGCAGCCTGGTGCAAATTCCCCAACCTGGTGCCTTCCAGATTCCAAACATATTGGACTTCAATGTGCTGACTGAGGTAGATGGGAGTTGTGGTCCAAAACATCTGGAAGGCACCGGGTTGAGGAAGGCTGGTGTGCTATACCCCCATGGCAGGTGTTCTGCTGCACAGACCAGAGCAAATGGCTCCAGGTGACTCATATATGTGACGCCCAACCACACAGTGTAGGGAAAGGTAAGCAACCCTCTGAGGTCACACGCAGGCTTACATGAACTGAGGAAAGTTCTCCCTAGCTACCAGGTGTGGCGATCAGTTAGATTCTGACTGTGGGGAGGAGGCTTCAGATTTCATCGCAACAGTTACCTAATCGTTTACCTGCAGTGTTTGTACGCTGTATAAAAACAGCAGATTTCCCCCCCCTACAAAGCCAGCAAGTGATTGAGCTGCAGACTTTGTTGTGACTATAAAGTGAAGGCATTACAGAGTGGGGGGTTTTTTCTGGAGAAAAGCATAATTGTCTCCACTACAGACAAATGTAAGGCTTGAACAAGCTACTCTGCCCAATCATAGTCTTGTTGTTGGGAGGAGGTGGAAAGCAGAGATGTTGAACACTAAACAAAGACAGTGCAGAAGCAGAAACCTGCTTTTTTATATTGCAGGAGAGTGGAACTGTAATCAACCGGTTCTCTCACACATACATGTGTGCACACACTTACTTTTCACTTCACTTCACTTCAGCCTGCGACAGCAACTGAATTCCCAACTCTTCCAGCAACTGCCTGGAATCTGACATGGAACGACATCTCCTTTTCCCCAAAGAAATTGCATCAGCTCCTCCATTCCACCTTCCTGCATTCTTGACATGAATTTTGTCGGTACATTACAAATTACGAGGCTGGGTTAAAAGCAAATTGAATTTCAGATCAAGTTTAATATCTCAGGGGAGCGATGTGCTGATGGCGTCATTTGCTTTCATATTTAATTCAACACGTTATGCAAGAACCCTCACACGCGTTAGCGAAATGTTAATCAAATGGCAGCGCGGAATATCCACTCCGCTGTGTTTTAGGGAAGCAGGAAAACTAGCAGCGGGGGTTTCAAGGGAAGATCTCTTCCCATTTCCTAAAATATGAAACGACTGGCAAGTTTTGCTTGTCAAAACGGGATCCCAGCTGCACACACTTTCCAAGAAAGGAACTGATGCATAATAACATTCCTCTGAAATAACCCAGGATGGTCCTAGCCTGGGAATGGAAGCTTCTAAACAGAGCCAGCTTGTTAGGGGATCCTAGAGCCACAGCTTGCTGAAAACAATGGGCTGGAGGGTGAGTTTGTCCAAATGTCAATTAGTGCTCCATTCTCAGTTCACATCACTTAATTATTGTGCCTGCTGGCATCATCTGGCGGCGCTTCCAGATGGATGCTGTTTGGGGTAGGATCCAGTGACGTCATCAGGGCCACCTTAAGCATGTCTGGCGCTGCTTCAGAGTTGCATGGCGGAGGCGGGCAAGGGCGGTGAGCTGATGCTGGGAGGGGCCCATCCAGGCTCCGCCTCTTCCCTGACGCTCTCCAGAACTTGGCTCCCCGGCGCCCCATGCCACTAGCCTCTATGGGTAAGATGCCCCTGGACATCATGACAAAACCAGGGTGCTCAATTACAGTTGACTTGGCACCTTTGCACGGCAAAGTCCCTCCCTCCCCCTTGGCCCCCAAACCAGACTTTTTGTGATAAGGAAAGTTAAAGAGAATTACCTGGGATAACAATTGCTTGGTGCAGCTATATGGTCATACCTCATGTTACGTTTGCTTCAGATTGCGCGTTTTCAGCTTGCATCCCATGGTGACCCAGAAGTGCCAGAAAGGGTTACTTCTGGGTTTCACTGCTTGCGCATGCGGAGACACGCAAAATGACATCGCGCACATGCACAGAAGCTGCGAAACGCGACCCACGCATGCGCAGACCTGGGTTGCATTCCTTTCAGGTTGCGAACGGGGCTCCGGAACGGATCCCATTTGCAACCAGAGGTACCACTTTACTCGCCCCACAAACAAATAAGAACAAACACTCAATAAATAGCCAACTTCACTTAACCTTCCTGCACCCTTTGTGCAAACAAATAAGGATGAATAAGGCTCAATCAACAGGCCGCCAACAAGTGACTTTACCCTTAGCTTTTCAGGCTCTGAGGAGGCCTCGTTTACATCAGCCTTGCCCTCCATCTCGCTGCTAGAGCACCGAAGTCTGCAATCTCACACATCAGGAGTGTGGAACCCGTTGCCCCCTAGAAGGTGTTGGACTTAAATGCCTACCAGCCCCCGTTAGCATGGCTTGGGGTGAAGAATGGTGGGAGATGTAGTCCTGCAACACCTGGAGGGCCACAGATTTCCCCATCCCTGCTATATGCATTTATCTGGAAACAAACTGAATTCAATGGGATTTCTGAGTGTGCCTGCATAGGATTATTCACAAGGCTGGTGAAGGAGGGCCAACTTCTGCACCTTTAACAAGCGGACTTCCAGTCGCCCCTTGGGCCACCTGCTTCCATTTCTTCCCCTTGGTACAAGGTGCCCAAGACTCAGCTGCGTCAAAGGGCACGGCAGTCTTGAACAGGAAGGCTGTTGATCCTTCCAGCCATCTTGTTTGTACGTATGTGGCAGCAAGCTCTGCTTAATCCTGCTCCTTTGCCAGTTCATTACAGGGCTTGTGGTGCCTGCTTGGCTGCAGCAAAGAGGATTAGATAATGGGCTAATTCAGAAGAATCCTCCCTTTAGCAGCAGAGATGAAAAGGCAGTGGGAAGCAGCAGTCTTCAGTGAGGGAGGTGGTGCATGCTCCTCCCTTTTCTAATAATAATAATAATAATAATAATTTATTTGTCTCCCGTCCATCTGGCTGGGTTTCCCCAGCCACTCTGGGCGGCTTCCAACAAAGATTAAAAATACATCAAAATAATACATGAATCCCTAAGCCCAGCTTCAAACCCACTGAGGACACCTTGCGGGACCGTTCCTCTCCCATACACCCAGATAGAGGACAGAAACCTTTCAGCTACCGCTGAGCCACAGAGCCATACACCTTTGTGCAATGTCAGAAGCGACAAGCAGAATTCAGCATCACCGGGGGGGGGGGCAATCTGGGTGCAGCTGCCTGGAATGCTGGGTGGGAGCAAGGGCTAAGCAGAGTGCCACCCTTGGCATTCGATGCCAGACACACCTTTCAGCCTGCGCACAGGCATCGCATCTGAGCTCCACCCTTGACAGGGAATAGCCAGAGAGCAATGGCGGAGGAGATGTTGTACTGCATAGACCTGGGCTCAAATCCCTACTCTTCTGCAAAGCTCATTGAACACTACCCCCCTGGGCTTTTCCAGATGACCTATTTATTCAGCGTTCATCCTTAAGTGTCTTATTGTTTCCCAAGGGTTTATATACCACTTGATTGTAATGAAAGCTCAAAGAGGCGCTGACAGAAAGAATAAAACAAAAAAATTATCAGTAATAAATAGTTAAAAACAATGATTTGATCCATTCCAAACAGAATTGAAATCAACGATAAGCTAAAAGCTGGATTAAAACAAACGCCAGCATTCTGTATCTGGATTTTGTTGTTGTTTAGTCGTGTCCAACTCTTCATGACCCCATGGATCAGAGCACGCCAGGCACTCCTGTCTTCCACTGCCTCCCGCAGTTGGGTCAAACTCAGGCTGGTAGCTTCCAGAACACTGTCCAACCATCTTGTCCTCTGTCGTCCTGTTCTCCTTGTGCCATCGTTCTTTCCCAACATCAGGGTCTTTTCCAGGGAGTCTTCTCTTCTCCTGAGGTGGCCAAAGTATTGGAGCCTCAGCTTCAGGATCTGTCCTTCCAGTGAGCACTCAGGGCTGATTTCCTTCAGAATGGAGAGGTTTGATCTTCTTGCAGTCCATGGGACTCTCAAGAGTCTCCTCCAGCACCATAACTCAAAAGCATCCATTCTTTGGCGATCAGCCTTCTTTATGGTCCAGCTCTCACTTCCATACATCACTACTGGGAAAACCATAGCTTGAACTATATGGACCTTTGTTGGCAAGGTAGGCTTGCTTAAACAAAAATGTTTAATTTTTTGGCACCTGTTTTGGCAGGCGCCCAAATGAGTACAGTGAAGGCACCTGCCTGGTGACGACAGGCAGGGAGTTCCAAACTGTGGGTGCCACACTAAAATATCAATGTATTAGAAGTGCAGAATGAGTATTATGTGACACTTGTAACAGTACCAGTTCCTTGGATCCATAGGTGCCAACTCCCTGGGGCCCTGAGTGCCCGAGCACTCACAAATTCCCCATGAAGGGGCCAGGCACCCACAAATTTTGGTGCCAGGGTCATGCACGCTGCATGGCACCCACAGTCCCGGTGCCAAGCTGGCACTCCTGCATGGATCAATGAGCTCAAGTGGGCACATATAGGATAAATTGATCTCTGAAGGAGAGGGTATGTAGCTTGTGAGTCCTTCTGGATCCCTTGCTGTTACTTGAGGCTCAGGTGGCCTCAGTGGTGTGGAGCGCCTTCCATCAGCTTCAGCTGGTGGCCCATCTGCACCCTTATCTGTTGTCTATGCTCGACTTCTGTTGTCTATGCTCTAGGTTAGATTACTGCAATGCATTATACGTGAGGCTGCTTCTGAAGAGTTCGGAAACTTCAGCTAGTGCAGCCTGGTTGCTCACTGGGGCAAGATGGACTGAGCATATCACACCGATCCTGGCTCCGACCGCACTGGCTGCTGATTAGTTCCTGGGCCCAATTCAAAGTGTTGGTTTTGCCCTATAAGGCAGTGGTAGGCAACCTAAGGCTCATGGGTCACAAGCGGCCCCCGGGGTCCTTTAACTGGCCCACAACCCGCCCCCGAATTGAGCCACCCGCTCAGCGAGTCCCCATGCGCTGCACTAAACTGGTGCAGCACGGCGCGGGGACTCGCTTCCGCAGCACCAGAAATCGCGTCTGCGCAGACACTGGAAATCACAGGCATGCGCGCTCACACACACACGCAATCCGGCCCACAGAGGGATCTCTGCTGGAGTGAACCGGCCCAGGCAAGGCAAACCTTGCTGACCCCTGCTATAAGCCCTTAAACTACTCAGGACTGCAATACTTCAAGAACTGCCTTTCCTTATGTGAACCAACCTTGGACCCTGCAATCGTCATCTGAAGCCCTTCTTCATGTGCCTCCACAACAGGTCAGGAGGATGGTAAAATGAGAAGGGGCCTTTTCTGCGGTGGCTCCCTGCTTGTGGAGTGTTCTCCCCGTGGAGGCTCCCCTGGCGCCATCATTACATATCTTTAGGCGCCGGGCTGAAATGTCTTGCTTCAACCAGACAACCAGACCTTGGCCTGATTGACATTCACCCTGATAGGATTGTGGGGAGTTTATTTCCCTTCCTGTTAATCACTCGCTCGTCCTACACTATTCAATTTGCCCATCACTTTCCAAACTGCAAACAGCCACAGTTTTTGAAAAACGGATTTGTTGTGCAGGGGGTGGGGGTGGGATCTCATCCCTTCCTACGCAGCTACTCCCCTTGGGAAGTCCCTTGTCTACAAAACTGATGCCTGTTTTTGTGATCTTCTTTAGGACATCTCTCCAGAGGAGCTGAGAAGCGAACTGCCAGAACGCCAGCCTCGATATCCTAGTGTTGTTTGAGTGCGTTTGTGAGAGGGGAGGGGACGACCTGATTCGGCCCATACACGCTTCCATGCTCAGCTATAGTTTTGAGGAGGTGGACAGAGAAAGGGTTTCCAATGGATTTCGGGATAGGCAAGCGGAAGCCTAGTTTGTTTATAGAATTTTCTGCCAGAAGATTCTGTGATGGATGGGATGGGTAAAAGGTAAAGGTAAAGGGACCCCTGACCTTTAGGTCCAGTCGCGGATGACTCTGGGGTTGCGGCGCTCATCTCGCTTTGCTGGCCGAGGGAGCCGGCGTACAGCTTCCAGGTCATGTGGCCAGCATGGCTAAGCCACTTCTAGTGAACCAGAGCAGCGCACAGAAACGCCGTTTACCTTCCCGCCGGAGTGGTACCTATTTATCTACTTGGACGTGCTTTCGAACTGCTAGGTTGGCAGGAGCAGGGACCGCGCAACGGGAGCTCACCCCGTCGCGGGGATTTGAACTGCCGACCTTCTGATTGGCAAGTCCTAGGCTCTGTGGTTTAACCCACAGCGCCACCCGCGTCCCCTGGATGGGATGGGGGACAACTGCAATTCCTTTCTCATTCAAAGGCATAATACCCTTTTTGAGGCGAGGCGACTGGAACACAGTATCCCCAATGCGGTTGCATGATATAATTCACACGCAACTGGAGCAGGAACCAAAGATGCTTTTGGACTAATAAGGCCAGTCCTGGATGACTTGGGCCCTTTTTCACACATAGTATGGACCCAAACCTTTTACAACTGGGCTGTCAACAGCTACTAGCTGTGATGGCTCTGCTCTGCCACCAGAGTCAAAGGTAGCAATGCTGGGACCCACAGGAGGGGAGAGTTGCTCTTGTGCTCACGTTCTGCTCCCTGGGTTCCCACGGGTGACCACATTGAGAACAGGGTGCTGGGTTACATGGACCATTAGCCTGATCCAGCAGGCTATTCTTATGTCCTTATCCTGCATATCCTGCATTCTTAGGACAGGAAGTAGCCCAGTGCCTACTGGGAAAATAATAATGATAATGATGATAATGATAATAATAAATAAATTTATTTATACCCCGCCCTCCCTGGCCAGAGCCGGGCTCAGGGCGGCTAACACCAATAAAATCACAGTAAAAAACATGATAGGGGGAAAAACAACAACAACCCAATTTAAAATACAGGTTAAAATGCAATTTAAAATGCAGCCTCATTTTAAAAGTAGCCCATAGATCAAAACCGTAAGGGGAGGGAAACATAAGGGTCAGACTGAGTCCAAACCAAAGGCCAGGTGGAACAGCTCTGTCTTGCAGGCCCTGCAGAAAGATGTCAAGTCCCGCAGGGCCCTGGTCTCTTGTGACAGAGCTTTCCACCACGTCGGGGCCAGTACTGAAAAGGCCCTGGCCCTAGTTGAGGCCAATCTAACCACTTTGCGACCTGGGATCTCCAAAATGTTGTCATTTGTGGCCCTTAAGGTCCTCCGTGGGACATATCGGGAGAGGCGGTCCTGTAGATACAAGGGTCCTAGGCTGCATAGGGCTTTAAAGGTCAAAACCAGCACCTTAAACCTGACCCTGTACTCCACCGGGAGCCAGTGCAGTTGATTCGCACTGGATGAAAACTAGAGAGAGAGAAAAAAAAGAAAAGGGGGGGGGAAACATTGGGGAATGAGATTTGTGGGTTTCCGCATCCAGGGAGCTCCAGAGCCTAAGGTGTCCTCACAGAGGAAGCTCTCTTCCACCCCTTTGCCAGCTGGAGACAAGCTGGTCCAGTTCCTCCCCGCCCCCCAATGTCTACCTTGCCATGAGATGCCCAGTTGCTTCCTTGACTGTGCCTGTGTGTGTTTACATTTGTAGTTTACAGCTATAAATACGTCCACGATGATGGCCGGGTCTCGTACCCTCTCTGCTTCATCTTCTCCAGCCCAGTCGGTGAGAACCAGTGACTTCCTCAACTGTGGGTGACCAAGGGGGTGGGATTCTCGGCTTCCTGTCCAAAGAGTTGAGCTTGGTGTATGTTGAGAACAAATGCGAAGTTTGAGGACAGTGGCGGGGAGGCCTGTAGGGTTTGATTCTGAGTTGGTGCCGCACCAAAGGGCCAGGTTTCAGGGCCCTGGGCCTCCCCGCAACAACAGCCAAGCTTATGGGCGTTGTAACCCAAAAGGTTTTGAATGGGGCCAGGTTGGGGGAAGCGATTATAACTGGCATTACTGTGATAATGGCCGTGTTCACACCATGCATTTTTAATAAAAGTTGTTATTAAAATTTGTAAGGACAAAAAGGGGAAACTTTTGCACAGAAACAATAGGAAATCTTGGGGGGAAAGCAATAAAATAATAATAATAATAATAATAATAATAATAATAATAATATTTATACCCCGCCCTCCCTGGCCAGAGCCGGGCTCAGGGTGGCTAACACCAGTAAAATTACAGTAAAAACATGTTGTTGTTGTTTAGTCGTGTCTGCCTCTTCATGACCCCCTGGACCAGAGCACCCCAGGCACTCCTGTCTTCCACTGCCTCCCGAAGTTGGGTCAAACTCATGCTGGTAGCTTTGAGAACACTGTCCAACCATCTCTCGTCCCCTTCTCCTTGTGCCCTCCATCTTTCCCAACATCAGGGTCTTTTCCGAGGAGACTTCTCTTCTCATGAGGTGGCCAAAGAATTGGAGCCTCAGCTTCAGGATCTGTCCTTCCAGTGAGCACTCAGGGCTGATTTCCTTAATAATGGATAGGTTTGATCTTCTTGCAGTCCATGGGACTCTCAAGAGTCTCCTCCAGCACCAGAATTCAAAAGCATCAATTTTTCGGCGATTAGCCTTCTTTATGGTCCAGCTCTCATTTCCACACATCACTACTGGGAAAACCAGAGCTTTAACTATATGGACCTTTGTCGGCAAGATGATGTGTCTGCTTTTTAAGATGCTGTCTAGGTTTGTCATTGCTTTTCTCCCAAGAAGCAGGCGTCTTTTAATTTCGTGACTGCTGTCACCATCTGAGTAAAAGCATAATGGGGGGGGGGAATAAATTTAAAATATAGATTAAAATGCCATTTAAAATGCCTCCTCATTTTAAAAGTAGCCCATAGATCAAAACCTTAAGGGTCAGACTGAGTCCAAACCAAAGGCCAGGCAGAACAGCTCTGTAACATGGGGTTCAGCAGGAGGAGATGAAGCAATGGCCATATTTCCCATGTGAGTGGGAACTTAGGAATTCACGTACAGGTTTGCCACATGAAAAATTAAAGGAATGAGAGATAGCTCAGTCGTGGGTTCGAGTCCCATATTGGGCAAAAGATTCCTGCGTTGCGGTGGGTTGGACTACATCACTCTCATGGAGCTTTCCGACTCTGGTTCTATGATCATAGATTCCCTTGCTTCCTAGTTTGTTGTAGTCCAGGAGAAATACAAAGATAAAGAGCATCCATCTATCTAAACATACTTTTGCAAAGTCTACACCTTGGAACAAACAGGATGGACCATACGGCCATGGGCTTCTTCATTTTGAAACAAAATCATGCCATATTGCAAAACCATCGGCACGGAGAGTTGTTAGGAGACCCCAATTCCCTTCCCAGAGCGGTTTAATACTTAGCCCCTCTTCGCAGGGAACAGAATTGCAGTCCTGGGAGGGCAACAGGGGGCTCCTCTTAGCACCCTCAAAAAAACCCAAAAAAACCTACAGCTCTCAGAAATTCTCTGGGGGACGTCATCTCTGTTTAAAGTTGTATACTGGTGCTTCAAATGTACGGTGTGATCACGGCAAATGTCTTTGAACATTCCAAAGTGCTATAAAAGCAAGTCATTTGAATGATTGAACGCTAGTCATTTGTTAGGTTTCCCCCCCACCCTACCGGTGGAAAAACCCAACAAATTCCACTTCTGTCGCAGAGAGATAAGGCAGTGCCCTTCAGCACCTGTCTGCCTTGGGTTCAAGTCCCAACGTCGCCGTAGCAGGAGCTTGTTTTGTGGCCTTGGGGAAGTCCGCCTCTCTCCACCTCAGCCAGTCCTTAACTCCCTGACCCGCTGTGGATCACAGTGCCCATTGTGAACGAGATAATGAACAGTCATTGCAACTAAAGGAGCTGCCTTCTCCTTTCCCCTCGCAGGGTGCAAGCCGGAGCAACAGATGATGTACGCTGGGAGCAAAAACAGACTGGTGCAGGCAGCTGAGCTCACCAAGGTATTCCAGGAATACTCCTTACCTCTGGTTTTGTCCCTGATCGCTTTGGCATTGTTTTTGGCCTCTCTTCCTGCCAGAAACAACCCCCTCCCCAGCCTCTTGGGATTCTAGAGAGCAGCCTGGTTGCCTGGCGCAACCAACCCGGAGAACGTGCATGTAACCTTAAACCCCCAGGAGAAGTGGAAGAGGATGAGGCAACGGTGCTTTCTCCCTTACATCTTCCTCTCCCCCTTTCCCCATGCCTATAGGTGGCTTTTTGGTCTTGGGCAGCGGAGGATTCTTGTTTTGGGTGCCAGAACCGGGGTTTGATTCCTAGACCAGGAGTAGGCAACCTAAGGCCCGGGGGCCGGATGTGGCCAAATTGCCTTCTCAATCTGGCCCATGGACGGTCCGGGAGTCAGCGTGTTTTTACATGAGTAGAATGTGTGCTTTTATTTAAAATGAATAATAATAATAATAATAATAATAATAATAATAATTTATTTATACCCCGCCCATCTGGCTGAGTTTCCCCAGCCACTCTGGGCGGCTTCCAATCGAGTGTTAAAAACAATACAGCATTAAATATTAAAAACTTTCCTAAACAGGGCTGCCTTCAGATGTCTTTTAAAAATAAGATAGCTGCTTATTTCCTTGACATCTGATGGGAGGGTTTTCCACAGGGTGGGTGCCACTACCGAGAAGGCCCTCTGCCTGGTTCCCTGTAACTTGGCTTCTCGCAGTGAGGGAACCGCCAGAAGGCCCTCGGAGCTGGACCTCAGTGTCTGGGCAGAACGATGGGGATGGAGATACTCCTTCAGGTATACTGGACCGAGGCTGTTCAGGGCTTTAAAGGTCAGCACCAACACTTTGAATCGTGCTCGGAAACGTACTGGGAGCCAATGTAGGTCTTTCAAACCCAGTGTTATGTGGTCCCGGTGGCCACTCCCAGTGCATCTCTGGGTTATTTGTGGGGCATAGGAATTCATTCATATAAAATATAGTCTGGCCCCCCCCACATGGTCTGAGGGACGGTGGGCCAGCCCACGGCTGAAAAAGGTTGCTGACCCCTGATTTAGGCCAACCCTTGAAGCCAAGGAAAGAGAGACTGCCACATCTTTCAAAATGTGTGATATATTAAATAATAAAATCCTCACCTTAGCCCAGTAGTAGGGCACCTGCTTTGCATGCAGAAGGCATAGAAACATAGAATTGTAGAGCTAGAAGGGACTCCCAAGGGTCAACTAGTCCAACCCCCCCCCCAATGCAGAAATCACAGCCCCAGGTTCAGCTCCCTGCTTCTCTGAGTAGGACTGGGAGGAGACCTCTGCCTGAAGCCTGGAAAAGCCGCTGTTACTCAGCATTGACATTAATGGTCGGACTGGGTGTAAGGTAGAATTATGTCCCTACTCTGCCCCAGCCAGCTCCTTAGCTACCTGGGAAAGGCAGGGAATTATGCTTGGCCACATTCTCAGCCTAGGCAGACCGCCTTCTCCACCTGACTGCTGCTCTGTTTCCCCCCAGGTCTTTGAGATTCGGTCCACAGACGACCTGACGGAGCAATGGCTCAAAGAGCGCCTGGCCTTTTTCCGCTGATTGGTAGGGTAATCCTGGAGGGCTGGACCTTCAGTAAACTCCCCACTCATAGCAAGCCGTGTAATCTCACTCCCCCTCCATTTCACCCTAGAGATACCACTGCACAGTGGGTGTATGTGGAATATAGGGAAATGTAGCTGACCTATTGTCTCCATGACCAGCACCACTGGCTTTCCCCCGCAGAGGAATTAAAATGAAATAAAGCGATTGGACCTAATTCTCCTTTTCTTTTTGCATTGCGCTGAGCCTGTGTTCTTTATGCTTGAATTGTGATCTTCTAGGGAGGGACATCTGGCCGCTAGCTACCCTTGGGCCTCCTCCAGGATCATTGAGCATTTATGCTGATTTGCTTGCACAAAGCTTACCCAGAGGTTGGACAATGCCTGGTTTTCAGCTGAGCATTTGTTCTGATTTGCTCGCAGGGAGGTTATACAACAATGAGCATTTGTCTTGGTTGCATCCTTACTTGCTTGTGTGGAAGTTATATGTTTTCCTGTTAACCAGTCATTCAGCTTACACTTTTAGTGCATTTTTTAAAAAAACACTGGCTCAAGCAGCAGAGCACTTTAATCCATTGCACATACCTAAATTTTTGGTATGCAACTGAATGCCTCCCACAAAATACCGACAGGTTTATCTCGTTTTGGTCATGTGCACACCACACATTAAAGCACATTTATAACAGTCCTGGCTTCCCCTAAAGAATCCCAGCTCACCCCTTAGAGCTGCAGTTGACAGCACTCTTAATAAACTACACTTCCCAGGATCCTTTGGGGCAGAGCCATGTGCTTCAAATGCACTTTAAATGCATAGCTTGCGTTTCTCCCCCACCACAGTGCAACCTTTCACCACCTGGTGGCGCCTTCTGTCCATCAGATGGGTGCCGGGTGGGACAGTCAGATGTTTCCTGTCAAGTTCTATTATATCAGGGGTCGCCAGGCTTTCAATATGAGGTCTCACATCTCCAATAGCTGGGGAAATGGATGGCGTCCACAAGTGTAGCTTTTCAAATTGCAGAAGGGCTGTGGCGGCAGAAACTGCACACCTGCTGAGAGGATTTCACTACAGGCTTGCCACTTCGTCACAGAAGCATCAAAGCAGTTCCCACAGCACTAAAGGACCACCTTATCTCCACCCACCCAAATCTCTGTCTTACTTGATGTATTTTCTGCCCAGTGCAGAGGTAAGATAGAAGGTGCTTTTTAGAAGCTGTGTAATGAAATGATCTTACACATATCAGTTTGTCTTGTGTGATTGTCCTCACAGCGGCTAAATTAGGTGACTGCATGGCCAAAGTGCCGGAAAAATGCAAATACATTTCCTCCTCTTGACTTTGTAGTTAATTCATGTGTTACTTTAAACCACCAGAGGGCATGATTTTGTCTAGTAATATAGCCAGCTCTTGCTTGTAACCTCTCTATCTAAGCTAGCTCCAACCCTAAAACAGGAGCCATTATGTTTGCTGTTCTCTCTGGAGAAGATGTCTGCTGTTTTCTTTTTATCATCTCCATTCATTCTGGTAAATAGTTCCTGCATGAATAAAGCCTTTGAACTCCAGAAACTGTAAGCAATCATTCCAATCTAATTCACCCAAACTGCAAGATCTGAAAACCCAAAGTAGGTCCAGAAAAAGGCAACTGAAAGAACAACTACATTTTAAAAATAACTTTTAAAAAAGCATGCTTGGAGCTGTTCAATTCCTCCCCACCACCGGAAAAAGTGGCTGCTTGGACCATCTGACCTGGATCAGGGCTGTGTGGAGGGGTGTGTGAAAGCCTTTCTGCCCTGCATGATCCTCCCCATTCCAAAGTCACCTCCCCAGCTGCTCTGGGCCCCTAAAGGTGCTGTTTCCAATAACTTCTTCTTGGTCAGACTTGACTGGGCAGCCATCCATTCTGCCTGAACCTGCTCCTTCTGGCTCTCTCTGCTTGCCTTCTTCTCTCTTTCTTAGTCTCGCAGGACTTCCCCATCGCCCCCAGTCCCGGGTCTCATCCTGCTCCCTGCACCTTCCGCCGGCTCAGCATCATGGCGACACCTTCCAGCCGTGCCGTGAAGCTGATAGCTGATACGGCAAATAAAAAGGAAAACACTTCTTTTATTTCATGCGCCATTAATTCAGGGAATTCATCGCTGCAAGATGCGGCTGTGGCAACAAGCCTAGATTAGGCCTATTCATAGAGGTGCCGAGGTCTCCCAATGCCTATTAACCTTGATGGCTAAGTTTAGACACACATTCCCCTTCAATAAGGAACCGTGCGCTGCTCAAAAGCTTCTGAGGGACATCTCATTGACCACTGCACCGAGGATGCGCGCTGGACCAGGTCAGCTTCTCCTGGAAATGAGGAGAGGAGCTGAGCGGGGGGAGAAGGGAAAAGAGCAAAGGAGATGAGTCGAAGGAGAAAGGTTTTAAGGAGAAATATTAGACTGGTGAGAGATATTAAACCACTGTAGTGCTATTACTACCCCCAAAAGATGGGAGACGGATTGTCCCTGCCAGGAAAACACTGCATTTCGGAGATATATCACCCCCTGGATACCTCCATGAGGGAGAGCGATGGCCCCCCCCCCGAGGGATTCATATCCTCCAGAGATCGGGGGTAATTATTGCTTCGTTTATATAGATGGAACGAGCTTCCCTCCATCTACCCGCCAAATTAATCTGGAAGGCGATTAAGCAGCCTGCCATGGGTAGTGCTTTCTGCTGAGCGGTTTGCTCTTCGAAGGACAAAAGGATGGAAGAGGAGAAAAGGGGGGGTATGATTGTGTGTAAGTAACATTACTTAACATTGATCTGCGGTCTGGCTGATCAGCCGTTGGGTGAGGACCTGAGCCGATGGCGACTTGCTCCAGGAAACCGGGTCTGGATATTTGCACGCTGTTCACAAGCGGCATCGCCTTCGCCCCGAGGGAAAGAAGCAAGTTTCTGGACCTGGGAGGCGTGGAGCACAGCTTCTGAAAGCCATTTGGGTTGCTAAAAGCTGGGAGTGCCAGAAGGACCTGTGCAACTGCCCATGACAATGCCGGATTCTGCATATGACCAGTACATAGCTGTCAACTTTCAGATTTGAAAACAAGGGATCAGTAGACTCACCTGTCCTGGGGACAGTCTACGTGATATCTAACAATCCGGGATAGCAGCGGGAAATGGCGCTGGAATAAGGGAATTTCCCGCAAAAAAAGGGAAGGTTGACAGCTATGGACCAGTATAAAGTAAGCAGCACATAAGCGGCACACAAAACACTAAAAAAAACAATTCTGCATTCTGTTGCTGTTGTTGTTGAGTCGTTTAATGGTGTCCGCCTCTTCGTGACCCCCTGGACCAGAGCACGCCAGGCACTCCTGTCTTCCACTGCCTCCCGCAGTTTGCTCAGACTCATGCTGGTAGCTTCGAGAACACTGTCCCACCATCTCATCCTTCGTCGTCTCCTTCTCCTTGTGCCCTCCATCTTTCCCAACATCAGGGTCTTTTCCAGGAAGTCTTCTCTTCTCCTGAGGTGGCCAAAGTCTTGGAGCCTCAGCTTCAGGATCTGTCCTTCCAGTGAGCACTCAGGGCTGATTTCCTTCAGAATGAAGAGGTTGGATCTTCTTGCAGTCCATGAGACTCTCAAGAGTCTACGTTCTAAATCTTATATTAATCCAAAAATTGAGAGAGCTATGTACAAGATCTACTACAGAAGCCACAAACAGAAAACTCATCCAAATTGTGTCCAAAAGGAAGACACAGTCTTTAAATGTTCCTTTAGCCAGGCGCCTGTAGATATCAACAAAGGTAAGCTGGATCAAACAGAGTGTCGGTGATGTTATGCTCAAGGGTTAAATATCAACGAGGATAAGTTGGATCAAACGAAGTGTCGGTGATGTTGAGCACAATTCTGTATATGAGCTGCAGGGCCTGGGGACAATTTGGACCGTAATACTGGCTGCCTCAACTGCCAATTTAGTGAGAAAGAAAACGAAAAGAAGGCTGTATGAATAGCTTGCTGGATCAGGGCAGTAGCCCGTCTAGTCCAGAATCCTGTTCTCACAGTGGCCAACCAGATGCCTGTGGAAAACCTGCAAGCAGGATCCAATCGCAAGAGCAACTCTCCCCTCCTGTGGTCTCCAGCAACAGGTATTCAGAAGCATTACTGCCAGAGCACAGCTATCGCAGCAAGTATTCATCGATAGCCCTCTCCTCCACAAATTTGTCCAATAGTAAAGTAAAAGGTAAATGAACCCCTGACCATTAGGTCCAGTCGTGGCCGACTCTGGGGTTGCGGTGCTCATCTCGCTTTACTGGCAAGGGAGCCGGCGTACAGCTTCCGGGTCATGTGGCCAGAAGGACTATGCCACTTCTGGCGAACCAGAGCAGAGCATGGAAACGCTGTTTACCTTCCCGTCAGAGTGGTACCTATTTATCTACTTGCACTTTGACGTGCTTTTGAACTGCTAGGTTGGCAGGAGCAGGGACCAAGCAACAGGAGCTCACCCAGTCGCGGGGATTCGAACAGCCAACCTTCTGATCGGCAAGTCCTAGGCTCTGTGGTTTAACCCACAGCGCCAGCAAGTAGCCATCGATAGCCCTCTCCTCCACGAATTTGTCCAATAACCTTCTTTTAAATTCATCCTAGTTGTGGGGCCATCACTGCCTCCTGGGGGAGCGACTTAAACTTTGCGGACGTCCTTTGTTTTATCTGCCCTGCATCTTCCAACATCCAGCTTCCTTGGAAGTCCACCAAAATCCTTCTTTCTCATTTTTTCTCTCCACCCTGCGAGGAACTCTTCCATTAATTTATCCCTGGCAATGTCAGCTTGGATCAAGTCACTGTCATCTCGTGTGAAGTCTTTATGTCAAACCATGTGAACCATGGAGAGCGGCAGATCTGATGAGCCTCATACCCTCGCAAAGATGACAGTCGGGTTATTGGATGGTTGCTCTGTGGGGCCAAAAGGAGGGGGCATGTTTGATTTGTGGTGCAACCATCAGGCAACATGACGCTTCTGAACATTTTTAACCTCTTCAGAATACATATTTTCTAATTGTTATTTGTCCTTCAGGGTGGGATGCAGTAAAAATTTCCTTTAAAACTCTTTGAGTAGGCAGTAACGGGGAGCAGGAATGCCAGCTTGGCACCGTGACCATGGGTGCCCAGGGCTGCGGGTGCCATGCAGCGTGCATGGCCCTGGCATCAAAATTTGTGGGTGCCCGGCCCCTTCATGGGGAATTTTGTGGGTGCTCGGGCACCCAGGACCCCTGGGAGTTGGCACCTATGATGGGGAGAGCAGATGCAATCCATCAATAGAGACAGCAATCTGGGGTGACTGCATACATCAGTCTCAGCAACCCATAACATGCAAGTGCCTGAGGGAATGACCAAAGGTGACCATGGTCAGAAGCATTTAAGCTTCTGAAACGCCAGTTCCTGGGAATCACAAGTCGGGAGTGTTATTGCACTCTGGTCCTGCTTAGGAACATCAGAAGAACTTGCTGGATCGGGCCCACCTGGTCCAGCACCCAGTTCTCTTTTTTTATATATATATAAATTTTTATTAGTTTTTTTAACATATCATTTTCAACATGAAACAAACATACTTTTATATTAAAGCAGAGACATCACCTTGCCAACGAAGGTCCGTATAGTTAAACCCGTGGTTTTCCCAGTAGTGATGTATGGAAGCGAGAGCTGGGCCATAAAGAAGGCTGATCTTCTTGCTTCCGGTCCAGCATCCTGTTCTCACAGTGGCTAGCCGGATGCCTATCAGAAACCCAGGATTCTGACCGTGGAAGGCAGAGCACTTCCATGATTTCTCCTCCATGAATTTGTCCAATCCTCTTTTAAAGCCATCCGATTTGGTGACCATCACTGCCTCCTGCAGCAGGGAATTCCGCAGTTTAAACATACTGAGACTGATGGACACCCAGGGATGGGGACGCAGCAGGGCCCTGCAGAGATGGTTGGACTACAACTCCCAGCATCCATCTGACCACGAACTATGCTGGCTGAGGATGATGGGAGTTGGAGCCCAGCAAATGTGGAGGGAGAAAAGCAATGACAAACCTAGACAGCATCTTAAAAAGCAGAGACATCACCTTGCCAACAAAGGTCCGTATAGTAAAAGCTATGGTTTTCCCAGTAGTGACGTATGGAAGTGAGAGCTGGACCATAAAGAAGGCTGATCGCCAAAGAATGGATGCTTTTGGATTATGGTGCTGGAGGAGACTCTTGAGAGTCCCATGGACTGCAAGAAGATCAAACCTCTCCATTCTGAAGGAAATCAGCCCTGAGTGCTCACTGGAAGGACAGATCCTGAAGCTGAGGCTCCAAGACTTTGGCCACCTCATGAGAAGAGAGGACTCCCTGGGAAAGACCCTGATGTTGGGAAAGATGGAGGGTGCAAGGAGAAGGGGACGACAGAGGACGAGATGGTGGGACAGTGTTCTCGAAGATACCAGCATGAGTTTGACCAAACTGCGGGAAGCAGTGGAAGACAGGAGGGCCTGGCGTGCTCTGGTCCAGGGGGTCACGAAGAGGCGGACACAACTAAATGACTAAACAACAACAACAATTGTGGAGGGATGCAGGTTTCTGCATCCCCATTATATATCAGCAGTGTGGGAAGTGCTGCAGATTTGGCTCCCTGACCCAAGAGAGATGGAGTTCTCTTTTTGAAAAGGATTAATTTTCTTCGTTTAAATGTATACACCCCTTGATTGTAAGGGAAACGACAGCCACCTCGGAAAAGATGAATCAATCAAGTATCCGTAAGAAAAAAATCAACAGCAATAATGTAAGGCTTCCAAAAAGGTAAAATAACAAGAGATTAAAAACTCGCACCAACTTTCTAAACATCTGGGTAGGGCTAAGCAAAAATGTTTTTAGCAGGCCCCCAAAAGAGTACGGTGAAGGCAGCTGCCTGATATCAACTGGCAGGGAGTTCCAAAGTGTAGTTGCTGCAATACTAAAATATCAAGTTCTTACAAGTCATGTGGCATGTGTGGCAGTCCCAGTTCCACTGATGGAAGTACTATCAGCCTTACTGTGTGCATGTGAAACATGGACCACTTATAAACGCCATCTCCAGCTCTTCGAAAGATTCCATGAACGATGTCTTCGAAAAATTTTACACCTCACTTGGGAAGACAGGCAAACTAATGCCAGTGTACTGGAAGCAGCAAAGATCACCCGTGTCGAAGCAATGATTATTCAGCATCAACTTTGTTGGACTGGTCATGTTGTGCGGATGCCTGATGATCGTCTTCCAAAGCAACTACTCTATTCCGAGCTTAAGAATGGAAAGCGTAATGCTGGTGGTCAACAAAAGAGGTTTAAAGACTCTCTCAAGGCAAATCTTTAAAAAATGTAGTATAAACACCAACAATTGGGAAACACTGGCCTGCGAGCGCTCCAGTTGGAGAACAGCCTTGACCAAAGGTGTCCTGGGCTTTGAAGACACTCGAACTCAGGACGCAAGGGAGAAACGTGCTAAGAGGAAGGCACGCTTGGCAAACCCACACCGGGATCAACTCCTGCCCGGAAACCAATGTCCCCACTGTGGAATCCAGAATCAGCCTCCACAGTCACTTACAGACCCACTGTTAAAAGCGTGTTTATGGAAGACAATCTTACTCGGCTACGAGGGATCGCCAAAGAAGAAGAAGAAGATTTTTGGGGTTACGGAATTTCGCAGGTCAGCTGGTCCCAAGTTGTTATGGGTTTCATATACTAATGGTAACACCTTGAACTTGGTTATGTAGCAAACCGGCAGGCGGCGCAGATCTTCGAGCCCAGCAGTTATACGCTGCAGCTTTCAAATGCAGAGTTCAGGCTGGCCGGTGTGGAGCCTGCGGAGCCAAAGACTCATTGGAGAGATCTAAAAGGGCAGGCCTCACCTTCTCTCTCAGCAAAGGCAGGCAGAAAACAGAGCCGCCTCTCTCCGCAGAAGGGAACCGGGGACTTGCAGTTCCGGCCTGCGGGCAGCAGGGGGCATGGTTACCCAGCCCATGGCTTTGCAGGGAAGAGGGGCTGGGTTTTCTGTTGATTAGGATTACTGTTTGTCAACGTGGAGGGAGGAAAAAAGGGAATTAAGGGTGATTTATTTATTTATTTTGCTAGCTGCAGGAGCTAATACCTAGAGGAGGAGGAGGGGTGCCAGAGATCCCTTTCTAAAAAGAAAAGCTGTCAGTGTTGCTCAGGCCTGCTGGAAGGATATGGAACAAGGAATGCTATTATTATTATTATTATTATTATTATTAATTTATATTATGACTACACTTCTATTGGGACGTGGGTGGCGCTGTGGTCTATATCACTGAGCCTAGGGCTTGCCGATCAGAAGGTCGGCGGTTCGGATCCCCGTGACGGGGTGAGCTCCCATTCATAGCTGTCAACCGTCCCTTATTTGGCGGGAAACTCCCTTATCCCAGTGCCGTGTCCCGCTGCTGTCCCTTATTGATGATGTCCCTTAAATTTCCCGGGTTTCAAAGGAAGCAGCTCCTCTCCCTCCCTCCCTGCTGGCCAGGGAGGAGGGAGGCTCCAACTGGGTTGCTTGGCTGCGTTGCTCACCCAATAAGGAGTCTAAGAACGACTGGGGGGTGGAGCTTGCATGCCTAATGCTAATCAAACCGGCCGTGTTGCCTGGGGACTCGCCTTTGCTCAGTGCTTCCCAGTGTAGAGGTGACGGTGGTTTTCCTTGCTGCGTTCCCTTTGCCAGGTTGCTGTGCTGTGGGAACCACTGCTTGAGGCTTCATTTGGCTGCTGGTTGGGCTTTCTGCCTTTGGCTTGGAGGGGCTCAGAAGTTGAACCTACCTGTGCCCCTTGGAAAATCCCTTATTTTGGCTGCTGATCCCTTATTTTCGAGGCTGCTGATCCCTTATTTTCAAATCTGTAAGTTGACAGCTATGCTCCCGTTGCTCGGTCCCTGCTCCTGCCCACCTAGCAGTTCGAAAGCACATCAAATGCAAGTAAATAAATAGGTACCGCTCCGGCGGGAAAGTAAACGGCATTTCCGTGCGCTGCTCTGGTTCGCCAGAAGCGGCTTACTCATGCTGGCCACATGACCCGGAAGCTGTATGCCGGCTCCCTCGGCCAATAAAGCGAGATGAGCGCCGCAACCCCAGAGTCATCTGCAACTGGACTAGACGGGCCGTGGGCCTGATCCGGTAGGCTCTTCTTATGTTCTTAGCACTGCAGCTGGAAAGAAAGAAAGAAAGAAAGAAAGAAAGAAAGAAAGAAAGAAAGAAAGAAAGAAAGAAAGACTCTGTTCTGCATGTGCAGTTCTGCATTTTAATATCACAGCCCCATCATGACTGACAGGATAGCCCTCGTCAGATATCTAAAGGGCTGACCCAAGGAAGATGAAGCAAGCTTGTTTTCTGTTGCACCTGCACTGCAGCTTTTGTTTTCCAATTTAGGGACCTAGGTGTGTGCAGGTAGATTCCTAAGCACCTGCAATGCACCCCACACTTCGAGAAGAGCGTTGGCCTGTACATTTTACACGCATTCATGAAAAAGGAGATTTTGCAAAGCCTGGGAATGCACACGCACTTGAAGATGTGGAGGTGTGGAATTAATGCTAGATATATATATTTGTCTGCGAGTGAGTGAGTGCGTGTGTGAGAGAGAGAGGGAAGGCAAGCAATCTTGCTCTTGCAAATCAGAAGATTAAGAGATCTGAATGTACGGATGCAAATAAGGCAAGCAAGCGGAATCCTGCCTTGTTCAGAATCCACTTCTCCCGTGAATCGGTTGGGCTTAACCCTTCGTTCCTCATCCCCAGCGAAAACAAAGCCTGGCTGAGAGAGTGATTCAATTAAGATAGCTGGTCCCACCTCTCCATCTGTGAAGGTAGCTGGCATACAACTAAACGTTTTTTATGGGGGGTGGCGGCGGATGCTGATAGGAACACAAGCGTCATCGTTACAAGCAAGACAGTCATCTGCACAACGATTGCAGCAGGAGGAGAAGACCACACCAGGCCGCAGATAAAAGGGATTTGGTGCTCTTCCTGCATTACAGGGGGTCGGACTACATGACCGTAGAGGGAACCTTACAACTCTACGGTTCTGTGGATCGAAGAGAAGAATTGGTTAACGTCCAGTGGTTCCTCCAGGTGGCCACTTTATTGAGCGTTCGTTCTGATTCGCTTGCGCGGGGGTGAAATTGCATGTCTGGGCACCGTGACACACCTCCCCACGCATCAGCGTTAAATGGTCACTCGTGACCACGATTGTTTGGGTTCAGATTAGGCCACAACTTTATTGATTGCAGATGTAAGTGGCTTTGGCTCAGGCGCTGGGTTAAGCCATGGGTAGGCAAACTAAGGCGCGGGGGCCGGATCCAGCCCAATCCCCTTCTCAATCCAGCCCACGGACGGTCCGGGAATCAGTGTGTTTTTACATGAGTAGAATGTGTCCTTTTATTTAAAATGCATCTCTGGGTTATTTGTGGGGCCTGCCTGGTGTTTTGACATGAGTAGAATGTGTGCTTTTATTTAAAATGCATCTCTGGGTTATTTGTGGGGCATAGGAATTCGTTCGTTTTCTTTTTCAAACTGAAGTCTGGTCCCCCACAAGGTCTGAGGGACAGTGGATCAGCCCACGGCTGAAAAAGGTTGCTGACCCCTGTCCTATAAGAACAGACGAAGATCTGCTGGATCAGGCAGATGATGATTTTTAAAGCCATTCAGGATGGGGGCCATCACAGCCTCCTGTGGGAGCAAGCGCCGTAACTGAACCATGTGCTACCAAAACTGAACTTTGGAAGATCCAGGACAGACAAAAGAATATCCTTCTTCACTCAGCAAGTAGTTAAACTGTGGAACTCCCTGCCACAAGAGGCAGTGACTACCTAGATGGCTTCAAAAGACGAATTCATGGAGCAGAGAGTTCCTGACGACTGCTTGCCACCATGTCTCCGCTCTGCTTCCACTGTCCTGGGCAATAATGCTTCTGAGTGCCCGTTGCTAGAAGCTGCAAGAGGGGAGAGTTGCTGAAACAGCTGGAAAAGTTTGCTGACCCCTAGGTTAAGCGATAGCAAGCAACCTGCCCGTTGGCCGATTCTCTTCAGGAGTCAAATTGTCAGTGAGGGAGACTGGGTGTCCGGAGAGGAGCACCTCCTCCAGGATCCCTTTAATGGGATACCCCATTCTCTGGGAGGGGCAGGGGGGCGTAATCATAGAATTGTACAGTTGAGAGGTGCACCTGGGGTCATCCAGCCCCCTGCAATGCAGGAATCTCAGCTAAAGCATTCATGATTCTAGGAGTCTGTGATTCTAGGAGTGCCCGCCCCTTGGTCTGGCCACTATTGGCCAATCTGCAGCCAGACCCAATTCAACTCCCTCTCCCGGCCAATGGGAGAGGTTCTAATGTCTCCCACTGTCCAGGGACCCAGCTGAGGAGGCTGCAGATGCAACTGGCCGCTGCCATGCCTTAACGCTGACCACTTGAAAAGGTAAAGTGTGGAAGGGCCAGCAATATCCTGCCCCAATAGCAGAGTGGCAAATTCATAAATGCAGTGGCCCTTCATGATTGCCACAGCAGCGTCCCCTTCTGAGATGATCCAACCTTCTAAGATCACACAGTGATCTCATACAAGAATAACGGTTAGGATTGGACTGCGATGATCAATGCAGATCTTCTCACATTGCCTTCCAGCTAAATCTGCTATTTTCTGTGCACATAGACGGGCAAATGATTTGGAGTTCTCCGATATCTTCTTCCGGAGTGACCTAAGTTGTGTTTTCCTTGAAGTTCCCTTGCACGGTGTGCTGGGCCCGGGGGTAACCCGTGAAACACGGTCCAGGTCCGGTCCAGAATCCAAGGGTTCTGCTAGGAGTCAGTCCAACAGGGCCAAGGCAGGAAACCAGGCAAGGACAGGTACAGGATCTCAGGCAGGATCTGGCAAACAGCAATGTTGCTCCCGCAACCTGGGGCGGGGTCCGACAGCCTTTTATCTTTGTCAGGGTAGCGGCCGGTCCTGATCCCCCGGCAACTCACCTCCCTGTCTTGCCCGAAGGCGAGCACTCCTCCTGCGAGTACTCAGGTCTCTCCTTCTCTCAGACCTTGGTGGGTGACTAGACCCAGGGGCCACCTCAGCCTCCCCTGACCCAACTGGTAGTGGAGCAGCTGTAAGTGATGACCCAGCTGGAGGCAACGAGGTCATCCCTGCATCTGGAGCCAGGGCAGGCTCAGGCCCCTGACTCGGCCCAGCTGGTGTTTGTTGCAGGGGAACCTGTGCAGACTGGGACTCATCAGGATCAGGCCCCAGACTTGGTTCAGATGATGCCTGAGGCAAAGGATCCGGTGCAAACTGAGTCTCCTCTGGTTCCGAGCCCGAGCCTGAGTCCCAGGCCATCACACACGGAACAGAACTTGCACACGGAGTTCCTTAACTGTAATTCCTGCATTGCAGGGGGTTGGTCTGGATGACCCTTGGGGTCCCTTCCGTGAATCTATGACCGTTCTCTTT